AACTCTTGTAGGGTTGTTTTAAGTCTGGAGGTCAAAACATCTGCGAAGATTTTATAATAATTGTTTAAAATCCCACAAACCTCAGTGGAACTTGCTGCTAAGTGAATGTGCATTGCTAGTCTCTGTTCTGTTAGATCTCACAGGAGGTTGCAAAATTTGTTTGGCCAGAGACCACTGATGGAGAACAAAACAATGAATGTGTATGTACAAGGATCACTGTATCCAGCTGTCTTTAAGTTTTGGGGAAACTAATGCCCCATATATTCCGTCTGATTTTGTTTCTTTATTAATGGGAATCATTCAGATTGATGAAGAGTGTTGTGAAACTTGAAAACTTGCACTCTCTAACACATGCTAACAGAAGCTGCACTAATAAAGTCAAGCCGCTGCAGTAGTATTACCGAAATAACAGCAAGACCCCCCTCTTGGCCTCGCTGATGTGGTCCAAAGGAAAGCAGACCAATACGTTTGGCAGCAGCTTGTCTGCAGGAGTTGCCGGAAGGAGTACAAGGCTCCACCCAACTGCCTTAGGATTTCACTTCTTAGCCTTTCTTTATCTTGAAGATATCCTGCAAGGCAATGAAGTCTTAGGATCAGAGTTTTCCTTCTCCCGAGTGGGCTACCTTCCCAACTTGATGACCCCATCTGCCCCTCACTTCCCTCTATAATATGTGCTTCTTGACCATTGGACCCACTATTGGTCTAGTCCACTCAGTCCACCAGAGAGCCTGTCTTTGCATGCAGGGGATAGCAAACATTGATAATCTATTTGTCTAATCCTCTTTTAAAGCCACCCAAACTGGTGGCCATCACTGCCTCCTACAGGAGTGTATTCCATAGTTTAACTATGTGTTGTTATCAGGGACTGGACTGAAGGGGCTGAGACTGAGGAGGAATGGTGGAGATTGCCCCCCTTCTCTCCCTGAAGTGCTCAGAGAAGAGGAAGGCAGTACAGTGGTACCTTGGTTCTCAAACTGAATCCGTTCCGGAAGTCCATTTCAAAACCAAAGCGTTCCAAAACCAAGGCACGCTTTCCCATAGAAAGTAATGCAAAACGGATTAATCCGTTCCAGACTTTTAAAAACAACCCCTAAAACAGCAATTTAACATGAATTTTACTCTCTAACCAGACCATTGATCCATAAAATGAAAACAATAATCAATGTACTGTACTATAAAATAAATAAAACAGTACTGTAGATGATAAAAATTAAAATTACTTTTTTTCCCTTACATGCACTGATGATAGTCATTGTTTGGATGGGGGGGGCTTTTATCCATTTCTGCAGTCACACAATCAATCAATCAGTAGCTGAACTGGGTTCCACAGTCACAAAAACAAATTAACCAAAAAAGCCTCAAAAACAAAAATGCAAAATAAATAACAAAAACAAAAGCACCATTTGACTTCTGAAATGTTCAAAAATCAAGGTGCAGCTTCTGATTGGTGCAGGTGCCCCGGAAACACTAGCCGACAGCCATTTCGGGTGTTCAGCTTCCAAACAACGTTTGAAAACCGGAACACTTACTTCCTGGTATTCGGCGTTTGAGAACCAAGGCATTTGAAAACCAAGGTACCACTGTATTGAATTACAGCAGTGGTTTGAGGAAGGTCGCAGCTCAGAGACAGGCGAACAGAAGAGTTGGGAGGTGTTGGGAGAAGATAAGGAGGAGGCAGAGCCTGCTGACACATTGTCACTGGAGAGTATTTCTGACCCCGCCCCCCCTTCTCCCAGAACCCATTGTTTGTTGAGAGTGCAAGAGCAAAGAGGCTCAGAGACAATTAGTCCATGGCGGCCACCGTAAGGGGAAGTGCTGTTGCTAGGAAGGGAGGGGGAGGAGCTAAGTTGGAGCAACACCATTAAGAGGAGACTGACTGCATTTCTTTTCCTCTCACTATGAGGACTGAATAAACTCATTAGTAAGATCTCTTCTTTGGGTTTTTTCTCTATTTCTTGCTGCCACCGCGGAAGGCATAGAAAATCCCCAAGCCTGACACATATGCTTGTATCTTGCTTTTCTACCCAGGAGTTCCAGGTTATGTGTGTTTCCCTCGCCTCCCTTCCTTCCCTTTTATATTCACAACAGCCTTGTGAGGTAGGCTCAGCTAAGTTAATATATGTACATAAGCAGTGTCAATAGATTGCAAGGGGAGGATGCAATGTAATGTCGTTCTTCCTCAGCTGACTAGACAGCAATTGAAACCTCACAGCCGTTGCTCTCCCCACTGGCTGTCTGGGCTTTGCCTTTCAAGACCTTCCCCTGGATTTTGATCTTGCTCTTTACTAAAAAAAAAAATTACACCTTTTGCTTGTGAATGAAAACAAGCTGTCATCCTTCAACCTAAATGGTCGGTGAAAACTGGCTGTGCTAAGTGTTCTCTCCAATGAGAGTAAAGGGGGTGATTGTGCGGTGCTGTTTAGCCCGTAGTTATTGTTATCAACCTTTGCTACCATCAGTGGCTTGGATAGAATAACTCCTAATCAATATACGCACCCATCCTACTGCAGCCACCATGAGCTCAACAGAGCAGGGTATAAGCTCACTGCCATGTTGAACCTTCATCCAGTCTGAATGCAGGTGAAAGACGGGCTCTGAAGCAGCAACCGGCTCTTGCCATGTTATTACCTGGTTAGCCAACAGCCCTGCTTTGAGTTAGTAAGTTGGAGAGAAGTTGGCGGCAGCGGTAGGTTTAACACAGTCATAGAGCACTTTACCAGCACGTTTACTCAGAAGTAAGTCCAGTTTGCTTCCATCATTATAAAAAAGGCATTTTCGTGTTGCTGTTCATTACACAATCAAGGCATTTGAATTCTATAATATTGTTGGTGGCAGCGGTTTTTTTGTATGGGGAGCGGGAATAGAAGATAATGCAAGGGGATCTTTTCTGTAGGGTCTGTAAAGAGTTTTCTCTAGGTGTTATGCAAGGCTTGGTATCTAAAAACGGAAAGTCTCACAGCTTGAGCTTGAGCCAGCCTGTAAATCACAGTTGTGCTCTCTGCATATGCTGTCTGCATATGCTTAAAATCACTTTGCTTACTGTTAAACCTAAGCCTCTGCTCCAAGACTGAGCCTTAATCCAGTCCTGTCTGAATGTTCCCTTTGTCCCGACTCGGCCAATAGTGCCCGTGGGGACGGTGAATCCCCTTCTCTTCCCACCCACCCACCTGCCTGCCCCTTTTCCCCCAGTGAGACAGAAATCATTTCAGGGAAACTGGAAATTATCCTCTTGGGGTTGTCAGATTCTCACGTTATACAGTCCTCTTCAGAGCGGAATCTGTTTCTACTAAAGCAGGAGGGGGGGCAGGGAGTGTGTCCTGGCTGGCTTAGAACAAGGGCTCCTCCTCGCCCCACATCCCGTTTCCAGCAGGAACCCAGTCCAATGCGTCTGAGAAGCGCTTCAGTGAACGCACTCGACCCTCTCCTTTCCTTTCCTCCCGAGTCCTCCGCGGTAGACTGCTTCTGAGCTTGGAGGCTCCACTCCGCTAGCCTGATTGGTGGCCGCTACACTCGCCTGCGCGGACTTGAGCGAATTGCTACTTTCTCCGGTTTTTTTTAAGCCCTTTCCAGCTCCAGCAGGCCTGGCATTCTTCTCTGCCGAGCGGCGCAGCAGCGCTGCACTCTACACACGCGTCCCCCCTCTCTCTCTCCCTCTCTCTTTCTTTCTGACACACACACACACCGGGCCGGCTCTCTCTCCCTCCTTCCGAGGGGGGTCTGCTCCGGGGTGCGGACTCCCCACTTAGCAATTGGCTAAGACTCCTCCATGTGTTAAATTAGCATAAAGAAACGCAGCTGGCGAAGGAACCACTCGGGGACCGGAGCTGAACTGTGCGTCACAACTTGCGCGGGGTGGGAGGCCAGTGTGTGAGTGCGTGAGGGTGGGGGGAGCCGGCTTTTTTTGGAGAGGCGGGGCGGAGTGGAAGGAAAAAGTAAGAGCTGGCAAGTCCATCCGCGCCGGCGGCACCAAGAGGCAGGCTTCTCCGTCAAGGAAGGCAAAGATAGAGCGCTTGGAGGCAGCCAAGGATGGAGTTGCGGGAGGGACGGTCTGAGCTCTCCAAGAGTCCCTGAGCTGGAAGGAGAAGCAAGGGGGCGAGGGAGGGAGGGAGAGAGAGAGAGAGAGAGAGAGAGAGATCCTTGCCCTCCACTCTCCAGATTGGACGGATTGATGGGCAACCCTCGGTTCCTGCCACCTCACCAAGCCTTGGCCAGGGGGAAAAGGCGAAGGCAAGCGCAAGAGGACGCGCCCTCGGATGCCTCCTGAAAAAGACTGACAGCACTCAAGGAGCGCAGCCACGGAGCGCCGCTTGACCAGAAAGAGTGTGCGTGAGCCAGAAAGGCGAGAGGGCGAAAGAAGAGGGAGGCTCAGCAGGCGAGTGAGGTCCGAGGGAGACGGATAGGAGGAGGAGGGGAAAGACAGACGGAGAGAGGGAGGAGGGAGGGTTCCGTCTGGAAGTCGAGCCACCGAGGTGCGCGTCTGGCTCCAAAGGGCAGCGCGGAACACCGGAAGGAGAGGAGCCGGTAGGAAAGGCTTGTGGGTGGGGGGAGCAGAGGCAGGTGAGGGGGCCTCTGGAAGGAAAGCCGGGGAAGCCAGGGGTGGCGTCGTGGAAGGAGGGCTGCGTTTAAGAACGGGGGAAGGCGAGGAGTGAAGGGAGGCGGCCGAGCCTCCTGGGGAAGTGGAGGAGGGAGAGAGAAAGAGGAAAGAAAGTTCGTTCTGGAGAAAGGAGGAAAGCAGGGTAAGACAGGAGAGGAAGCATTGTTAGACCCTGGGAAATGAGATCTGGGGAAAGAGGCGGTTGAAAGGCACGGAGAAGTGAAGGGAGGGAGGAAGAGATAGATAAGAGAGACAGATACTGGTGGGACAGACGAGGCTCCTCTTGCCGCCACCTCCACCCATCCCAGCAGGGCTCCTCTGCTCCCCTCGCCCCATGCCCAGCTAACGCCTCCTGCGGCTGCTGCGGCTGCTTCTCCTTTCCCTGGACTCCCAGCGGCTGCGGAGGATGGAGGAGGAGGCCTCCGCCCCGTCGGGGCCCCGCTCGGCGGTGGAGAAACTGTCGGAGGCGGTGGGCCAGCGCACGAAAGCCCTGAGCAGCGCGCTGCATGAGGCCAACCGCCAGCGGCGCCTCCTGCTGGTCATCGTGTGCGTGGCGCTGCTGCTGGACAACATGCTGTACATGGTGATCGTGCCCATCGTCCCGGACTTCGTGGCCGCCCTCAACGTCGCCGAGGAACGCCAGCAGGGAGCGCAGCAGCAGCAGCAGCAACAGCAACAGGCGCCCGCCCCGGCCACCGCCGCCTCCAACATCTCCACGACAGGTGGTGGCCTGGGCTGGTCCCTCAACAGCACCCGGCCCATGCTGAGGCCTCGCTACCCGGCCGACAGCGACGACATCCGGATCGGGGTGCTGTTCGCCTCCAAGGCCATCTTGCAGCTGCTGGTCAACCCGCTGAGCGGCACGTTCATCGACCGCGTGGGCTACGCCATCCCTCTGCTCATCGGCCTGGGCGTCATGTTCCTGTCCACCATCATCTTCGCCTTCGCCGAGAACTACGGCACCCTGTTCGCGGCGCGCAGCCTGCAGGGCCTGGGCTCGGCGTTTGCCGACACGTCGGGGATCGCGCTCATCGCCGACAAGTACACGGAGGAGTCGGAGCGCAACCGCGCGCTGGGCATCGCGCTCGCCTTCATCTCCTTCGGCAGCCTGGTGGCGCCCCCTTTCGGAGGCATCCTGTACTACTTCGCGGGCAAGAGGGTGCCCTTCCTGGTACTGGCCTTCATCTCGCTCCTGGACGGCCTGCTCCTCCTGTTGGCCATCAAGCCTTTCAGCGACAGGTCTCGGGACAACATGCCCGTGGGCACCCCCATCTACAAGCTCATGATAGACCCCTACATCATGGTGGTAGCCGGGGCCCTCACCACGTGCAACATCCCCTTGGCTTTCCTGGAGCCCACCATCTCCAACTGGATGAAGAAGACCATGGACGCCAACGAGTGGGAGATGGGCCTCACCTGGCTGCCGGCCTTCATCCCCCACGTGCTGGGCGTCTATGTCACCGTCAAGCTGGCAGACAAGTACCCCCACCTCCAGTGGTTCTATGGGGCGCTGGGCCTGGCCACCATAGGGGCCTCCTCCTGCATGGTGCCCGCCTGCCGGAACTTCTGGCAGCTCACCGTCCCTCTGTGTGGCATCTGCTTCGGCATTGCCCTGGTGGACACCGCCCTGCTTCCCACCCTCGCCTTCCTGGTTGACGTCCGCTACGTGTCGGTCTATGGCAGCGTCTATGCCATCGCCGACATCTCCTACTCGGTGGCATACGCCCTGGGGCCTATTGTGGCCGGGGAGATCGTCCACTCCTTTGGCTTTGTGCAACTCAACCTGGGCATGGGCCTGGCCAACGTGCTTTACGCCCCCATCCTCCTGGCCCTCAAAAACATTTGCCAGATGAAGCCCTCGCACTCGGAGAGGAACATTCTCCTGGAGGAGGGACCCAAGGGACTCTACGACACTATTAAGATGGAAGAACGCAAAGGCAAGGGCAAACACCTCCACCCGGTAGGGGGCGCTGAAGAGAATAGTGTAGACTCTTTCCATAGAGACTTCAGAGGGGCGTCTGAAGAGGACTCTTCAGACTATGACTATACTTAGAGGGTGGGCGGAGTACCCCAAGAGGGAGTTATGGAGAGCATCTTGGCTGTTATGCCCCAATGTGCCAATATACTACTTTAACCTTTGTCTTGATGTGATGGCTTTCTTCTTCTTCTTCTTCTTCTTCTTCTTCTTCTTCTTCTTCTTCTTCTTCTCTCAAAGGTATTACCTTAAACACCCTGTCAAGATGAAAGCTCCAAATAACTATCCTAACACGAATGGTGCATTTGCAGAGATCTGTGATGGTCTTTTCCTGTTAAAAGAGGGAAGGGCTCACGTTCAAAACTCCCTGACAAAAGCCTGTTGTGCCAAGAGGTTTTTCTCGCAATGTTTGTGTGTGACTTTCGGCTGGTTCACACATGCATGTACATCACTAAGTTTGCCACATACACGGGGGTAATGCTATCCCTTGGAAGCGTTTCACACAATTACACGGGTTTTCTTTTTCTTTCTTTTTCCCTACACTTGACTGCGGCACGCTTGATGACTTGAATGTGTGAACTAACTCCGCCGAGAAAGCGTTGTGTTTTTGAGGTGGTCTGAAAATTATGTCTGTGGTGTTGGGCTTGTGAGGGTCTGCTCCTCCTTTGTGAATCACCCCCTGGATTTTGTAGCTCGAGGGAGACAGGGGCCAATCACCCTGTCCTGCATAGATTCTCATAGAAACACCTTACAACACCACTTCTTAAAATTGTAAGGGAGAAAAAAGTAAGTTGCAAAATGCACACCCGGGGTCTCAATAAATATTGTACATTTTTATAAATATATATAGGTACCTGTGTGGAAACTTTCGGTTTCATATTTAATGCCAGCAATGGAAATCACGTCGTATTATTTCTCCTCTCAGTGAGGGGGAAAGAAATCTGTAACCATTTATTTATTTTTCTGTTGTGCTGCTACTCTGATAAATGCAATATACCGTACCATGTTTTAGTCTGAAACTGCTACACTGGTTGTGCCGGCTGAATAAATGGCGTTCAGGGGAACCGTACGTCTTGGCTTCGTTTGTGTTTGTGTAAAGACCTGGGGTGCAGTCCTAAGTATGCTTATTGATCAAATTCCATTGAATTCGGTGGAACTTCTAATAATAATGCACGTGACTGTCAGATGGGTCCATATAGGAGCTTTAATTCCTGGCTTCAACAGTAAAGTTATAGAAGTCATTCTGGAAATACAACTTCCGTCCCCCGCAAGAAATCCGCTTGAAATCATATATTCCTGCCACCTACCCAAATACTATAGAAAAAAGACGAAGGCAGGCTGGCGAGATCCAATCAAAGGGAAGCACTTTAAAAAAAAAAAAAAGCCACTGCCATTAATGTACACCTATGTGCTTAAGGCTACAATCCATTACCCACTTTCCTAAGAGTAAGCCCAACTGAAATCAGCTGGGAACGTCTGAGTAGATGTGCATAGGATTGCACTGCCAGTCTCGCCCCTGGAACTCAGTGAGACGTGCCTCCCTCTCTTGCCCACGGTTTTTCAAAAATTAGTTGCGCTGAGCTCAAGAGGACTTGCCTCCTGGTGAAGGTATGCGTAGGATCACAGCCTTAGCAATGGTTAAATGAAGATTTGGAATCAATGGAATTTTCAAAACTGCGCGTCTCCAGCTGGGCGCACCGCTCTCTCGCAAGCATTTATACAAAGTAAAAGTATATTGAAAAGTTTTGTGAGCGACAGCAGGGATCAGAAAGATTTTGGTGACGGGTCTGGATCAGGAGAGAGAGCGTGCTATTGCGCGCCTCTCGTTTATTTCCATGGGGCTTGCGCAGGATAACTTCCCGGTGGATCCTGAGGTTAAGCGTGCAAGGATTGTGTTTCTTATTATGGAGTAAGTGTGACTTACTTCCGAGTAAGCAGGGTCGAGCCTGCAGTGTGCCTGCTAAGGGAGAAAGTCTACTGCATCAACAAAGCGGCACTTAGGATCCCGCTGCGCATCTCCTTCCTTGCAATCTTGCGCAAGGGTTAGGATGCTTAAGACCGCGGTGCTAAAGTTACTTCCTCGGAGTTAAGTTTCAATACATTTACTGGCGCTCACTTCCCAAGAAATGGATTACGGAGAAGGGCTAGAGCAGCTGTCTTTCATGCAGAAGGTCCCAGGTCAGTCTCTGTGATCTCCAGGTCGGAGCTTCTGCCTGAAACCCTGGCTCGCCATAACGTATGCAATAGAATCATAGAATTGTAGAGTTGGAAGGGACCACTAGGATCATCTAATCCAACGCCCTGCAAGGCAAGAATCTTTCGCCCAACTCGGGACTCGAACTCACGTCTCTGAGATTTAGAGTCTTATGCTCTACCAGCTGAGCTCTACCCAGATGGAGCAAATATCTGGCTCGCTATAAGGCGGCTTCTTTTGTAGGGATGAGACTCTTCATCCCATGGGTTTCTTGGGGATGGGTCGACCCCATCCTAAATGATCAGGCTCCCAGCTTTTGAACTCGTGGTCCTGTGCAACTTTACTCGGAATTAGCTCCCTCCTGTGTGCTCAGCGGGGCTTACTTTCGAGTAAGTGCCTCGCTCCTCAGCCCACGTGCCCTCAAAAGACAGAGGCAACTTCTGGAGCGTCTCCAGTTCGCCTGGTGTCGTCGCTTTCAGTCTGCTCCTAGACCTACAGGAGGACACTCACATTGTTCATGGCTTCCCCCCACCCAGGTTGGATCCGGCAGATTAGTTGTTAATCCTCTCCCCACCTTCCCACCCACGTTTAAATTTCCCAATATTCAGGTGCGCGGGACTGGCTCCCCTTAATTCACTCGGGGTCCTCAGCTAGAGGGAAAAGGACCAAAGGAGCTCGCGACCCAAGAGATCGGTTGAGAGCGTTGGTGGACAGCTTTCGAGAAAAGTCAATACAATTGTCATCATAACTGAAGAAAGGGAAAAAAGGAGGGAGCAGGGCGAGAGAGAGGGATCTCACAACTCTCCTGCAGACAAGCTATGAGAAGGAGGTTGATTGGAGCGCTGTTCAGCTCCAGATCAGCCTCTGTCAAGCTGGGGGAACAGGGGGTAGCGCTGAGCTGATGAATAAGCGATTAGACTGTGGCATCTCCTTCCTGCCCTTGCTTCTCCCTGGTGCTATTTCGCGCCGGGTGTGCAGGAGCATCGCAAGAGCTTCGCTGGGTCTCTAGCATCTCAAGGGTCTCTCTCTCTCTCTCTCTCTCTCTCTCTCTCTCTATCTCTCTCTCTCTCTCTCTCTCTCTGTGTGTGTGTGTGTGTGTGTGTGTGTGTTGTCTAGTATCCCGCTCCCCAAATTGGTCACGCAGATGATCCGGGCAGCCTCAACACAATACCTGCCTGTACAACAGGTCTTCAGTGGCGGACTGACTCTGAACGTGGAGATCATTGCACTCGGTGACCCCAGCCAAGAGCACTTCATCTCTGTTTGCCCTCTCTACACGAACCCCTCCCCACCAATTCATTTTTAGCCCCTATCATTCTCAGGGCAACACAACACCGGTTTTCATTCGGATCTTAAAGACGTCTGGTTTGGGGCGAGGGGAATCCAGCCGATGAGAATTACCGAGGTCCCTTCGTCCCCGGCCCCAATAAAATACTTGAGGGGGCTGGCCCCCCACAAAACTGATGAGCATCGTCATTCAAATAGTGTCCGTGCACCTGTCGTGTGATCGATTATGCGGGACGGGGCTTACCTGCCCCCCACCCAATATTTTATTCAAGTTGGCACCCCTGTAAGAGCGTATAATATCGCAGCCTTATGTCCCTTTCCCAGGGTTGATGGGGGGGCACACCTTTGTATCTGCAGCTGGGGAGGGGGACGGACACCAAAGAGGTAGGATCTGACCTCCTGCATTCACATCTAAGGGTTCATTTCCTGCCAGAACCCCGAGGAACCGAATATTTCGTTTCCCCCGAGAGCCCAGGTTCTTTCTCTCGCCGCGCGCCCCCTTCTCTCCCCCACCCACCCTCGGAGCTCTCCAGCTGTGGCTCAATACGATTCAATCATTTCCTCGCAGACACACAAGTTGGTTATTTTCTCCGCAGCTCGGTTGAAAAACCATCTGATTCCGACGCGCGAGAAGGGCCCTGTCGAGCTGTTGGGGGTGTCTACCCTAAGGAGCGCTTTGGAAATGCGTTTCCAGCCACACTTGACAAAGGAGCTCGTGGTGGGGGGTTGTTGGCTTTCGATTATGCAGCCAAAAGAGGGGGAAAGAAAAAAGAAAACTGACGCCACTTTAAGGGGGTGGTGGTTTTTACTGGGGAGGAAAGAAAGAAACCCAACAACGAATTTTCCTCTCCAGCTCGCTCGTTTGTCACCTAAGCGCAAGAAAAGGTTCCTTCTAAGCCCGTTGAATGTTATTAATACTTTAAAGGCTGAAAGCCGATTGACGCTTACTCGCGACGAAGCCCCTCTGAATTTAGACAGCCCGCCAATAGGAGTGGGATGCACAGGATCAAGGGTCCCTAAATCGAATTAACACCGTGCTTTTCACATTGCGCGTGAAACAGATCGCAGATTACACATTGTTGGGGAAGGCCGCTTGGATCCAGGGGTCGCTTAAGGGCTGCTTTCATATCTTTATCGTTGCTTGATCATTCTGAAATCCGTTTCAGGGGGAGGGACATTAGCCGCACGCTTATAAAAAGGAGGCGGTGAATCTGGATATGGGACTAAACTGGGGCGATGGCGGGAGCTGGCAGATTAGCAAGATCATCGCTAACACTTCCCCCACGGAGAAATAAGTGGCGCAAGCCTTTGCCTGCCTCTTCATAAGTAATCCCCATCGAGTTCAGTAGGATTTACTCTCAGGAAAGGGCAGATAGGATCGCAGCCCTGGGTCTGCAGTTTCTGCTTCAGAAGAGTAACGTGCTAAGAGATCACCTGCGCCTCATGTGCACGTTTAATCGGAACGAAGATTCACCGGGTTGGGTTGAATAGGACTTGCTCCCAAGTTGGGTTTTAGAGAGAGAGAAGCGGGCACTTAACTGGTACCATGATTGTTGCAACGTCGCAACGAATGTCCAATACATTTTTGTAAAAAATTGCAATTTTGTCCCACCTTTCTTCCAAGCAGCTCAAAGCAGCATACAATAGTCTCCCTCGCAACCCTGTGAGGTAGGTTAGGCTGAGAGACTCAGTCCTTCCAGATTCTGGGAGTCTTTTGCAACCTCTCCGCCCCAGAACTTGCATCCTACAGTAGGGGGTTCAAAGAGATGTCTTTCTTTGTCTCCTTGGAGCAGTGAGGGACAGTCTATGTTTTCCCCTCGGCTGTGAGGTTCAGTGAAGAAGAGCGCTGGACTTGGAATATCTTTGCCACAAACTTTGAGCAAGTCTCCTAGCTCAGTTTGAGAAAGGGAAATATTCTTGACATATCACTGTTGGGTAGGCGAGTATGAACCCAGAAAGCGACAGGAAACATCTTCGCCAACAAAGAGTGTTACATAAATCACACCAGTAAGGTTCGGTTATATTTACGGAAGCAATTACTGTATCTCTGAAATGTAAGTCTGGAGGCGGGGAGCGGAGAGGGGCGAGGTTACGTGCCTATCGAAATCCACTACAGTCTCCTTTCTGGGATTACTCAAGAGCAGGGCACGTTTAAATTACCGCTGTGGTTTGGAGGAAGGATGCTAAGAATTCGCGCTCAAGAGACCTCCAGCCCCTTGGAAGGGAGCCCTAGGACTGAAACACCTATGACCCTCTTTCAAATGTGCAGACTCGCCCTAACTTTGCCCAGAAAGCACAACTTCCCCCACGCTGCCTGACGCAGCGCTCTGTGTAGTTCGGCAGCCAGCTTGCTTTTCACACAAGCACTTGGTCCAACCAGAGAGCGCCTTCCTTGGCCTATTGCAGTGGTCTTTTTCCCGGCCCACCGCCACCACCCATATCAAGCAGCAGCAGCCAGCCTTTCATCCACAAGCAGCGACCCTCTTCCACCTGAGAGAGGTAAACATTTTCGGTGCGCTTCTGTTGCTCGTCGGGTTCCCTAGTTTGGACCGCCTCCTCGCCCATCCCAGGCTGCGCGAATAGGAAGGGCGAAGGGGAGGAGTTTCCACACCCAGCCGCGGGGGGGAGGAGGAAGGTGGGTCGCGTGGAGAGGGGGCAACCCTCCGAGCGCTCGCGCGCGTGGCCACAAGGCTCGCCAAAGCGCAGCTGGCGGCGCCGAGGTACCATGGACAGCTCCGCTGGAGGCTGCTGAGCAGCTCCTTCCTCTACCAGCTGCCCCAAACCCGAGACTTCTTCGCTGGCAGCTTCTTGCTCATCAGCACCGGTCCTAGGGAGAAACTTTGCCTCGCTGCGATCGGTATACGAGAGCCAGGTAAGGAGAGTTGCCGCTGCGCGTTTCCAAACTCATGGCCTCAAAGGACGCGCGCTGCGAACGCGTGTCTGGCGCCTGAGTCGCATTGTACAGCAAGGAATCGGTGGTCGCCACGAAAAGGGCAAACAAAACAAAGAAACAAACACACACGGTAGAACTTTCTGCCGTCTCTATCCTATCCTGCCTCGTCTAGGAGGGAATATTTTTCTTTTAAAAGCCAACGAACGCCCGTTTCCTTGCTGATCTGCGCGCTCTTTGGTTTCAGTGGGACTCTCCGTCTGCTCAAAATGTCCATATTTTAAGTGGGTGGCGGATCCGGCTCTGGGTTGCTAACTAGGGTCGCCTGGTGGTGTTGGTGGGGAGTATCTTACTAACCTCGCTCCAGCCTGCCATTCCCTTTCTCAACTTCGGGGAAGGGGAGGAGTATAAGGGAAATATTTTACGCTAGCGCAGTCTTTGCTAACTGTATGCATGCGCCGAAATGATCCGATCTGGAACCTTACCCTCCCGGTTTAAAGAATTCTTCCCGGCTAGGGCTTCCCAAGGAGTGAGGCCCATTGAACTCAGTGGGGCTTACTCCCGAGTAAACGTGCCGAGGCTCCTGCTGGAAATCATCCTCAGGCCCATCTATCGTGATGCTGAACTACTAGAGTGGAGAGGAACGCATCCTCAAAGACCATCGAGGCTGCGGTCCCCTAAATGCTTAATCCGGAGCAATGGCCTTGAAACGAACGGGAGCAAGTAGCTTTGGGGGTTGAGATCGCAGCAGCCCAGTTGTTTTCGAAAGCTGCAATAACCTGTTGCATCCGCACTACCCCTTCACAAGGCGCCCTTGGCTGGGGACAGACTTTCACAGGAACGATTACTGTAAATCCTTCCTCTCTCGCATCGTTTTCTCTTAAGCTTCCTACTTCCCATCAGCCTCTGGTTTTACTTTAGGACTTGGTCGCTTAGTAGTGGTATGTCTAGGTGGACTTGAATTCAAGACTCTGATCTCCCGAGAGAGGAAGATCATGCGGATATCAAGCTTTATAGATGGGCATTTTACTTGGTCCCTTCGACGTTGCTTCAGAGCCTGCCCCATTTCTCCCAACACCTCGCCCCCTGGGGCGCCCCACACTGTCACCCCCATGCCTCTAATGTAAAATGCTCTTCTCTTTATGCGGGATTTCTCAGCATGCGCTTCCAAAGTCAAGAGCAGTGCTTCCCAAACCTGGATCTTCAGCGGTTCTTGGACTACAAGTCCCATCATCCCTTGCTAGCAGGACCAGCTGTCAGGGATGATGGGAGTTGTAGTCTAACAACATCGGGAGACGCCCCCTCCCGCCATCCTGGTGAAAATGGATAGCCAGCAGCTGTAAATCAATGGGTGTTGGCAATTCATCTTCTATTCCTCTCCTATATGTTTCCTTCCTGGTGAAAAATGGATAGGCAGCAGCTGTAAATCAATGGATGCTCGCAACTCCTCTCGCATCCCTCTGCTATATATGCTTCCTTGAGTATAACCATCCTGACCATGTCTGCTCTGAAGTAAGCCCCCATTGAATTCAATGGAACTTACTCCCAGTTAAAAGTTGCATAGGATTGCCTTCAGAGCACATTGATCTAGAGGCTCCCTTGCGATGAGCAAACATCCACAGGGATGAGGGAAATATTGGCGCCTTCACAGCAAGTTTTCTTGCTGGGAAACTAGGTATGAAAATTGTGTACAGTGTAAAAGGCAGGAAAAATGTTTTCTAAGGTCTGTTTATCATTGCAGTGCAATCGATCCAGGCTTTTCCTTGTCTTTTATTTTGTAAAGTTTACAGAATGAAAGAAAGAGGCAGATTCCTTCCTTTTCAACAGGAGCTTACAGCTAAGCTCTGATAAGGACTGTTGCAAAGCTCGGTTGTCAAGAGAAATGGAAAAGGTGTCGGGACATGGTGGCCTGTTGTTATTTTTTAAAAAATAAATAAATAGCACTACGCATATTGGTGTCACCACATATTGTCTAGGATGTATTGGTGGCTGCTTTCTAACTACCATATACCACATGTGGGCTCCTCTTGTCAATTCTGATGCACCTCTTGCAAATCACCATGCTTAGCTCAGTTGGCAGCAGCATGGTACTGATAACACCAAGGTTGCAAATTTGATCCATATATGGGACAACGGCATATTCCCGCATTGTAGGGGGTTGGACTAGATGATCCTCAGGGTCCCTTCCAACTCTACAAATCTATGATGATAATAACAATAACAATAACAATAACAATAACAATAACAATAACAACAATAACAATAATTTATTATTTATACCCCACCCATGGGTTTCCCCAGCCACTCTAGGCGGCTCCCAACAGAATATTAAAAACACGATAAAATATCAAACATTAAAAACTTCCCTAAAAAGGGTTGCCTTCAGATGTTTTCTAAAAGTCAGGTAGTTGTTTATTACCTTGACATCTGATGGGAGGGCATTCCACAGGGTGGGCGCCGCTACCAAGAAGGCCCTCTGATTTTATGTCATACTCCACAAAGATAGGCTTTAAGCTATCTACAGGCCATGCTGCAGCTAAATGTAACTGGAAGCCACTCTCTAGTCCCAAGTTTTGTTTTGGGGGAGGGGTGTTCATGCCCTTTGCACATGCCAAAAGCAGCTACCACCCTCTTTAGTTTTCCTGAACTTGAACCAGAACTGAGCTGGCCTTGGGGTGCTAGAGCTCAAATGAGGGGCTTTCTAGAGGTGAAGAACATAGTGAGTCAGATTGTTCAACCGCCTGGCTAAGTGATGCCCCAAACTGACCGGCAGTGGCTGTCCACTATTTCCAGCAAGATTCTCTGCCAGCCCAAGCTAAAAATGCCAGAGATTGAACCTAGAACCTTCTGCATGTGAAACAGATGCCTTGCCACTGAGCTATGGGCCTGCATGGATGGCTCAGTTGGTTAGAACGTGCTGCTGATAATGCCTAGGTTGCAGGTTCAATCCCCGTATGGAACAACTGCATATTCCTGCATTGCAGGGCATTTTACTAGATGTTCCTCAGGGTCCCTTCCAACTCTGCAGTTCTAGAATTCTTCCGGTTACCTCTTGATGCAGCTTCTGAGAATGTCCATCTTATCACATGTGCAAGTACTGAAATCTGCTTTTGGAACACACCTGGATTTTCCTACCTGTTTTGTTTTATTTAAAGGACAAAGGGCACTTGAGAAACAAAGTGAGTTGGCTTATGCATATAGGCAGACCAAATACAGATACAAAATACTTAATAAGACCATTATATTCTGTCTTTGGCTGGAAGCAGACGATACTTGCAACTATCGTGGAAGAGGTATTATCATTGCCTTTGGTGTCTCCATGCACATTTTTTTGTCCCTCTGGACAAACAAGGTTATAAAGCTCTACAGAAAGCTCGCAAACCCTATATACATCCAAGGCCCCATTCACAAATAAATTAAAAAATAAATGTCTACCCCAGCCGCTGTCAGCTAAGAAGAATTAGTCTGACCTTCAAAGGTTTGTGGTTTTGGTAGCAAAATAGATGTCAGGAAGTATTAAAGCTGTTTATGCCTTAGTATTATCTTAATAAAATATAAATCATGCTGTTTTCATTGAATTCCGTGCACCAAGTTGCAGTCCGTGTGGTGTGCTAGTTAGAGCAGCCTTATGCAACCCAGGGTTCTCCAGATTCTTTGGGCTACAACTCCCAGTCTGGCTGGGGCTGATGGGAGTCATAGTCCGAAACATCTGGAGGGCACCAGGTTGGCAAAGGCTGGGTCAGACTATTGGTTTAGCAGTGGGAAGAGTTGGACGCAGATCCCCTCTCAACCACAGAGCTCACTGGGTGACCTTGAGCCAGTCACTCTCTCAGCCTAACCTACCTGTCAGAGCTGTTGTGAAGGGAGGCATGAAGAACTATGTGCCTAAACTTGAGCTGCTTCTTCTTCATCATCTTTTTAAATGAGCTTCTTGGAATACAGGCAGCATATAAATGTACAAAGCAATCAGTAAAAATAAAGCGCATTTTCCAAGATGACAACCGGTTTTGGTCTACCCTTTCCCATTGGAGCAAGGTGTGAGTTCTGTCATTTGTTTTAGACACTGCATTTTTGCATTTCTGTTATGGACTATGATAAACGTGAAAATGCATAAACCGAGCTATTTATCAGACATGACAATGTGGTGACGATGCCAATATTGTACCATCAGCACTCTGAAAAACAATGACTGTCTGTCTGCAGAATCTGCCTCTCTCCTCCTAAATGGAATGACATTTGACTATTCAGTAGTTTGTAAATTGTCCAGCTGTACCACACAGCATCTTTCATTTTGTGGCCACCTGATCCCCAGCAGAGGGCTCCATCCCTCACCAAAGTTGTGGAACAGTGATGGAGAGCTTGTGCTCCTCCATGTTGTTGGTCCTTCTGGACCATTGGCCATGCCAGCTGGGGCTGATGGGAGTTGGAGTCAGACACCGTCTAGAGGGGAGGGGAACCTGGCAACCCACAGACCAAACATGGCCCACTAGGCCTCCCCATTTGGCCCATGAGGCTGTTTAGAGGAAGCTACACTTGTCCATGGGGAAACCATGCTCATACATAATGTCAGGTATGGGACAGGAAAGGATGGCCCTCAGAGGAGCCACCAGGAGCTTAAAGTGGGCTTCCAATTGCTCCTGGTGCATCAGCTGGTGGGTGGTAGGAGCCTGTGTCACTCAAGGAGGTGGAAGAGGTTTGACTACAGAGCTTGAAAGGAGAGGTGCAAGAGGGACAGAACCCCACTCTGCACTGATGCTCTCAATCTACAATTTTGAAGTTGAAAGAACCGGTGCTGGGTTTTGGCCGACGGGCAGGGAAACCCACATGTCAACCATGTGCTAATATATAATATTATATTATTATGTCAAAGTTGGCCCACAAGGTTGGGAGCAGGCCTTGTTCCAGCACAAAGGAACATTGCAAAGCAAAACAAATGTTTCACAACCCATCCCTGTCTGAGCCAAGTCTCAACGTTGAGCCCTTTGCAAGCAGTGCCTCCTAATCACCCTTCAGAGTAGGGATCCTAACTCTGAGAGAGTGCAGGATCAACCCACACATTCAGCAGAGGTGTTGATAATTGCACGACCACATCCCATCACTTGGCAAGCTCGCCTTCTCTGATATAAGCTCTGTTTATGAAAGGCAGTTGCGGAGAACCGTTTTGCATACCCTGCCAAGCTGTCAAGCGATGATGGCCGCAGCTCTCAGTTAAGAAACATGTTTTCATGCAAATTGGCCTTTTGTTGCTCAACTGTGAACATTCTCTAGCCTGACATATTGTCTGAAGCATAGGAGGTGCCCAAATTGTGGCGGGAGAGGGAGAAAACACTTTTTCCATGGTGGGGCTCCAAGATTGCATTGATAGTTTATATGGATCGCCCAGGTCACGTGGTTACTTCCCACATCAGCTGGAGATGTGATACTGGTCTGGATGCAGCCATGTGACCTGGGAATGCTATGTGGTCATCATTAGAAATGGAAAGTTCCACCAATTTGACATGTGAAGAAAGCTCATTCCCTGTGGCCCCCACACCACAGAGGCAGCCTGCTGTGAATGGGGCTGCTGACTAACGTTAATTACAATACTGCAGTTTCTCTAACTGGGAAACAGAAATGTACATTATTTAACCAATTGAGCTCTCGTTGCTCGGTCCCTGCTCCTGCCAACCTAGCAGTTCGAAAGCATGTCAAAGTGCAAGTAGATAAATAGGTACCGCTCCGGCAGGGAGGTAAACTGTTGGTTTCTATTTCCCTCACTGAGCAGCAACTGCAGTCACAAGACATTGTTTTACATTCCACAGTCTGTACTGTTGGAGTTTCTCACGGGAAAGGGAGACTGGATGTGACGTACACTGGTTTCCTGTTTTTTCACTGTGTGTTTCTCTCCGAGCTGTCGAGGAGAGAGGATGCATTTTTCTGCTCTTGCAGAGGCAAGATGTCTTTCTGTAATATACCAGCTTTGAACTGTAAATAAAGCAATACAGAGCATGTAACACGTATTACTCATCCTTCCGCTGGGCACGACAGGCTCTGCTTTAAATCAACACATGGTTATGGGCTCCAGAGGTCGAATCAGAGTGCCGGCAAAAGGATCGGAATGCAGAGGGACGGATCGGAAAGGAATCTGCTCTGCGCGTAGAAGTGATTGATGAGGTATGTGCTACTGCTCCGGGCAGCCTGCCAGCTCCGGGCAGCCTGCCAGCTTCAAGTTAATGGCTTTATGGCTGGACTTTGAACTTTTAAAGCCGGTTTTGCCGGGAATAGGCATAAAGGCTCCCAGGCACAAGTCACTATGCTGGGGAAATCGAAAGTAACTTTTAAGTGTGCCTTTGTGATAAGGCAGCTGCAGCAGTGACGCAGCAAGATTTAAAGCAGCATATGACGCTGAAGGCTAATGCCAGAGTCATGATGGCCCTTCAGGATGCTTGTGGGATTCCTAAGCTCAACAAGAAAAATTACAGCGACTGGGTACAGTATGCAGAGGCAATTCTGCGGAAAGAGGGTTTGTTTGAGGTGATTACAGGAACCCCCCCAGTTCCAGTTACAGATGCATGGGAAGCTAAGGATTCCAAAGCAAGGGAACTCTTACATTGATAGTATCCCCAGAAGAGCTCTGTCTATTGCGTGATAAGACCTCAGCCAGAGAAATTTGGGACGCTCTGAGAGAGGCTCACTTAAGGACAGAAGCTGGATCCACTATGTTTTATTTTAACAAGCTGCATAATATGGCTCTTGCTGAAGGTGGAGATGTGCGTTTACATCTGATGCAGATGCAAAATCTGAGACATGAGCTGCAACAGAGAGGACTCAACTTTCCAGAGGCTGTGTATTCTTTCATGATACTACAATCTTTGGGTTCAGGTTGGGAGTCTGTTGCAACCCAGATTGCTGTGCAACCAACTGCTCAGCTGACAGTGGACTTTGTTACTGCCGTGATTTTAAATGAAGCAGATCGCCGGGGGGCTAGCTGCATGGGCAAGGGGGAGTCTTCACAGACGTCATCCCATAGTGCAGTGGAACCACCAGATGGCGCCAAAGCTTTGAAGGCAGTGAAATGCAACTCGTGTGGACGTCTAGGCCATATGAAGAGGGAATGCAGACATCCCAGGGCCAAGACAGAGCAGAGCAGCGAAGCTCATCGCGCGGAAAAGGCCGAGGCAAAGGCAAAGGTCCGGTGTCTAGGACAACGCAGCACAAGGCTATGGTTTCACGCTTCACTCCAAAGGTTGCAGAGGTCCAGAAGACGTCTAGATCTTTCTTCGTTGTTGATTCAGCGGCCACCCACCACATGTGCAACGATAAGAGACTGTTTGTGTCTTTTACACCGCAGGAAGGTGCGATTCACCAGGCGGATGACCACACTATTCCCAGTAAAGGCTACGGAACTGTTGTTCTTCACAGTTTGGACTTATCGATACAGAATGTGCTTTACGTGCCAGACGCCAAACATAATCTGCTCAGCGTTGGACAGCTGAATGAGCGGAACATTGACGTTTCCTTCAAGAACAAGAAGTGCATCATCACAAAGAAAAATGATTATGTATTGCATGCAGAATATGTTGATCATTTGTTTGTTTTGTATTATGATGATGTGGTACAGGATGACACTTGTTGCATTGCAGGTTCTAACAAAAGTTTGCATGCAGAATGTATTCACGATTTTCATCGCAAATTTGGTCATTTGCATTTTGAGGCAGTATCTAAAATGCCTGCCTTGGTTGAAGGTATGACTATTAAACCCTGCAGGTACCACATGAAGTGCAAAGCATGCGCAGCAAACAAGATGAAAATGGCTGCGAAAGGTAAGGTGTCTAGTAGGAAAGCTACAGAACCATACCAGGTTGTTCATGCTGATTTGGTTGGACCACTACCGCCCTCTTTGGGTGGAAATAGGTACTTCATGGTTCTCATTGATGCATTTTCTAGATATATTTTTGTGTACAATCTCAAGCAGAAATCAGAGGCTTTTCCTAGGTTCAAGGAATTCTGTGCTTGGTTGGAAAATGTGCATGGTAAGAAGATAAAGACTCTTTTCAGTGATCGCGGGGAATTCACTTCTCAGCAGTTTGAAGCTTTTCTGACTGAGAAAGGAATTCAACACGATTTGTCTAGTCCTCGCTCGCCATGGCAGAATGGACTTGCGGAACGGGCAAATCAGACTTTGCTTCAAGGGTTAAAAACCTTGCTGCATGATGCCAATCTTCCAGAGAGTTATTGGGCCGAATCTCTCTCGTGTTTTGTTTACAGTTACAATCGCAGATTATCTTCAGCGATTGGTTGTACCCCCCTATGAGAAGATGTTTGGCAAGAAGCCATACATCAAACACATGAAGATTTTTGGTTCTGACATGTGGGTTCACTCACCACAAAACTCCAAGTTAGACAAGCGTGGATTGCATGGTATCTTTCTAGGTTATCAGAAAGGGTCTTACAGAATAATGATGACTGACTCTAAGACAATTAAGCTCACGAGAAGTGTTGAGTACAATGCAAAGTGAGGGAGAATGTGGGAATTTTCCAATGTTATCCTGATGACGGTGATGAGACTGAGGATAGTCAAAAGCAACCACAACAGCCCACACCCACTGATGAAGGTTCTGAGTCTGAATCTGAAACTGAATCGGGTGATTCAGAGGATTTCAAGAGTGCGAAAGCCTCTATGCGACCCTCTGAAAGCTCTGATCAAGAATTGGAGGAACCATTGTTCACAATAGGTCGTTTTTCTCCTAAGAAGGAAGAGGAGAGTGTTGAAGACTTAAGGCTAATTCGTAGGTCACGGAGAGCCACAAAAGGCAAACCTCCAAAGAGATTTGCTGATGAGTTTGCTACGATAGCAGTAACAGCTGTTAAAAGCTCCAAGAAGGTATTTGAACCTTCAAGTTTCCAAGAAATCCAGGGTTTGGATTCAAAGGAAGCTGAGCCATGGTTAAATGCCATGAAGGCTGAGCTTGATTCCTTAGAAAGGAACAAAACATGGGAGCTAGTTCCAGTAGTTCCAGGAATGAAACTGCTTGGAAGCAAATGGGTCTTCAAAGCGAAGACAGATCAAAATGGCAAGATAGTCAGACACAAAGCCAGATTGGTAGCCAGAGGTTTTGCACAGGTACCAGGTGAAGACTATCACGAGACCTATTCACCCACAGTGAGATATGAAAGCATTAGGCTTATGCTTAAGCTAGCTGCAGAGGAAAATCTACACATTAGTCACCATGATATTAATACAGCTTTTCTGTACGGATCTCTAGATGAATCACTTTATATGCTTCCACCTGATGGCGTACAGGTAAAACAGGGATTTGTTTGTGCTCTGAAGAAATCCCTTTATGGTCTCAAACAAAGTGCACGGTGTTGGCACACAAAACTCACTGAAGTATTGTTTTCTCTAGGTTTTCAGCAAGGGAAAGCTGATCCATGTGTATTTGTCAAAGAGGAGGGGCAAAAGAAACTGTACTGTTTGTTTTATGTTGATGATTTATTATTCTTTTGGAAAGATGTTGCAATGTACAATAGCGCCCTAGCTCAACTGAAAGAGCACTTTGACATGAAAGATCTTGGTGAGGTAAACAACTACCTATCTCTGGAAATAGAAAGAGATCAAGATGGTAACATTCTAGTACACCAGTCACGGAAAATTGCTGATGTGTTAAGCAAACTAAATCTGATGGATGCTAACCCTGTAGACACACCGATGACAACAGGTTATCAGGTAGATGACACTGAAGAAGCATTTTCTGACACTACACTGTACAGGAGTGTGCTAGGCAAGCTAAACTTCATTGCCAGATGTTCAAGACCAGACATTGCTGTTAGCTGTAATTTGCTAAGCAGACAAGTCAACAATCCTAGTGTCAAGGATTGGAAAGCTCTGAAACGCATAGCGCGGTATTTGAAAGGCACTATGCATTACAGACTGAGATTTAACAATCAGAAGTCTGGTGGTCTTGAGATATTTGCAGATGCAAGTTTTGGAAGTGACACTACAGACAGGAAAAGTACGTCTGGAGTTTGCTACATGTACAATCAGAGTCTGTTTGATTGGTCATGCAAGAAGCAAACAACAGTTAGCTTAAGTACTTGTGAAGCTGAACTGAATGCACTGTCTTATTCACTTAAGGATTGTGAATGGTTAATACAATTGTGCAAAGATATGAAAATTCCTGTCAAATGTCCAATCCAGGTTTACCAGGACAACAAAGCATGTTTGGCTTTGCTGAAGTCTGAAGGTTGTAAGCAAAGCACAAAGCACTTGCAATTAAAGTTGCAGCATGCTAGGGAATGTATTCAGAAGGGACTCGTAACGGTGTCCTATATGCCAGGTAATGAAATTCCTGCTGATGTATTGTCCAAGATTGTATCAAGGGATCAACACTGTACCTATGTGCAGAAGTTGGGTTTGTACTGATATTGTACGAACACGCTGCCCAGTGATGTTCACAGAAGGGGGAGGATGTTGGTTTCTATTTCCCTCACTGAGCAGCAACTGCAGTCACAAGACATTGTTTTACATTCCACAGTCTGTACTGTTGGAGTTTCTCACGGGAAAGGAGACTGGATGTGACGTACACTGGTTTCCTGTTTTTTCACTGTGTGTTTCTCTCCGAGCTGTCGAGGAGAGAGGATGCATTTTTCTGCTCTTGCAGAGGCAAGATGTCTTTCTGTAATATACCAGCTTTGAACTGTAAATAAAGCAATACAGAGCATGTAACACGTATTACTCATCCTTCCGCTGGGCACGACAGGCTCTGCTTTAAATCAACGCTGCTCTGGTTCGCCAGAAGTGGCTTTGTCATGCTGGCCACATGACCCGGAAGCTGTACACCGGCTCCCTCGGCCAATAAAGCGAGATGAGCGCCGCAACCCCAGAGTCGTCCGCGACTGGACCTAACGGTCAGGGGTCCCTTTACCTTTAATCTGCTTTCCAAGAATACGCTTCACAAAACAAGATAAAACATACACCCCACACACTTTGCACCGTCCTTTTAAATGGTTATCTGTAGAAACTTCTTATTGAATTTTTTTGTGTGTCTTTGCATTTTCGTACGTATTTGTTTTCAGGCGTCTAATCTACACTATATTTCATATGAATATCCAGTTCCTATTATGCAAATGTGCACCTCGTATTTAAAAAAAAAGCAACAACAAAATGCCAGTTAGTAAGTCTCATAAACTTGTGTTTTATTTTTAAGGTGACTTTCAAAATACCCCCGCTCCGCCACCGCAAATGAACCTTATTTCCATTAACTAACTGGCCTATTATTTACCCCAGCTCAATTCCGTTTCTTCCTCCTTTTCTCTCGGCATCACTGCCCTGCCCCATACTTCAAATGATGCTGCGGATCCGTAATGTGTGCATACCTTGAGTCTACCTTTAGCATAATACAGGGACAGATGGCAACTACACCAGGGTAAATATTGCCAAAAGAAAATGAACTGAAGTGCAAGCAACTGTGATATCAAGGGAATAACTCTGCCATGCTATTTACACACACACACACACACACACACACCCCTTTTGGGCAAGTACATCAAGACCAAATAGAGATGCCAAACTAAAAGAAATCCAGCAATATTGTCAGGAACAGAGATGTTAATTAAGACCTCTTAAGAACAGATACCTCTCTTGTGTCATTGTGATTTCTTTCCTTACATTTGTGTAATTGTCATTGACAAGCACATCTCTTTTGCTTTGCTTTGCTTTTAAAAACCAAAGTTGTTGGTTTTTTTATTTTAAAAAAAACTACGACCAAATCGGATTGTTTCCAGAGCCTGCAATCTTATGTACACTTCCTGGGAGTAAGCCTAATTAAACACAGTGGAATTTACCTCTGAGTAGGCACCCATAGTATTGGAACCAAATAGATTGTCCAGTCCCCATATGGGACAACTGTGTATTCCTGCACTGCAAGAGGTTGAACGAGATGAGCTTTTGGGTCCCTTCCACCTCTACTATTCCATGGTTCTATGAAGCATTTTCTATAAGGGTAGAAAAATTAAGGAGGGCTTTGTCTTGTTTTTTCACTGACAAGCACAGTAAATGTCAATCAAAGGATGATTTAAAGTTCAGATTGACCTCTCTCGTCTATACTGGGAGAGGGTTCCTCTGTCTGCCTCCTCCACCACAAGTTACTGCTGTCACTTTGAAGAACAGTGAAAACCACAGGATCCTTTAAATGTCACTTTCCCCATCACAAGGCTAACTGGAAGAGAGGCGCATATGGAGCTAGGCCTAATCAAAGTAGCTGGCATTCATTTGTCTCCAAAGTCCTCTGCTCTTTTCAGTCATTTGGGCGACTGGCTGTAAAGCCATCCAGGGAATTGTTTCCATCGGCATAATCCAGTCTTCCTTTTGCAACACAAACCACTTGTGAAAGAAGCTGCCGCTTGACATTGAAAATGCGAGACACAGGAAATGGATCAAAACCAAGACTTTCTGTTTTGCTTTTGCTTAGCCTTCTTCCAAGGAGCTCAAGGTGGTGTTACCTAGTTCTCTCCTTCTCCATGTTATCCTCAAAAAAACCTCGTGAGGCAGGTTAGGCTAAAGGGGCAAGGTCTGGTCCAATGAGTTCGTATTAAGTTTGTTTGTGTTACAAAGCAAACAGATAAACAGGGAAAGGTACATCACCTTGACAACGCCTCCCCAGGTGGGATTGGGCAACTGGCTGAGGTAGGCGGAGACCTCCAGGTATCCCACCTGGGGAAGGCGAAGCCAAGCCTATGTTAATGGTGCCGCATAGGGTCCAGGGGGCTGCGTGCAACCACGCAAAGGGCGTCCCCCCATTTAATGTGGGGAGCAGTCATTGTCTCCACTTTCAATTCATAGTCTTGTTCACAGTTCATTTACATCTGGTGAGAGATACTTTTGTCATAGACATCTTGAAGTTGGGGGAAAGGAGAAGGTGGGGTAGAGAGATGGGGATATTGTTCTTTTGTTCTATTGCCTATTATCAGAGTAGGTCCAGTGAGCTTTCTAACTCACTCCTTGACATGGCCTCAACAGATCCCCAGTGATGTTGGCCTCTGATGCTGGCTGTATCCATCCCTTGTTTATGGCAAGGCTAGGCAACCTGTGGATGTTACTGGACACTAGCCCAGCCAGTATGGCCAGTGGCAAGGCATGATGGGAGCTGTAGTTCATCAACATCTGAGGACTATAGGTTTGTGGTTTGGAGCACAATACCTCCCTTGAGCCTTGAGATATAAGAAAGAAATTTGACGTGCCAGTTTTATGCTTCCAATACAGTGGTACCTTGGGTTACATACGCTTCAGGTTACAGACTCTGCTAACCCAGAAATAGTGCTGCAGGTTAAGAACTTTGCTTCAGGATGAAAACAGAAATTGTGTTCCGGCAGCGCAGCAGCAGCAGGAGGCCCCATTAGCTAAAGTGGTGCTCCAGGTTAAGAACAGTTTCAGGTTAAGTAAGGACCTCTGGAATGAATTAAGTACTTAACCTGAGGTACCACTGTATTCTAAGTTCACACGTGAGGGGTTCTTTTGTTTTGCACACTTTTCAAACTTGGGGAGGGCAGGAAGCAACATATTTTGTACAGGACAATCTGCCTTCAGTATTGGGAACTGTTCTGTTTCTAAAGCTCAGACCTCTGTGATGCTCCCCATGTGGTCTTTTCAGAGAGGGGCAAAGAAAATGTGAAGCATATTGCCACGCGATCTCTCTTTTGAGCATTGAAGTATCACAAGTGAGACTGGTATACACTTTTCTGGTGTAGTTTCAAACTTCCCACCCCCATGAAATAGCTCAGAAGGAGGGAGCGGGCAGACATGTGGATACCTGGAACATTATTTCAGAGTTCTATGCAGTTGTCGCCATATGCCAGGTACTATGCAGAACTTAGAAATGATCCAGTTCTTGCCCAGGGTTCCTTCAGTTGATGCAAGATGATATGAAAACCAGGGATTTAAAGAAAATGGTATTTTGAGTCAGGTGGCAAATAAAGGCATCAGTATGCAGTTAAGTTGAGTCAGGAAAAAAATTAGTTAAAAGGAATTGTACTATGTTATTTCATTACTTCCCAGGCGTGGAATATAAGACCCAAGCTCACTTGGAGCCTTTTGAGAATTTATGTTGGCATAAAGGATAATGGATATTTGGCAAAGGCCAAGAGTGGAGGGGAGCTGTTAGTCAATGCATTAACCTTTCACCTTGGAATATCCATTTCCACATCTTGAGCAGATTGTTGATCAAAGTGAGCTTGGCAGGGTTTCATTTCTCTGCCTATGAGTAACTAGCAGTTGTCACAAAGCCGATCACACATTATTCCATCACTAGGAATCAGGAAGTCTGAGGCCAGCACAAACACACATGTTTCACTTGCATTCCCATTACACCAGTGAGCATTCTGTAGAATGCTTTTCCTCCTGGAGGCACCTGGAGGCAAAATGGTGGTGAGGAATAATGGGCACCTATTGGACAGTGCCTGTGACACCATTGGTCATGAGCAATGCCTATTCCTCTCATTTTACGTTGTATTTGCTTAATTGTCAGGGACTGGGCAGAGGAGGAATGATGGAGACCACCTCCCCATCCTGACCCTTCCAGGGAGGAGGAAAAGGAAGACAGCATAGATTTACAGCAGGAGTTTTAGGGAGGTCACAGCTCAGAGGCAGATGAGGGGGAAAGTTGGGAAATCATGGGAAAGCCAGAACAACACCTGACTGACACGTTGTCATTAGAAAGCATTCCAGACCCTCCATCTCCCAGAACTTGGCAAGCCTTAAAAGTTGGAGAGCAAAGAGCTCAAAGACAGAGGGCACCTAGCAGCACCCATAGAGAAGGTGATGATAATGACAAATGAGGAAGTGGGAGAGACGGTGGGTGGAGATTCACTTGGGACAATGCCATTATCCAAGAGGCTGGGTTCTATAAAGACTGAAATAAAAAAGGACTGTAAGAGAATTTTCTTTGTCTTTATAATTCCTGGGCAACCAGTCGGGAGCCGCTGACAGCATCCTGACATTAATTTTGTTCACTCCCTTGCTATAGTAACAAACATGGTAGCCCTCGAACCAACAATTGAGTGAATGACAGTGAAGTGCCTTCTCCAATATCTTGCTGTCATTTTGTGGACCTGTTTTCTGTTTTTTCTCCCTCTTCCTTTAGTGACTTCTTCTGTGCTCCCCTCTCTCCAAAGAGTGCACATCTCCCATGATGCATTAAGAGAGAGATAGGGTGCCCATTTGCAGCCCATTCATAACTATGCAGTAGTAAGACTCCCGCAATCCTGTGATATGTAAACAAGATAGCACAGAATGATTTGAATTTGGGACATTTGCTGGAGTTCACCTGTTACTTCACTTATCCTCAGACTGTATAAAGGTAAAGGGACCCCTGAACATTAGGTCCAGTCATGGCCGACTCTGGGGTTGCGGCGCTCATCTCGCTTTATTGGCCAAGGGAGCCAGCATACAGCTTCCGGGTCATGTGGCCAGCATGACTAAGCCGCTTCTGATGAACCAGAGCAGTGCATGCAAACGCCGTTTACCTTCCCGCCGGAGCGGTACCTATTTATCTACTTGCACTTTGACATGCTTTTGAACTGCTAGGTTGGCAGGAGCAGGGGCCGAGCAACGGGAGCTCACTCCGTCGCGGGGATTCAAACCGCCGACCTTCTGATCGACAAGTCCTAGGCTCTGTGGTTTAACCCACAGTGCCACCCACGTCTCAGACTGTATATATGTGTGTAAATAAAATAATACCACACCACAACCCTCTAGAGATGACACTCAAAAGAAACAGAACTTGAGGAACGATGCACCCCTGAGGAGCTCACTACTTAGAAAATGGGGTGCCTGTATTAGCAGTAATAATAATGGTGGTGACTGGTGATGGTAATGGATGAAAAGAAACAAGAAAAGCCATATGCAATATTCTCTGAGATTTCAGTGTGCATCGCATCTACAAAAATGTTTTTATTTCCAAAAACTACAAATCCCATTTTCTTCCCCCATGTGCATTCCTGTAATAGCTGTGAGTTTACACATGAACATAATGCAGCAGACTTTCCTGAATCCCTGTTCCAATCGATGATTTTTTTCTGTCTCCTTCCCCACACATTCCCAATTATTTTTATTTCTAGACCTAAGGCGTACGACTCTGCAATCACCTGCAAGTGTTTTCGATTTTAGCTCTCCATCAAAAGGACCAAACGCAACGCAAAGATGCCAATCCTAGAGAAAGCTGCGAAGAAGAAAGAGAAAGAAGCTTGCAGCCAAGATGAGATGGTGAGCAACTGTCTCTAGAAAATAATGGGATGTTGAACAAGGGGCTGGGTGTGTGTGAAAGTGGTCGATATGACCCTGTCATTTTTCATGACAATTGAACACTTGGCAAATACACAAAAGGTGGCAATGAAAGGTATAACATGCCAGGTTGCAGTGAGGGACACCAGGGTGGAATGTATCAGAAAAATGAGTGTCAATTAAGAAGGTTTAATAAATCAGTTAACCTATTTCATTTTAAATAAATAGTGGAGCTCACTAATTCACATACAGTGACACTGCCCTTATAGGGAAGTCTTCTGAGACCTGGTGTTTGATCACATCTTGGGAAGAACAGACCAATTGGTTTCAAAATCTCCTTTTGGGTTCTGCTGTCAATTTTGAAGGCCCCAGGGTATTTCATAAAGATCCAAAAATCGTTCTCCTGGTAGTAGCCAGAATGGTGATTTCTAGAGGATGGAAATCATCCTCTCTTTGCAATGCTGGTATACTCACAGCTGGTTCATAGCCCTTACTGACAAACTTGATGTCTAATACAAAGTTGGCAAAGTGGGTGACTCGGAATTACGCCTTTGAGCAATGTGGCTTCACTTCATTTCCTTTATTAATGCTATAGTAAAAGGTACATGACCCCCAAACTCTCTTTTCATGAAGACACCCTTGTATGAAAGTAGTTGATACATAATGATGAATTGCATGGCTAGGGCAGAAATTCTAACTGGACCTTATGACAAGCAGATATTTTGTAGCAGTCCACTCTGGTTTTTGCTTCCTGTACCCCCTTTGTAGCAGGTGTGCAAGATGTAAGGCTTGTCGTTTCATTTGCTCTTAGACCATTTCTCGTTCTGTTCTATTTCTTTCAGAGAACATTAATAAGATACCATTTTTTAAAATAAACAAAATATCTGCCCTGTTCAGTACATCATTAATGCATGCAGCTTGAAGTACTGTGGCAGATTTCAGAGACAGAAACGGTTGCATTGCTTTTTGCAATTCAAATTGTTACAAATTCTGCATTTAACTATTTGGCAGGGTAGGGGTTATACAACAGAGGCAAAAGATATGCACGTACCAGATAGGTTTGTCATGGGATCAGATTCCTGCATCTTTGAAATTTGCATAAGAGGAGGAATTTCACTCACTCACTCCTTGAGTCACTCACTGCAACACCATAATGGAAGAAGATGCCCTGGCCAAAATCCTTCCTTTGGTGCAATGACAACAAAGACATTAATCCTGTTCCATATGGAATCTGACAGATCTCAAACACGTGTAACTGATAATTGTAACAAAATTTCAAAGAGCTATCCAGTGTCTGATCAATCAATATCTTTTTTAAATAGGTGCTGCCCAAACTTCCAGTCCCACCACTGCAACAAACATTGCACATGTATCTTCACTGCATGAAACATTTGGTGTCAGAAGACCAATATAAGAAGACTAAGGCCATGGTGGATAGGTTTGAAGCTCCGGGAGGCCCAGGGGAGGTCCTTCAGCAAAAACTGCTAGAAAGACGAGAAAAAGTTGAGAACTGGGTAAGCCCAATGCTACTTTGTTCCAGATATCTTCATCAGATAGAATATGTAGAATAATCTAAAAATTCATGTTGCTTGCTTGTGTTACAGCCTCTCTCCTGCATCACCTCCCCTCTGGGATAGGTTCAAGTGCCCTGATGGCATGGTAGGCTTTGAAATATTTCAGCTACCAAAAAAAGCTGACGCACAGTGAGACCGAAATTAACATGGGTGGGGTCCCACAGGGCCAAGAAACGCAAGGTGCCCAGAGATGGAAAGAAGATAAAATTCCTACCAAAGAAGAATGGTTGACCAACTTGATGGATTACGCCAAACTGGCAAAAATGACTGGGAAAATCAGAAACCAGGAAGATAAAAACGTTAACAAGGAATGGGGAGAATTTATAATTTATCTTGGAGGACACTGTAAACAATTAAAAACATTAGCAGGATTGTAACAACCCTTGTAATGTAACAAGAACTAAGGATATAACAGAGTTTTTTAAAAGAAAAATGGAGGAGAATATAAGATGCAGTGGAAAGAGTTCAACAAGAGAACCCACAGGGGGTGGAGGGAAGTTCAAGGATTTGGGGAATCCTATATCTTTGTGATGTTAACTCATATTTGAATGTAAACTTTACTTGTGTGTATACATATATATATATATATATATATATATATATATATATATATATATGAAATGCAAGGTGTCATATAGTGCTGGTGGGGGTAACAGGACAGAGGCCAGATGGTTGAATGAAGGAGAACAAGACAGGCAATAGCCTACAAAGCAGTGACTAGAGGAGGCAGAGGCCTGAGAGAAAGAAGAACAAAGGAGCCAAGAATTTCAAGAGAGAAAAGGTCAAAGAGAAATGTGCCCCTTGGGTAAATACAATTTTTAAAGATGGAAGAAGAAGAAGAACTTCACTATCTTAGTATGAATCAGAGCAGTGCAGGTGAAAGTTGGCCTAAAATTCTTGTTCCATGTCCTCCCTATTCCCCTTGCTGAAACAGTCCTAAAGAGCTGGCAATGCAAAAACAATGATTTCATTATTCAAGACTAAAAGACACAAATAGCAATGAAGGTGTACTATTAAAAAACATATATAGGAAGAAGGATTGGAAGTCCAAGCTTATATTATGATACTTTTCAGCTGTGACAGTTATAGTACATGATAGCCAAGAGTAAAAAAACAAAAACAAAACCATTGTTAACTATAAAAATCAAAGCAAAACCATGGTTAACTATAGAAATCAAAAGCTCTACCATAGTAGCAGGCCAGTTTTTCTTCTCCACCTTAAAAAGGTTGCAACAGTTAAGGGTAAAATTCCAGTGGCTGATCATAAACCCGAGAGATTCTAATACAGAATTTGGCTTTTGCTCTTCTTCCTTAGGACTCCAGGGAATGTGGGGGAAGGACTTTTTTCCCCCTTTCAGCGTCTGTTCCTACAGCAATGAACAAAAGTCTCCAAGGAGTTTTATTCCAGCAGATGCCTAGATTCAGAATTAAGCACACAAATAAGCACAGTAGGCATGCCTTGTATCGCTCAGATATGTAGTCATCTATAACCATTTTTCCCCCTTCTTGTAGGTTTTAAACTACTGGCTGGATGACATGTACCTTAACAACCGGTTGGCCCTTCCAGTCAATTCCAGCCCAGCAGTTATCTTTGCTCGGCAACAGTTCCAAGATGTGAATGACCAACTGAGGTAAGGTATCTGTAGTATACATTGGGCGGGGGCGAACCATCCCTCCATCTACTTTTGTGGCCAAATAGTACCATCTTTAAACCAGCCTTTGTGGTCTGGGCATGCAAAGGAAGAAGCATTAATACTTCTCTTCTAAAATGGACTGTGTTCATTCGTTACTGGTATTGATTTGTAAGATATCAAGGTATTTACAAAATGTTGTAGATGTCATTGATATAAATACACCTTTTCTTTAGTATTACAACATGGCTGTAAAAAACCTTTTACGAATTTAAAAATGGGTTTCAATGCAAGTACTTCTGCCTAACAGGGTTGATGTGGATCAAAGTCTGTGGCTTAGTTGGAAGAGGAAGCTTCTGTGTCTTGTCATGTGGAAACCAGAGGCCACAGGTCACGTTTTTCAAGGAAAATATATTCAGTGTGTTTGCTACTGTATGTGAACACAAAATGACAACATTCCTAGAAAACAGACTGTATGTGAAGCTTCTGTTCCTGCTTTATGGCATAGTTTGTTGCAGGGAAAGTATCTTCAGGGAGATCCTGCCCAATGAGAGATCAGCTTCTGCTTTGCGATGGTTACAACTCACTGAACTGCAGCAAAGCAAAGCATGTCGCCTGATCTGAGATGTCCATGTCACAAAGGGAAGGGCTCTTGTGTTCAGTTTAAAGCCTCGGTGGAACAGAGGGTGGGGATGTGGCGGGAGTGTAAAATGAAAGATATCCAGGAAGGTTATTCAGATTTTAAAGCCCTGTGTAAACAATGCCTGGTCCAATGCTGAAAAGTCAGATCCGTTTGAAAGGCTGCCATTTTTCACAAATGATCTGCAGCATTTTATGAGCACTATGAGCCCAGTCCTAGGACGTGGGTGGCGCTGTGGGTTAAACCACAGAGCCTAGGACTTGCCGATCAAAAGGTCGGCGGTTCGAATCCCCGCGACAGGGTGAGCTCCCGTTGCTCGGTCCCAGCTCCTGCCAACCTAGCAGTTCGAAAGCACGTCAAAGTGCAAGTAGATAAATAGGTACTGCTCCAGCGGGAAGGTAAACGGTGTTTCCGTGCGCTGCTCTGGTTCGCCAGAAGCAGCTTAGTCATGCTGGCCACATGACCTGGAAGCTGTATGCTGGCTCCCTTGGCCAATAAAGCGAGATGAGTGCTGCAACCCCAGAGTCGGTCACGACTGGACCTAATGGTCAGGGGTCCCTTTATGAGCCCAGTCCTAGACAAACTGGACGAGCCACTGATTTAGCTACAATGACACAAGTATTTCAAAATATCCACAAGGCTGGAGTAACATTGTACACTGTGACCCACTGTCACTGCACCCTACTTTGTTTTCAGAGACTGGTGCAACATATTTTTGAATATGTTCCCAAGACCTGGGAACAAAAATGAAATATTGCATTACACAAATATATCAAGTGAACCCATAAACAGTGACGTCAACTTTCACAATGCAGGCCTAGGCTTCTTTTTCTGTTGAAAAGGGCATGGAATATATAAGTTCACCCCCTTCCAAACTGGTTCTTGGCAAGTATTCTTGGCAAGAATGGCACTACACTCATTTCTTGATTGGGCCCGTCCGTGCTCACAATGGCATGCAGCCTCCTGAGAGATCCCTATCTCTGGATTAGGCACAGCTTTTGGAAACAACACCACTTTGCAATCCATATATATGTAAAAAAATGGGAAATAAAAGATGAGAGAAAACGTGTTCCGCTAAATGGGTCAATCAAAAAGATCTCACTGGGGAATGAGACATGTGAAAGAAGATTAAAAGTAAAGTGTTGTGGGTAGAGATGCTCCCTTTTGTAATTCACCAATTTACAGGCCAAATGGACTCAAAGGAAAGTCCCAGAGGTTCATACTAGTACATGTAAATATGCATAAGATTACAGCCTTAATACTGCAAGGTGGTGAATAATACAGGAATATACCGTATTTTTTGCTCTATAAGACTCACTTTTTCCCTCCTAAAAAGTAAAGGGAAATGTGTGTGCGTCTTATGGAGCAAATGCAGGCTGCGCAGCTATCCCAGAAGCCAGAACAGCAAGAGGGATTGCTGCTTTCACTGTGCAGCGATCCCTCTTGCTGTTCTGGCTTCTGAGATTCAGAATATTTTTTTTCTTGTTTTCCTCCTCCAAAAACTAGGTGCGTCTTGTGGTCTGGTGCATCTTATAGAGTGAAAAATACGGTACCTTGTATGGGCACAGACCATTGGTCTATCAAGCTCTGCATTGCCTACTCCAGAATAGCCAAATGTGATGCCCCCAAGATACCACTGGATTCCAGCACCCATCATCACTAGTCATTGGCCATATTGACTGGGGCTGATGGGAATTGGAATATAACAAGATATGGAGGGCACCATTGTGTCCACCCCTAGTCTATGGTGTTTGAGGGCCTAGCTACACATTATGCTAAATTTGCCAGCTGGGGCATGAGACAGCTGCTGAACTGTAGCCAGGTTCCTCCTTGCTGTTAGAACTGTGTGCAAATGCTATTTTAAAATGTCAAACAATATCTGGAGGATCATAGTTTGTCCACCTCTGGCCTAGTTGTCGATCAGAATTACTCTGTTCTGCAATGGCAGTGGACACAGACTTCAATAAACAACAACAGCAACACCCTATTCTAAATTCTGGCATGAAACTGAACAGCTTCATTGTGACCGTTGTTTTCTAGAAAACGGTGTTTTGCATCTCTCCAGTGGAGAGAGCCCATAAACAGTAAACTCTCATGAGCAGATGGGAAGCCTATCAACTAACAGGAGGAACCTTGTAGCAGGAGGAAATGATAGGGCTGTTGTCTGGGTCTTAGGCAAAATTTGACCAGGATATTGATTTCAGTGACAAAGCTCTTTGGAGGTCTACTTCTGAGGACCAAACTAAATGCAATGAGGGCAGATGGGTTTCTGTTCACATCACCTCATTCACATATAAAGCAAGGAGCAAGCAGAGGCATACTTAAGAATAAAGGAAATCTATTGGCAAGGCTACTGCATCACTTCTGGTTTGGCCTTCAATGAGATGGTGAATTTGTGTTCCTGCTATTCCATTTCATACTGCCAGTGGAGACTCAAATGACGGCATGTTTCTCAATATAAAGAGAAATACAGATAACTTTTTACCAAGAGTTGTGAACGTACCAGTGGACATATTCCTGTATACTAGCAGGAATGAGCCACAGAGTCTCAGAGTTGTGCTCTCTACCCCACCTCTGCATGGACAAGAAGTAGATACAGATACACACAAACACACCTACACACAATAAAACAAAATAACTCATTTTAAAAATGAGGGGGACGGGGGTCTTGGGTGCCAATAGGTGTCTGAGGGCACCACATCGGAAATCTGAAACACGCCCAGTAACTGGTGTTTACCAGCTGGTAAAGGGTCAATTGTATCTGTTCTATATTATTTTGACAATGCCACCCGATCTTCATCGCAGGGAATTCTTGTTCCTTCTGTCTTTGATTTTTACAGGTTTGCTGCCAATCTCATTTCTGGAGTTCTTGATTATAAAGCACTGCTGGACACGTAAGCAGCTTGGCTTTTGTGAATAGAATCGATGATTTCACTGGGAGCATAAACATAATCACATTCACAAAGCTGCAGGATCCGATTGCATCAGATAGTAGTTTAAGGTTACATGTACACTACCAGAGCAAACCTGTTTTTAAAAACTAGTTTGTCATCACTTCAGAAGTGTGCTGAAAGTCCTAACTCAGGAGTCATTTGACAGCTGGGCTCTAGACAGCTCAGTCCTAGCGTCACCTCTGGAATATCTTTTTGACGACAGGTCTCAGCCCTAGAATATATGAAAAGTATAAAGGCAAGATTGACTTTGTGCATGTGCACAGTGCATTTCTGAGCATCTGAGCAACCTCTGCCTGGCACTCCAAAGACTACATATCCTAGAGTTCATTGGAGAGGAAGCCATGCCATGCAAAATAACCAGTCCTAGTGCAGAGACAATGGTACGGTTATGTAATTTTAGAGTCTGCACTTACTGGTCGTACGGGTAGCCTGCTGCTTAAGATGGTAATGTACATTACAGTACTTGCTTCCAAATGTGGTAAGCCAATCTTGATGCATTTGTGGGCGCCCTCTGCTCATTCTACTGAGCAAGACGCTAGATGTCTGCCCAAACAACACCCTGATGAGTGTAGACCATAGCTGCCAACATTTCCCTTTTTTAAAGGGAAATTCCCTTATTCCGAATAGGATTCCTTGCAAGAAAAGGGAAAAGTTGACAGCTATGGTGTAGACATTACTGAACTGAACTGAACTTCTGTCAGGTTAGCAACCTAACATTAATATTACAAGTCTCCCTTGATAATGTGTGTGTGGAGTATAAATCTTAATAATAAATAAATGGGCCCAGCATAGCATCCTGAGTGGCTTTTCATTCCATTGCGGTTCCTGAATGTGTCCGATAAATGTTGATCGTCCATTTGTGCAATTCAAAGCTTGTTACCTCAGCAGTGCTGCCAATTCAATAAAAGCGCATCAGCTCAACCCTCTTGTATGCAGCGTGCTTCTCATATAATTCCTGTGGTTTATGTACTGTGAGAGCTTCTTCTCTGTAATGATAAATGTGTCTGATGTGGCTGCTTCAGATCCATCCAATTAATCAATCCCCACCAGTCCAGATCACTGACTGGCCATGTGTATTTTACAAAACACCTGTTTGAGACATCTCATTGCATCTTGGTCTTTCTAAGATGTCAATCCTTAAGAAGTAGTTGTACTGCGTTGGTTATTTTTTTCCTCAGCTGGGCTGCTCCAGTGGGCCACTCTACTTGTAGAGGTGCAGATGTAGAGGTTCTCCTTATGAAATACTTGCCATGCAAAGACTCAGGCAGACCTTCCCTTTCTCCCTGCAAGATACATGGGGGCAGGAGGCCACACCCTCGTGTATGACAACACATACATATTTTCACCTGTGTGATTAGAAGTTCAGGTGGAGTGCATTAACAGAGACGAGGTGGAAAAGGAATGTGTCCTTCTGTCCTTATGTTTTGCATACATTACCGTTTGCTTTTTCAACACTTGCCCACTGAATGCAAATACAGTTGCATCGTAAGTCATGTCAAGAATCATGAATTTCAGCTTTGCTCTGGGAGCCCGTCTATTTCCCATTGCCGTAATCTTATTGTTGTATGATTCTATTTGTGTTGTGTATCTAACCTAATTGTAAACAGACAAAGGACAGATTAGATTTCTCTTCCTTTCTGTCTACCTCTTTCTCTCTCTTTTTGTCTCTTTTGCTTTGTCTCTCTCGTTCTGTCCCTCCAGCCATGCTGTGCCTGTTGATTTTGCTCGTGGACAGCTGTCTGGTCATCCTCTCTGTATGAAGCAATACTATGGACTCTTTTCTTCCTATCGTCTTCCAGGACATACCAAAGATACCCTTGTGGCCCAGAAAAGCAATATCATGCCTGAACCGGAACATATCATTGTTGCTTGTAACAATCAGGTGTGTGGATATTCATTGGATGCAGTTTTTTCAAAACTTGAGCCCGCTTCATTTTGCTATGAAATTGACTAAGCAAGGGGAGGGGGTGCTGGTTTGCTTTCTAACTGACCACCAAAAATGTACCACAGGTGAACTGTCACTTGAGTTCTTTCTGTGGGTGGGTTTCTACAATTGGCCACTATGAAGCTGCAAGCCTAAGCATACTTACTTGTGAGTAGAGATGGGAAGGCCTGGAAAAAAATGGGGGGAAACCTGGCTTTTTTCCCAGGCCTTCCCATCTCTACTTGGGAGTAAGTCCCACTAAGCTCCATCACATTTCACTTCTGTAGTTTATCTATTAAAGACTACAATAATCACCAGCACCATTTGTTTGAAAAGAAAAATCTGGGGATAGGGTACTATTGACCAAAATGATACAAGACAGAAGAGCAAGTAATGAACGAAGTGATAGATTTTTAGAATGATGGTCTTTACTTATTATATTCTGGAATGATAAATTCTAGGACATTTACCCATGCAGAGTAGTCTTCGCTTTGACATACTATCTTCCCGTGAACAAGGTGTAGTTTTTTGATGTGGGGAGGTTGAGAAGGAAAGGGATAAAGCTTTGTCAGTGGATCCCGCTAAGTACCCTGGCTCAAAGTCATTTTGAATCATCCAGGATCATTTTTACTAAAATTGTGTGCTCCCACTATTGCTTTGCCCTTTCTTTTAACTGCTCCCCCACCCCTCTCTCTCCCCAGTTTTTTGTTTTGGACGTTGTCATTAATTTTCGCCGTCTCAGTGAGGGGGATCTGTTTACTCAGTTGCGGAAGATAGCCAAAATGTCAGAGAATGAAGAAGAGAGGCTGCCTCCAATTGGTCTCCTGACATCTGATGGAAGAACAGAGTGGGCTGAAGCCAGGACAATCCTTGTTGAAGGTGAGCAAGCGGCAACCAAATTGCATCTCTTGCCATTCACCCTGTTCACCCATCTTCTCTGCTCATCATGTCTCTAGATGGGACGGTGACCAGCTTCTCATAAACAGCAAACAAGGTGGCAAAACTGTTTCTCTGCTGTGCCACTTTAAACTGCAGGCGAAAGGACCACACAACAGAATGCTTCTCCATTACATCTTACACATACAAAATAATAATAATAATAATAATAATAATAATAATAATAATAATAAATTTTTATTTATATCCCACCCTCCCCAGCTGAAGCCGGGCTCAGGGCGGCTAACAACAATAAAATAATACAACATTCTAAAATCATTTAATTATAAAATTAATTCAAATCAAATTGATGGCAACCATTGGGCTAGAGTTCTGTGAAGATTGCCAAAGGAGGGAGTAATAACAAATTAATAAATAATAAAACTACATGTCAGAGAGGAGGATTCTAGCTAAACCTTTCTCTTTTTTTTAAAAAAGATATTTATTAGGAGTTTACAAGTTACAGAAAGAGAAAGAGAACAATAAAGAATTAAACAAAACAAAACAATACCTTACAATACATAAAAAAAACAAAAAGAAAAAAACAATACAATAAAATAACGGAAAAACAGAACAAAAACATTTAAAAACACATCCAACTCTTCCATATCTTTACCTTTCATATACTTGTTTCATCGACCTCCTCACACCTCCCTTTTTTGTATTCTAGTTCAATTAGCTATTTCAGCAAGTCCTTTCCATCTTTCTCAATTTTTGTTCTAAAATTTAACTTAAGACACTCTAACCTTAAATTTTCCACTTTGATCCATTAACAATCTATTTTTACTTAATTCTTTATAACATTTCTGCTAAAGCCATATAGCTTCATTCCAACATCCTTCTAACATTCATTAATTTTGCAATATTTCTGTAAATATACTTTAAATTTTTCCCAATCTCCTTCCACCGACTCTTCTCCCTGGTCTCGGATTCTGCCAGTCATTTCCGCCAGTTCCATGTAGTCCATCAGCTTCCTCTGCCATTCTAGCTAAACCTTTCTCATGGCATGCTGATGTCCTGCCGCCCGCCCTCCATGCAGAGTCTTTATTTTTGGCATTGAAGAACATTTAATCTGGTGAATATACACCTGTAACCTAAAATGGCACAGCACAGAACAGAGATGGGTGAGAAATTTGAATCGATTGCATCTAAAGGCAAACTTTCCTAATTTGCACTTTCTGAAACTCCGCACCCACTCAAACACAACCATCCTTTGACATTTGCACTTTTCTGAATCTTGCAATGTAGTCCTCCAGCCAAATAATGAGCAAAAAAATAAATGCATATACTAGGATAAAGGGTTCATTTAAATGCATGTATTATTGAAAAGAACATACCAAAAATACATTATAGTGGGGGGAATTGTTTTGCCCAAAAGTGTGTATGGTAAGCAAAATTGCATAGAGAACTGTGTATTAGGAGAAATTTGCAGTAAAATGCTGGTGAACTTTCATGATTATTATTTTTTTTAAAAAGCAAACAGATGAGGAAACATTAGAAAAATGAGACACTAGGGGGAAAAGAAAACCATGGAGGATGAGCTATCATGGCTCAAAACCATTGATACCCTTAATCTCCACAAATTTGTCCAATCCTATTTTAAAGCCATCCAAATTCCATAGTTTAACCATATGCTGTGTGAAAAAGTACATTGCCAAGCTCATACATCATCATATCATAACTACAAACACACACCCTTTGTAAAAGTTTAAGCTTATTTTTCCAAGAGCAAAATACAGTTTTGGAGCTCTCAGTGGCACACTGCAGAAGAGGCATGTCTTGGCAGGAAGAGCCGACGGTAATTCATTGCACCAAGCCCATTGTTTCTCTCCCCAGATTCTACAAACAGAGACTCTCTTGATATGATCGAACGGAGCATCTGCTTAGTATGCCTTGATAGTCCAAGTGGGGAGGAACCCACAGATACCAACATGGCTTTGCAGCTTCTGCATGGAGGAGGCTACAGTAAAAATGGTGCCAATCGTTGGTATGATAAGCCTATGCAGGTAAGAAGTTGCTATTGGCGCATGTGAGTTCTCATTCATGTCAAAGGCTGGTCAACATGGAAGGGTTCTAGCATTTTAATCCAAACCCTCCTAATATGTACTTCCCAAACATGAACCAGGATGCAGTTACCCTCTGAAATTTGCCCTTCTCTGAATTTTTCAACCCCAAAACTACATATAGCAAAACATATTTTGGCAGGTAATGTGCACAAAAATGGTCACAAAAACGATGCACCAAAAAATGCAGTCCTGGAGGGGAAATTACTTATAGACAGGCAGATATTCAGCAAAATCACTTGCAAAAAACGTGAAATGCTCAAGACAATGCATGCATTTTTTAAATGCAATTAGTATAGCGGTTAGTGTGTTATATTAGGACTTGGGAGAGCAGAGTTCAAATCTCCACTCAGCTATGTAACTCACTGGGTGATCTTGGGCCTAACCTACTTTACAAGATTGATGAGATGATGAATTGGGGAGGAAGAAAACCATGTACACTACCTTGAGCTCTTTCAAGAAAAGGTGAGATAGAAAGTAAATATTTAAAAAATGCTAACTGATTTGGAAATGGGGAGAACTAAGCTCAGACTGAACTTAGCAAAATGAGAGAGGAACCAAAACGGACTGATCCATCCATCCCTACCTGTAGTTGCATGTACTATGTCATTAGTAACTGAATCAAGAAGGAGAACCTTCCCTATACTCCCAGAGCTGCTGTCCCAGACTGAAGACACATGGCGCCTAGTTAGTCATAGTCGCCTTAGACTGGACTTAACCATCATGGGGTCCTTTACCTTTACCTTTTTACGTAGATAGAAGATTACCCGGAACTTTATGTACCCTGACCCTGAGGTTTGCTTAGCTAATGACCAGTCCCTAACCAAAACCATGCCAGTCTAACCAACACATTACACTGGCCTGCTCTCTTCATCACAGCCACACATAGTCAACCCCTGACCTCTAGACCTGAGGAGCAGATCTACCTCACTCAGGTTTCCCATTAAGCCAGCACTATCCTCATTTGTGTTTCTCAATGTCAAACTCCACGTGGGGTGGCATAACATCCCCTACCTCTATATATAATTTGCTTCCCAGCGTATAATTTCCTCCACACTCACGAGAGTGAGTCTAATTGGCCTACAGTGCGTAACAGGCAGAAATAGCTGTATTCATTTCCAATTAAGTCAAATGGAAAATGTTAAGCTAAAGAATCCATCATGGGAGGGTGAGGAATCTAGTTTTCCCCAATCTTGCATTATTTTATGTTATATTAATATCTGGTGGAGCATATCTGCTGTTGTAATTCGCTTGGGTTAACACACATTACTGATAAAAAAACCGACCTTTCTGTACAGGGTTAGTTTTCTTGGATTTTTCTGTGCAGCCTATCAGGACCTTTGCTGCTTGCAAGTGGTTCCGTAATTACATTGGAAATGTCATCCTGCAACCAAAGACTTTGTGGGGTTGTGGCCTTTGACTCCACTCCAGATACAGGCATGCAAGACTAGGAGCCCAACACGGCTAATAGTGAGGGGTGAATTTGCATCTGCATGGAAAAATGGGGAGGAACCAGCATTAGAACCAGCATCAAGCGTCAGCACCCTCAGGCATCTGCAAAGGGCCTAGAGACGGGCATATCTGTCAGTTTCAGTTTCCCAGTCATCAAGTTCTGTTCTATACATTTCCACATCAGTTTCCGATTCCCCTCCCCACCCAAAGTCCTTATGAGAAATCAACATTTCTCTTAATACAGTGGTACCTCGGGTTAAGGACTTAATTCGTTCCGGAGGTCCGTTCTTAACCTGAAACTATTCTTAACCTGAGATACCTCTTTAGCTAATGGGGCCTCCCGCTGCCACCGCACCACCGAAGCACAATTTCTGTTCTCATCCTGAAGCAAAGTTCTTAACCCGAGGTACTATTTCTGGGTTAGTGGAGTCCGTAACCTGAAGCGTATGTAACCTGAAGCATATGTAACCCGAGGTACCACTGTATACTTTTTGTATGCAATTTTACCTAACACATACACATTTTTGCAAAGCAATATCCTTTAAAGAATGCATTGTTGTGTATTCTTTTCACTAGCAAATGCATTTTTTGCACGCATTGCCTCAGCATGTGCGTTTTGCAGGCATTGCTTGACTGGGGCGCAAGGCGGCGGGGAGAAGAATACACTGCAAAATTCAGAGAAGTGTGCATTTTGAATTTCTGTGTTTTTGGTTCATTCAGAAAGTGTGAATTAGGTAGGCTTGTTTTTAAATGTGAACAGAATCACATTTATCCCTCACCCTCATAAATGTGTATACCCTGTTGGTGGTGGTGGTACACTGACAAGTCCCTAGACCTGCTGCAGTGAGGAGTTAAGCTCCCTGAAGAAGAGAGGCCCATTACCCAAAGACCCTCCAAAACCTGCAGCCAAGACTGATGCACATGCGCAGCCATAGGGATGGTGTAAGAAATCTAGGTCAATTCACACTTAAAGCTGAATCTATCAAACATGCACTTTCTAAAACATTGGAACAATGCAAGCAAATAATGCTTGCATCCTGATCCAGTGACTGTCCATATTTTTGCATGTGGGAATGCATACCCCTTAACTGCCCCAATTAAATCAGGAAATCCCATTTTGGGGGGCCATGCTCTTGCGCAAGAGCACAGCACCCAAAAACGTGCAAGATTGTGGCCCAGAAAAAATCTATCTTTCTGGCCCACGCTCTTGCATGGGTCATGTGACTCATGCAGGTGCACAGCCTCAGAAGCCGGGCATCCTGGTTTTCCCACTGCAGCATGTTGGAGGGTATGGGAACATACCTGCAGAATTTAAACTGCTTTGGGATTTTTCCCCCAACGAAAACTGAAGTTTTAAGAAGTTTTCTAGAAGTTTTAAAATAAATATAAGGTAAAGGGACCCCTGAGCACTAGGTCCAGTCGTGACCGACTCTGGGGTTGCGGCGCTCATCTCGCTCTATTGGCCAAGGGAGCCGGCGTACAGCTTCCGGGTCATGTGGCCAGCATGACTAAACCGCTTCTGGCGAACCAGAGCAGCGCACGGAAACGCCGTTTACCTTCCCACCGGAGCGGTACCTATTTATCTACTTGCACTTTGTGCTAGGTTGGCAGGAGCTGGGACCGAGCAACGGGAGCTCACCCCGTTGCTGGGATTTGAACCGCCGACCTTCTGATCAGCAAGTCCTAGGCTCTGTGGTTTAACCCACAGCGCCACCCACGTCCCAAAATAAATATACAACTCAGTAAAAGAAGCGGAAGGATTCACTTGCTGTTTCTGTCTGTATATATCCCCCCTGCTCAGTTTGTTGTGGGAAGAGATGGAGTGTGTGGAACAGTGTGCGAACATTCTCCTTTCGACGGGATTGTCCTGGTACAATGCATTGAACATTTGCTCAGACACATGTAAGTTGCCTGTGATGGGCCTCTAAGCTATTACTTCCTTCTCTTCTCCAATGCCACTGGAGTATTGCTTATCTTCCTCAGCTGTTGGAATTGTGCAGTCCTTCCAGTGATATTTTGGAAATCGGTAGCACCTTGATGAGATACACATGTTAAATTTTATTTGGTTGTCTATGTACAGTCGTACCTTGGCTCCTGAATGCTTTGGGAGTCGAACTTTCCAGCTCCCAAATGATTGAAAACTGGAATTGAGTGTTCCGTTTTATGAACATTCTTTTGGAAGCTGAATGCCCGATGGGGCTTCCAATGCTTCTGATTGGCTGCAGCAACTTCCTGCAGCCAATGAGAAGCTGTGCTTTAGTTGTTGAACATTTCGGAAGTCAAACGGACTTCTGGAACAGATTCTCTTCGACTTCCGAGGTACGACTATTAGATTTCTTACCCACCCTTTGTCATAAAATCCCAGAGCAAGTTACAACAATGCAAAAATACGATAAAATCAGTTAAAACAACTTAAAGTCAGAAAAATAGGGTGGGTCCTTATATATATATATATATATATATATATATATATATATATATATCAGGTGTCGAAGGTCAGGGTAAAGAGGTGTGTTCAGCATATGATTCCAAAAACTTAGGAGCTGCCACAAAGAATTCCCCCACTTGCGACACACTCCCCAAGTTTCCTACGGCACTGAAACTACCAAGAGGGCCCCATATGCTGATTGAAACACTGGGGAAGGAGTTGGGTCTTTCAGATGTTTGGTACCTAAGTCATTTAGGGCTGTAAACACCAATGTGAATATTTTGAATTGCTCCCAGCAGCCAACTGGAAACCAGTGCTGCTGTTTCACAGCTGACGTGGGTTATAATTTGCTTATGTAAAAAGATGCAGAAATCTAATCACTGTGAAACCCTTTTTAAAACGTTTGACTCTTGCAAAGGGATGTCTTTTGAGACACCTAGCGATGCCAATCGCTTCCATGGCATAACAACTCTAAAGAATTAGGTAATGTGATGAAATTATAAACCTGGAATTTCAGCTTTGATGTCAGCACATCAATGACTTTAAGTAACGGGAGAGGAGAGCTTTCTAGTGTGTCTTGTTGGTAAAATAGTCTACCAGCCTAGAAGTATTGATCAGTGGTGGCAGTGCCAGTGGACTGACTGGCACAAATGGATTGATCACCTCTGGGTACTTGGGTGTATCCAATCCATTCATGGCCATTTTGCCCAATGGATGCAACCTAATGTAACTAACAGTGACAGTACCTTACTAATACATTAATTAATGTATTAATTAACTAACAGTACCTTACTAATACCTTGATTAATATTAAGAAGCAGCATTCAGAAGCAGCAGTGAATATAGATCAGGCAGCAAGTGTCATGTAGATCAGTTAATTGCAGTAGGACCTTCAGTCATCTGTCTGATGTCAAAAAAACCTTTTTGAGTTCTACTGCGTCTAACAGCATATTTATTGGCATTCTGTCATTTAAAAAAATCAGGAAAGAAGGTGCAAAGAAATTGGTCAGAGCAGATTCAGTGAGTGAACTTCCTGCTCCAAGGAGACTAAGGTGGAAATGTTCTCCAGAAATTCAGGGACACTTGGCGTCATCAGCAGAAAAACTTCAAAGGTACCATAGTTTCATTAGATTTTCAACTTGTGTGTGTATGGGCGGTTATTTTAATGTGTTGGACTTTCCTTAATAATATAATCAATGAATAAAAACAGTAAAAGCTGAGAGAAAGATCAGCTATAGAACATAGTGGTTTCAACTTAAGCTATTAGGGCTGCAAGCTTTTATTGACTTTCAGATTGACTAACTGCTGAGTGGGAGCTGATTGTAATCAGTAAAGGTAGATATTCATTGACTGAATTGCCTATTTCTTTTTGCTTTGACCCATATCAGCCACAGAGAGAGATTGCGGCTGAAGAAAAGGGCTTTAACTCTTCTTGTCTGCCATTTTCCCAATGAACATCCCCCTTTCTTTCACTAAAGCTGCTGTCTGCCCCCTTGGGGAAAAGTTATGGACACTCTTCTAGAGAACAAATGCATTGCAATGAGATGGTAGGAGTCTGAATAATCTCCATGACTATTTTTATCGTCAGATAGTGCTACAGTGGATTGCCAATATGCGTTCAGCCTGGCAGAACCCCTTTCATTAGGATAATTGGCACCAACGGGCCTAAATGGTTGTCCAATGCAGAACTAAGGAGATGGGTGAAGCCAGAGGTGATAACTCGAATAAAATATTGGGAGGGCACTGGTAAGCCTTGCCCTACATAATCAATCACATGATGTGGCACACACACACCAGTTGAATGGCAAGGCCCATCAATTTGGGCCTGGCCCCCTCAAATATTTTATTGCGGGGGGCTAAAGGACCTCAGCCCCCAATAGTTGGCTCCTATGGGTGGAGCCTTCTTTGGGAAAGGGGCGTGTCTTTCTTCCGCCTTCCCCCTCGCTTTGTGGGTTGATGTCAACCAGCTGTTTGTGCAGGAGCTGCAGGTTCTGACTGAGGTGATCTGAGGAAAAGGTCAGAGCTGTAGGACTTGCTGGCAGCTCTGAAGAAGTATCTGCTGCAGCAACTTAAGATGTGACTCTCCAATATGGTAAATCCAGGACATTCTTTCAATTTGCTGGAACTCAGTTTTGGCACCTCTCAGGTGGGCGCCATTGCCGTTATAAGAGAACAAGGGAGGTGTTCATGCTGAGTTCTGGCACCTCTTTTTCTAGAAAAAATAGCACCAGCAAAACCTGTATATATGCAAAAATATCCGATATACCACCAAACACCAGTTAGCCTCAATCCAGGGGAACCAAATTCAGTGTAGGTGCTGTGGCAAACCCTGGAAATTTTCACTGATAAGGGTTTTGAGAACACCATAATGGTTATCTCATCTTTAGTATAACAGGGGGTGGAGAGGAATAACAGAACAAAAGCAAACTATGAGGGCTAAGCGTCACACAAGATTGTGCCTCCACATTTGCCATGGCAATGTAATACTTATTATTACCGGTATGTTTCTGTCACATAATAAATGACTGCAAACATGACAGGAAGTAAATTGGATACAGCATTTAGCCTTTGCATAAAATGCAAAGAGCAACCTCTATTTGTACACATGCTACACCCTAAGCAAGCAAATGAGTAAGTCAAGACATACAGAGTGGGGAGAAAATGTATAGGCAAGAGTGACAGCAAACAACTCATTTGAGTAGACAATTTGAATTGAAGTATTAGTTCTTTGCATGCTCCCGTCTGTCCCTACAAAGCCTTTTTCTCCTGCATTGCATTTTCCAACACGCCATATGATCATATAGCTTTTATAGCACAGCTCTGAACAAGACATATAATACAAGGAATTTGTCACTATGGCCCAGATCCCAAGATCACCTGCCTGACTACTTTGGGGCATACACCAGGAGAAACAAAAATAGATCAAAATAAATAAATTACACAATAACTCCTGTTCTCACTTCTGGAGTTTTTCATCATTTTCTAGGATGGTGAAAAATCTAGATTTTATCGCTTATAAATTTGAAAACTACGGAAAAGAGTTTATCAAGAAACAGAAGATGAGCCCAGATGCCTACATCCAAGTGGCACTACAGCTGGCATTTTACAGGTATGTAATTATTTTTATTATTGATTATTGATTGAATTTATATAACGCCCTATACCCAGAGGTCTCAAAGCAGTTCACATAATAAAATCAATAAACCAGCTATCAGCTCTTATTTGAAGCTTGCAATGCAATAGCTGACCACAGATTATGCTCTGGGAGACCCCCGGGCAAGAATGAGCAAAATATCAGAGCCTTTTCTCATGACCCAGGGACCCCACCTTCTTGCTCACCTTTAGGAGAGTGAGAGTCAAGGTAGAAATTGTTCACACCATTAGTAACTGTGTGAATGGTTATGTAAGTATAAATTGCAGGTTTTGGGGAAATAATCAAGACTGGGACAGTGGGACGCTAGCAGTGGGTATGCTTATTTAACCCTTTGTCTCCCTTGTTTCCAATCTACATCAGGAACCCTTTACCAGCCATTTGCATCAGGAGGAAAGCTCCCACTGGTGGCAATGGGAGCATAGCTGTCAATGTTTCCCTTTTTTAAAGGGAAATTCCCTTATTCCAAATAGGATTCCTCGCAAGAAAAGGGGAAAGTTGACAACTATGAATGGGAGCTTTCTTCTTCATGCAAATAGCAGACATGCAGGACCAAATCCAGTTCAAGACCATCATGGGGGTCTTCCATCAGGATCTAAGTCTGGAATGGCGGGGAATGGGGACTCACACCTACAGTTTACACTTAAAGACATTCTTCACACAAATATATCATCTAGGTTGGCCCTGAGATGAATATCTGTTTCCATCAGATATTCAGGAAGGCCAAGGTTATGCTGCCGCCAGCATTTTGGGACACAGAGCACAAAATAAGAGAGCTAATATTTGTCTCTGTCTCTCCCTGCCCTCCCTCCTGACACCTGGGTCAAGCCTGACATCCAGGAAGCCTTGAGCTCACCAGTGGAGACACACAGTCTGTCCAGAGAGAACATTATAATTCATCCTTGCTCATCTTTGGAGCACCAAGTAGAATGACAGAATAGAGGTTGTGTTAGAGAAGCATCTTGGTGCTGTGGTGTTTGAACCTGGCCATCCTGAGTGTTAAATGCTGGGTCTAATTATGATGGTTAGAAAATGCAAGCAGGAAATGCAAGAAGCAGAAGGTCTACCTCCCCTTCCTCTTCCTGCTTCTTGCATTTGGTCCAAGTTCATCTCTCATCAGATGCCTCTATTGCTTTGATCACTATTAATCTTATTCCACACCACCTTGGGAACCAATTGGTTGAAAGGGGGAGGTGTATCAACACACAAGATGCAAGCAAGCAAACAGATAGGATAACTGTCCAGCTTTTGCTACACCTGTCTTCGGTCATTCTGCTTCCAGTGTGCAGATCAGTTCCCAACTCCCACCTTCCTGTTGCCCAATCAAACCAACCTCACGCCCCTCTGAAAAGGGCAGCCCTGTGTGGCATTTCCTTCCTTCTCTGCATAAACTGTAGTACAACCTAGGCCTTGGCCTAATGTCATTACTGTTACGATATAGAAGCAATGCAGCCGCGAGCTGCTAGCTTGAAAACAGCACATGATGGAATGTTAGGACTGTTCTGTGGGAAACAGAGGGACAGTCAATTCACAGGGCAATGCACCAGAATTAGCTCAGAGTGTAATATGAGCTCTTCCTTTTGCTCTTGTACAGGAAGTACAGGTTTTGTTTCACTCTCGACTGCTGGAGTTTGAAGAGAGAAGTCATGTTTTTTGTAACGCCGCAAAGACAGAAATAAAGGCATGTAAATACGTTTCTGTCTATCTCTTTCCCCTGCCGGGGGGGGCAGGAAAGAGGGGGTGTGTTCTTCTCACTCTGAGAAGGATCGCCTATCGCGACCCTTGCCTGGATCTTGCTGAGGAATGCAGACAGGGAGGTCAACAGGAGATCAAGCCGGGAGCCTGGAGAGTTGCCAGTTTCTCCTGATAAAGGCTTGATTCCTAACAATTACATGGTGCATTTCCCCACCTCTGATCCACTTCCTTGGCTGTTGCTAACAGCCGTGCTGGATTTAGGGCAGCGCATATAATAATATAATAATGAGTATTATATTCTCAGCCACTCTGGGTGGCTCCCAACAGAATATTAAAAACACGAGAAAACATCAAACATTAAAAACTTCCCTATACAGAGCTGCCTTCAGATGTCTTCTAAACGTCAGATGGTTGTTTATTTCCTTGACATCTGATGGGAGGGTGTTCCACAGGGCAGGTGCCACCACCGAGAAGGCCCTCTTCCTGGTTCCCCTGCACAGGGGGTCAAGCCAAGGGGGCACAAAACAACAACAACAACAACACAGGTGCCTACTGAGAAGATCCAAGCAACTGTACCAAAAAGAATTATTGTGAAAATAAGAATTGGGGCGGGGGGGGGGTTGTCCTCACTCAGGGTGCCATTTTACCAAAGTAAAATGGTCATACCAATAGGTAGCTGTCCAACCACTTCCAGCCTCCTAGTTGTGGTGCAGCCGGGAAGGAAACATAGTCCACTCTGTCAGTCATAAGCCCCCTCTGCAGTGAACAAGCAGAAGAGTAATAGGCCCTAATTAGCAGACAAATCAGAGTATATAGATGCAGATTATCCTTGTTGCCATTAGAATCTGAAGAGTAGCAAACATTCCTTGTTTAAAGCATCATGAATTTAACTGGGAAATTAAATGAGACGCCCTGGAGCCATGTAAAAAAGAAAGGGGGGGAACAGCTTTGCTAGACAGCAAACATTTATCAGCATAGCGTTAAAGAAAAAGGGGCATGTGAAGATGGAGGTGAACAAAGGGCATTCTACAAAATTAAGGTGCTTAGCTGCTGCTCTGTGACCTAGCCAGGTTTGCTTTCAGTGTAGATAAATGGCTTTGAAATTCTCTTTAGTAAATTAATCTAAAGAGTGGGGTAGGGAGCAACATACACATTCCCTTGGAGCCTTCTCTGTGTTGCTTTTCAGCATGGGATCTTTAACGTGAAACTGCAAGCTTTTCCACCCAGTTGATCAAAGCATGCCCTGGCCTCATTCTGGCCTTGGTAGGGCAGCACATTCCTTCAACTGCAAGCCTCAATGCCACAATAACAATGTGATATCCTATCTCTGTGCAATAGACTGTGGGGAGGAAAGATAGTTGTGCCTATAAATTGGTTCAATGTGTCCTCCACTGTAAGCTAAGGACCAACATTGTCTCGACCAAGTGCCATTTGTCAACCACAACCTGGAGGACCTCACAGTGGAGGAAATACAGATGTGGGAACTGCAGCTAGAGTGTCTAGAGATACTATGCTTTAACTTTAAGGCCATTTCACACAATCCATTGCAACAAGCACATCTTCACAGCTGGATTATGGAATTCAGTGTCACAAACTGTGATGATAGCCACCCGTTTAGATGGCTTTTAAAAGAGATTATACACAGCCGCCGATAGACCAACTGCTCATGAATATAAGCTATGATGGAACCTCCAGTTTTTGTTCTTGTAGTCTTGAACATGGAGTTTGTGCTCAGCTGGGATTTGCAGCCAGTGTGATCTGTGCCTATGCACATGTTTCAGTTTGTCACATTCATACTTTCCATTATTACATTAACTCCTGAAAAATATACCACCCTAGTTCACACACTATAGTAAACCATTGTTAATGGTTTATGCCAAACTGGGCTGTTTCGCTCCTTCCCACTAGGGCTAGGGAGAAACCAACTGCAATCTCTGAGTGTCATGTCCAAATCAGGGATAATGGTTTGTTTCACTCATACAAGCCATGATCAGTAAATAAGCCAAGAACAAACTTTGACTTATCACCATGGTTTAAAGCAAAAACAACAACAACCTTTGATCTCTGGTTTTTGCATGTCCTTCTAAGCAAGGGATTCGTCCCAGCACTATGGAGGATGAGTGAAGGGGGCACAATCAGGTTCTGCAGGACAGAGCCAGATTTAGGGCAAAGCCTGGGCCTAGGGGGCACCTCAGAGTGTCCCAACTATGACGTAGTGAATTGAGAAGAATATAAGGTGAGAGGCAGGGAGGTGCTGACTTTAGGCCTCACACAGTGCACCGCTGAAATTTGAAAGACCAAAGTCTGCTCCTGCTTCTCGCTTGCTGATTGTGGCCTTCCCACAATCAGGAGTAAATTTCTGGCACTTTTGAAACTACTCCTATTTTGGCAGAGAGCCTCTGGACCTCTCCATTCCAGTGGACATAGAATGGTGGATGCATCTCATCTATGATGCCTTAATTTTTCAAAGCACACATCAGGCCCTCTTATGTGGTACCTTGGTTCCCAAATTCAATCCGTTCTGAAAGTCTGACTTCAAAAATGTTTGCAAACCAAGGCACGGCTTCTGACTGGCTGATTGGCCCCAAAAACAATGCCAACAGCTGAAATGGACGTTCATAAACTGGAACACTTACTTCCGGGTTTGTGGGGTTTGGGAGCCGATTTGTTTGGAGCCAAGCCATTCGGGAATCAAGGTACCACTGTACCAGTATCATGCCCTGGTACATAGCATAGGAATCACCGCTATTCCATGTCTCCCTTTAATCACAGAACAGTATGGTGTTGTTTTTTCTCTATTGAATTGAAATAAAAAGAGTTGCCATCCCACAAGCCAATGATGAATCATGCCGTGATTTCATTATGTAGCACAAATGACATATTCCTTGAGCTTACAACAAGCAAACCTCTTTACTAGCCCTGTCGTCAGACATAAAGGATTTCTTGGCTAGTACTGCATTAACCAAAATGAATTCAGCCATATGTGCATCAATCTTGTCGTTTAAAGGGGGGATGCCATGTCTAGCCTTTGTCTAGAACTCTATTAGCATAAACATGAAATATTATGCCAAATAAAAGTCAAGGCTGCAAAACGAAAACCCGGAGAGCCTATTTTTATTTCATACCGTCACCCCCCGCTAAAATCACTATATGTATTTCACCATGCCTGTAGATTATACGGGAGACTTGTTCCCACCTATGAAAGTGCTTCCATACGGCGGTTTGAAGAAGGAAGAGTAGACAACATCCGATCTGCGACTCCCGAAGCTTTAACTTTTGTCAAAGGAATGATTGATAAAAAATCATCTCTGCAGGTAAGAGGATTTACACACAACCCTTTATACTGTTATATCCTGCAGGAACAGGGCCAACTCTGGATTTGCAGAGGCGGGGCTTGAATAAGATGTCCTTAGTAAGACTCCTCTGAATGAGACCACTCTCTCTGGCCCTTCTCCTGCTCAGTTCCTGTGGAAGGGCCATAGCTCAGTGGGAGAGCATGTGCCTGGCATGCAGAAGGTGAAAGGTGCAATACCTGTCATCTCCAGGTAAAGTTGGGAATACGTCCTGTAAGGAACTTTAGAAAGCTACTGCTGCTCATGTTTCTAAAATGGACAATGGGGTGGGGACTTGGAGGTCCACAAAAAAAAACATGCTTTGGGCATCACAGCAGAGTACCACTTGGATGCGTCAGTTTTTAATAATAAAAAACTTGAGGAAAAGTTTTAAAAGGACAGTTGTGGCAGTTGGGAACCCACAAAAAAATTGGAGTACTTACTTTGCCAAATCTTTATTAGGCATTACAAGTATAGGCCATCATAAAACATCCATATATAAAGTTTTAAAATATATACAAATAAACAGCCATTCATAATACGTAGTAACAAGAATTTTCATTGGAATTTCTTCTGCTAAATAGTGCCATTTGCCACTCTAAGAGATATTATTGACAAATGCTCAGCCCCCCTTGCAGTTAAAAATTGGAGTCTGCCTGTGGTCCTCAGATTAATGAACCCTAAATTAAAGGATCCAGTTGGCAAAACAATGAGATTGTTGTGATAGATTGCCCATAATTTTTGGAAGCAAATTTGAGTTTTTAATTTGACTTCAGATTTGGCCGCACCAATTTTGTAAAGGGTGTGTTTTGTTTTTTGTTTTTTTAAGGGTGACTTGAAGAGTTGGCAGCTTCCACACAGTGCAGCTGCCCACATTGCGCTATCATGAAGGGATGGCCCATGTCATGATGCCTCTTGCCATAGTGGGTTTTCCATCCCTCAGAGAAAGGTGTGCACCTTTGTTAAAAAAATTAAAGGAGGGCACTCTCAATTTGTTTGATATCGTAATGGAATAAGATGTTTTCGTTTTCATTGTCCAAATGACCAAATTTTGGTCAAGGAGATAAAGAACTACACAATTTTTAGAGGACATGTGAAGGCAGCCCTGTATTTGGAAGTTTTTTTTATGTTTGATGTTATATTGTGTTTTTTATATGTGCTGGAAGCTGCCCAGAGTAGCTGGGGCAACCCAGGCGAATGGGTGGGGTATAGTAATAGTAATAGAAATAGTAGTAATAGTAATAACATGATAACCAAATTAATTTAGAAGCCGCTGCAAATCCACATAAGTTCCAGTGTGTATAGGCCCTGGATTGCCTTTTAAACATTTAGTAAGGGGCAATGTAGGGGTGCGGGTGGCGCTGTGGTCTAAACCACTGAGCCTAGGGCTTGCCGATTGGAAGGTCAGCGGTTCGAATCCCTGCGACGGGGTGAGCTCCCGTTGCTCTGTGCCAGCTCCTGCCAACCTAGCAGTTTGAAAGCACATCAAAGTGCAAGTAGTTAAATAGGTACCGCTCTGGCGGGAAGGTAAACGGCATTTCCGTACACTGCTCTGGTTTTGCCAGAAGTGGCTTAGTCATGCTGGCCACATGACCCGGAAAAACTGTCTGCGGACAAACGCTGGCTCCCTTGGCCAGTAAAGTGAGATGAGCGCCACAACCCCAGAGTCGTTCGCAACTGGACTTAACTGTCAGGGGTCCTTTACCTTTAAGGGGCAATGTACACACAACAGAGAAAAGCAGTGGTTTGGAGTCTGCAATTCTAAGCAGAAAAGGGAGAAGGGAAAAGAGGGATGAACTCTTTCCCTATCTGGCAATTTCCAGCTCAAAATCACATCAACCCAGCTGCTTCCCCCACCCTTCCACCCCACCCTCTTCACATTGACATAAAGCTCCAGAAACAAATGTACATCTGGAATCCTACAGGGGGAAATCAGCTTGGAGAGCCATTTCAGTGTGGGAAAATGGTAGGCAGGCAAGCAAAGAATTAAGCACCCACTCGCAGCTCTCGACTGCAACGTCCCAAAGATGCTTTTCTTCACGAACAAACAAAAAGTCTGCCAAGGCACACATTTGCGTGAAGTGTGCCCTTCACCCCTAAGGAAAGCAATTCAGTGGTGCTTGCAGTACAAATGAGCACAGCAGGGAGCTCAGTGGGCCAATTCTGTACCTTCTCCCACTATATTTTTCCCCTCTGAGGTAATTATCCCATCTCACCTCATAGCATTTGAACTCGTTAAATCCTTCCAGCTACAAATGCAATATACTTTAGTGTTTCCTTTCAACATTTTGACTTCCTTTTTGCAGCTGAAGACAATAGGGTTTTTTTTGGGGGGGGGACAACTCAGAGGTGTAAAAGAGACTCTGTCACCCTCACTGGTTTTGCCCAGGTGTTTTCTCTGACCCAACAGACCTGGTGCATGTTTGAGAAGCACCCAGAAAATATGAGAAAAGTGCAAATGGAGAAGACAGTGGGATGAGTGTGCCACATTCCATGGCGATAGTGCCTTTGACATCCCACTTGTAACTCTGAAAGAGCCTGTCTCTATTTTAAAAATGGAACTACAGTGGTACCTCAGTTTTTGAATGTCTCAGAAGTCAAATGTTTCAGTTTTCAAACGCTGAAAACCCAGAAAGAAATGCTTCCGTTTTTCAACACACCTCAGAAGTCAAACGGCTTCTGCTGAGTTTGTTTCAATTTTTTCTATTGAATTTGCAGACCGCCCTTGGTTTTCGAACATTTCAGAAGTCGAATGGTCTTCTGGAATGGATTACATTCGAAAACCAAGGTACTGCTGTACATGTTAGGGCTGATGCTAAAAACAGTGGACCACCATCATCTGTTCCACCTGCCCCTGTTAATATTTGGTAATGTTACATGAACCCCAGTTTCCAAGCAGTGAAAGACCTCAGGGGAGCCATAACATACATTGGGCTTGGTTTCCTTAGACAATGTCACTGGAGACCTTGCAAAACTCAGTTGTAACTTCTCAGCAAAAGTAAGAATCCAATGCATTCTAAGTAACCACCACACAATAACTATTTGGGATAGCAAAGGATAGGGATGGGGAACCAATTCAATTCAGTTCACATTTAAAGCTGAATGTATAAAATTTGCACTTCCAAAGCAATATGAGAACCAAAACACAGCCATCCTTCAAAATGCACACTTATCCAGATTTTGTGATACAGTTGTTCAACCAACTTGTGTTCACAAAAATGCATCGGAGGGAGGGGGAATGTGCATAAAAAGTAATATATTTGCATTAGGTTTACTCAAATGCATGTATGTTTGATAGGTTTACATGGAAAATCCATTAAAATATTCTAATAAATATATTGGTGAAAGCAACATACAAAAATGCATTATATTACTGGAAAATGCGTTCAAAAATGTGTACATTCATAGATGTGCTTATTAGGAGAAATTTGCACAAAAATGCTGAAGAATTTTCATGAAGATTGCATTTTTTAAAAAATTGCTACAGAAATGTGGCAAACTGAATGTAAGATTGGACAAATGAGAATGAGAATGATTTTTATTTGCTTGCCTACTGCTTGTAAAGGCTGCATTCAATCCATGGGCATAGCTGAGGAAGGCTAGGGGGCAGCTGCCCCAGCCCAAATCAATAAAATCAATACAAATCTGAGGTTCTGCCCCCCCAAAAAACCCTGCCCCCCAACAAAAGACTGCACCCCCTAACAACAATCCTGGCTACACCCATGATTCAATCCACTATCTTTAATGAAATTTGTGTAATCTAATAGTAATAGTACTTTGGTTACAAAGCCTTCTGCCAGTTTATTATTTCTAAATATTTCTTTTTGCCTATAGGACTCTGAGAAAATGCAACAATTTAAGGATGCCATAGCAGCTCAGACAAATTACACTATTTTGGTAAGCAAAACATTGTCTTGATAAAACTCAGTTGTTTGGCATGCCTAACCATGAAATTAATTTACTCTTCAAAAGTCATTAGATTAAAAAATGGAGCACAATACTGACAAACATCCTATATGTTTCTACAAAATGTAGAGCATACAGACCAAAGAAAACAGTCCTCAATCTTTACCAGATTTGGAATGTGAGCTGGGTCTTTTTCCCTGTGTGTAGATCCACCCTTGGTCTATTGAATTAGCTGGATCATTATTTGCACACTGAATAATAGGGTGACAATGAATGCTTTCTTCTTCTCAGTTATCAAAATAAACAATGATTCTCACAAAAGCCATAATGACCAAACAATCTAATCTAATTGAACCTAGTTTAAATGGTTAAGGTATTCTTGAATTTTCAGATTCAGTTTCGCTGTCAAGATCTCATTAGCGGGGTTGGGGGGATGGGTGCAAAACAGCATCAATCAATGTTTATTATGGCAGACAGCCAGCATATATATACACACACACACACACACACACACACATATTAGTTATAATTCAGTCCCACTGAAGTCAATGTGAAATGTTAGTAATGACTAACTGAAGACTTGTTCATTTCAGTGAGATCTGTGTGCAACTAGCTTAGTCTAGCTCTTCCCTTAAATTTATATATTGCACCTACATAGGATATCCAAGGGGTCTCCCATCCTGGAGACTGTTTGAGTCATCCCTCACTTAGCTTCAGTGGTACAGCTTCACTTGATCTCAGATCATCCTCTTAATCCAGTGGTGGCCAAACTTGACCCTCCAGCTGGTTTTGGACTACAACTCCCATCATCCCTAGCTGGAAGGACCAGTGGGTCAGGGATGGTGGGAATTGTAGTCTCAAAACAGCTGGAGGGCCAAGTTTGGCCACCACTGTCTTAATCCCACGATTGGCATGCTAATTAATGGATGACAAATCTCTTGTGCTTCAGAGTTAGGTTGGGATGCAGACTGAAATAAACTAATAATTAATGGTACATCCTTGAGGAATTTAATTCTCAGAGACTAGATGTAAATTTCCCATCAGCTTTGATCATTTATATTTCCTAATTACTTCTAAAGTAGCACACTTTGAAACATTTGTGTAGCTCATCAGTTGGGGTGTGAAGGATGACAGAGCCTAAATTGCCAACTTTTGAACTTGCTCCCACTGCTGGGCCTTTAACAGCCACTTGATCTGCGGCAGCAGTTAGTAGCAGCTTTATTATTTATTTGCAAACATATCAGAAGATGAACGATAAAACGTCCTTCATATGAAGTAGCACAAAATATACCACAAATTGGTAGATTGGATTAATACATCACCACATCTGGCTTCCGTTCAAAGTGAAGAACAGGAAAGCCACAGTTGGTTTTCTTTCTGGCCCAGTAGGAAAAATACCCATCTCATTATTAACAACAACAAAATTAATCACAGAGTAATGTTATTTAGTTGTCCCTTTGTTAGAAAAACAGTGCTGCTAGATTACACTTGTCATCTTAAAAAAATAATAATTTAAATAGTATATCCATCCCCCTACCCCTGCGTTGACTCACCTTTTATTTTGTAAGCTCAGCTTAGTCTCTTTCTCTTCCGACATGATATTAATCTATCTTGGAAAAACGTCGTGGGTCAGAGGCTTATAAATCATGTTGGATAGCAAAATATTTCCATTGATCCTTCAGTCTGTTCCTCTTGATGGGGTAGAACTGATGGTGACCAGTCTTAGGTTTTATGATCTTTTCTCAAAAGTCATTTAATATGTGCACCAGTGGACATGCCAGTATTAGTCTCCAGGGTGCAAGTTTTCCAAATGAGGCATGAAAGGTTAATTCATTCCTTGGCCTTAGCATCATCCATCTAAGATATTAGCAAAGGCAACCACCATTTTGCTTAGCTGGAACCCTCTTCTTCTCCCTTCCTCAATTCTGTGAAACTGGATGTTTAGATTCTGCCTCTGCCACAAACTCGCTACATGGCCCAAGGAAAGCTACTGCCTCCCACTTTCAGATCCCTCGCCGTAAAATGAGAATAATAACCCCAAATCCTAATTTATAGTGTTGTTGTAAATATTACTGTTACAGTGTATGAGAGATGGTTTGAACGCAAGCAAGTGCTTTTTGTAAATGCTCACCTTGGGCCACCATACCCTACCTTCCAGGGTTGTTGTGCAGATTAAGTAGCGAAGGGCAGAACCACATTGCTCATTGGAGGAAAGGCAGCAAAGGCAGATCTAGGGGAGCGTTAACAGTGCCATCGCACCAGGCACAGAACTTCTGGGGTGCCACAACTATGGCATCCAACAGAAGGTGGGAGACAGGAGGTGCCGGATTTTGGCATCACACAGAGCCCCACTGAAATTTGAGACACCAAGTTCCACCACCGAGGGCAAGATATAATGATGCTGTTGTTTAATTGTTTAGTCGTGTCCGACTCTTCATGACCCCATGGACCAGAGCACGCCAGGCACTCCTGTCTTCCACTGCCTCCTGCAGTTTGGTCAAACTCATGCTGGTAGCTTCGAGAACACTGTCCAACCATCTCGTCCTCTGTCGTCCCCTTCTCCTTGTGCCCTCCATCTTTCCCAACATCAGGGTCTTCCAGGGAGTCTTCTCTTCTCATGAGGTGGCCAAAGTATTGGAGCCTCAGCTTCAGGATCTGTCCTTCCAGTGAGCACTCAGGGCTGACTTCCTTAAGAATGGATAGGTTTGATCTTCTTGCAGTCCATGGGACTCTCAAAAGTCTCCTCCAGCACCATAATTCAAAAGCATCAATTCTTCGGCGGTCAGCCTTCTTTATGGTCCAGCTCTCACTTCCATACACCACTACTGGGAAAACCATAGCTTTAACTATACAAACATAACTATACAGATATAATGATAAATGAAATAAATACATACATACTTTCCCATTTCTTATGGACCTGTGCCTCTTCCTGTTATTTCTGCAGTTTTTCTGCTCTAACTCATCAGTAGTTCCCCAATTTATTTCTAGGTGGAAACAAACCAAGTGGAAGGTAATATAAGGGAGACACCATTTCTCTTAGTGTGCTCACAGCAATGTTTGGCAGGTTTTTGAAGCACTATAACAACCTGCAAAACCTGTTTTAAACAGAGATGACCACAAGATCAGCTTGCATACCAGAAGCTATCATGCCTCACATATCACTGTTGGCTGTCTGAGGAGAAAATATTATCTGTCACCAGGCTCCTCAATTGAATATTTGATCAGGAGGGAGAGGAATCAATAACATGCACTAAATGTGGTGTTTGAACAAATTCTAACCTTAGCTTGGGGAAAAAAATATATTGGGGGCATTTGCCATGTTTTAAAATTTTCTGCAACTTTGTAGGTTATACTTCTCTTACAATTATTTAGATTTTTATGTGAGAAATTAAGGAACTGAACACTGTTAAAATACTGAACACTGTTAAAATTCAAACGTGCTGAAGAGCTGTGCACACACATATATTTGATTTCTAGGAATAGTCACCTGAAAAAATTTGCAGTGCAGGTCTAGCGAGAAACTTCACTGAGTTTAGTGGGATGTATTCCCAGGGGTGTTTAGGATTGCAAACTTAATTTACTACTTTGAGTTTAGATTTGACTAATATTGTATCCATTCCGCTTGCCTGATCTACGTTGACATAGATGACATTCCTTCAGTGTGTTGCTAATTTTAGGAAACACTAGAAGGTAGGGGGTTTTCTCATGGAAAAAGTATAGAAAAGCAAACATTTCCATTGAGCATCGCTGACTGTCCAGTCACTCTGAGTACTGTAGCTCTGTGAGGTGTATAAGGTCTCTGAACAACTATCAACACCAGGAATTCTTTTCAGCCACAACTCAGTTATGGCACCTCCCAGGTGGGCACCATTGCCATTATAAGAGAACGAGGGTTGCATTTATGGTGAGTTCTGGAACCTCTTTTTCAAGAAAAATAGCACTGCTCAACAGACCACGGTTCCCAGAATTCTTTGGGGGAAGCCATGGCTATTTAAAGTGCTATGGCACTGGTTTAAATCCATAGTGCAAATGGGGCCACAGTGTGTAGGATCTGGAAGTGTGCTCTGAACCCACCAGAAACAATTGCAGGCAATAGTATATTACACTAATAGAGCTCTCCTTTATATGCTGATCTAAGTCCCAATGAGTTCAGGGGGACATGCTGCCAGATAAGTGAGCATTGAACCCAAACCGGAAATTGAGGGAATAGAGAATCCCTCCCACTCCAACCAAGCAGCATGAAATTAAGTTCATTGGTACTGACATCCAAGGGATGTGTCTTCAGTTTGGGGCATGTTCAGTTATAACCCATTCTATATGCTGTTTTGGCTAGGCTATTACAGGGATGGCAATAGACAACCACTTGCTAGGACTGCGAGAGATAGCCCGTGAACATTTCAAGGAGCTGCCAGACATATTTACTGATGAAACGTATTTGACAAGCAATCGATTTATTCTCTCCACCAGCCAGGTGAGCGAAATTCATATCGGGATTAGTCATAAAAAAGGAACCCCATTATTCTCGCCGTGACAAATGTTATGAATCAGTGACAACCTTTTGACATATGTTGTGGAGGTTTAGTGACTCCGGCAGCACTCCCAAATGCCTCGGGGGTTCTCGTCCCTTTCATTTTTGACAACCAAAATTAATAGCTCAGTGGCAACAAAAAGGTAAGAGGGTGAAATCTAAGGGATGGGCAAACCGTGGTCCACAGACCTGATGCCTTCCACAAAGAAGAGCCCAGATGGATCAAAGCAAAGGCCTCTCTGGTCCAGCTACATAGTCACATGGTGACCAACCAGGTGTCAGTCAGAAGGCCACAAGCAGGACGTGAATAAAGCAGCCTTCACTCATGATCACCAGGAACTGGTATTTAGAGGCAGATCCCCTGAAATAGCAGGTGTAGTACAGTCGTACCTTGGAAGTCAAACAGAGTCCATTCCAGAAGTCCGTTCGACTTCCATAACATTGGGAAACCAAAGAGCGGCTTCTGATTGGCTGAAGGAAGCTCCTGCAGCCAATCGGAAGCCACGGAAGCCTCATTGGACATTCGGCTTCCGAAAATCGTTCGAAAACTGCAACACACACTCATGGGTTTTGATCGTTTGGGAGTTGATTTGTTTGGGAGCCAAGGCATTTGAGATCCAAGGTACAACTATACACAGTTGCCATGACTAATCACCATTTGTAAACTACCAGATAAATCTGTTTAATCTAACTCATTCCTAAAGAAATGAAAGTGGTTTCCAAAACGTTGCATGGAAGAGAAAGTCCATATTTTGTTACATCGCTCGGACTCCAAGAGGCACAGAAAGAGGCAGAGCTGCTTAATTTTGGACCGCTCCTCTGGAGAGCATCTGCCTCTCCCAATGGCAGCATAAGATGGTTTTATTCAAATGGGCTTTTGGTGGCTACAAGTTGAGTAGAATAAGGATGGATATGCTTGTTTTTGTTGTAAAAAAACAAATCATATGCCACTCTTTGTCACATTAGATTTCAGGACAGCGTACAAAATAAAATCAATACGAATAAAACAAAAATAAAACAGCAGACAAGCCATAAAACAGACTGAAACTAATTTTGTTAAAATACCTGGGTATTTTGCCAGACTCTTGGGGGATCGCAATATTGGAGCCAGGCAAATGCCCTCTTTGGACAAAGCATATTATTTACTCAGCCCAAGCACTACGGAAAAGTAGGCTAGCAGTCCAATTAATTAAATAAGGCTCTCCTTCTGTATCTCTTACCCCCTCTGCCATCTAGCCAGGTGTGCCTGGGTGTGTAAGTCCACAACAAAGAAACAGATGAGATTTCGAAACATCAAATATGATACGAGGACCACTTCCATTAAAGTCAATGGGACTCCATTGCTGTAGGAGAAAAAGGGAAAACACTCTCTCCTGCTGGCTCATTCCTACTGTCGAGAGCCCGATGGCTCATACATCAGTATTACTTATTAGTATCATCATTAAAGAAAGTGCTTTTAATTTTCAAAGTACTGTATAGTCTCTTGTCTCATTCGTCTTCAAAACAACACTGTCATGTAAATAGGTCACTACTCCTTTCATTTTACAGACCGAGAATTGAAAAGATAGATATTCCTTCAAAACCACCCACTAACTACATGATAAGTAGGAATTTTATCCTAGGCAACTACCCCTCAGCAGAAAGTTTGGGGACAAGAGAAACCAATTTCCATGGGCTCCTCCTAAACCTGAATTGCTAGCTGCATCCAGCATGCCCTCACCAAATTTTTCAAACTCTGTAGAAAAGGAGTCCTATAATAATTCCTATCTGCTGGATTTAAGCCACACAAAAACCCCACAGCTGACCCCAGAAATCACCCATGCCCCTCTTTGCATCGTGCTCAGGACAAACTCCATGATGCAAAAGCCATTCTTTCATATGCAGACCGAGTGTGGCATTACAAGTTGATTAATGATGTGGGTTCTTTGTTTCTAAAATTGTAATTTCTACTGTTTAAATTAAAGCGTTCTTCAAGCCACAAAGCCCACCAGCATTTAGCAACATCACATTTCTGTATATACAGTAGCAATTTTAAAGACATATTTAATACACCTGGGATAATGAATTTGATGAAACTGTATGTCAGATATATACAGTGCTTTTTTCTTTTAAAAAGATGTTTAGGGGTACTCTCATTTTCCTACTCATATGGAAATACTGCCCCTCAAAGAGGCCAAACTTAGATTCACAAAATGTTTAGGGGTATGTTTACCCCTGTGCCCCCCCCCCAAAAAAGCACTATATATGGGAGGAAGACCTCTGGACTGAAAGGGGGTGGTGCTAATACAATGCACAAACACAACAGCCTTAATAAGTAATTGGATCCAGCCATGATGTCTGTGGCTTTTCAAATATGACAGAGTGTAACCAGAATACCACTACATAAATTCTCCAAGAAACTATCCATGGGCAAAAAAGTGAATCTGAATAGCTTCATAGCCTTCGGCTGTTGCACAGCAAATTTATCTGACAATTCTATGACTCTATTAGTGGGACTAATGGTCTGTCCTGTGCCATTAAAAAGCCAAATGTCATCTCTGAAAGCTTGAGTACAACAAAAAGCAGGAATGCATGGATTTCTGAACAAATAACATCTTCGCTTTACTAGGGAGCATTTTATCCCATTACAACATTATAGAATAATCAAAGCTTTAATTGGAGGGGGTGTGGATCCAGCTAAGCGATACCATCAGTGTGTACTGATTCCTAAGCTTCCTCCCAACAATAAATCTTTGAGATTTATGTAAGCCCTTCCAGTAAACTGAATGAAATCTCAAGAGCAGTTGGGTATTAAAACCACAGGAATAAGGAAGCAATCTTTAACCACCAGTACAGTTCTTATTCAAAAGAGACAATGAGCAAAAGAAACAATGAGCACATTATGCACATTTAAAGATCATACCTTTTTTTTTTTACAAAGATAATCAAATCATAGTGGGCAAGATCTCTAGGCAAGATCAGAAGCCCAAGAAGACTTTAGACTTGCTTTTCTAGAACAGGTGCCACCTGCTCCCTTGACATGCGGCCAACTATATTTGAAAATCGGGGTTTCAAAAGCATTTTGTGGTGTGGGTGTGGGTGTGGGTGTGTGGGTGTGGGTGTGGGTGTGTGTGTGTGAGAGAGAGAGAGAGAGAGAGAGAGAGAGAGAGAGAGAGATTCAAATTAAAATAGTCAAAAATTCCACTGGGCTTGTCTATGCATCTTGTGTCAATCTTTAGATCCCTTTGGCTAATATTCTATAGCCTTACAAATGTCTCTGTGGGAAGTGGGGGGGGTATTGTTTTGCTGTTTTGATTTACTTGTTTTAATCCTGTGTTTTATGCTGTGAACCACCCTGAGATATTATGAAGGGTGGAATAATAATAATAATAATAATAATAATAATAATAATAATAAATTAAAATGTATCAAGATCATGCAATTGTATGTAAGAACCATTTTAAGCAATGATCCAAATCCAGGAAAAGATATTTGAATAAATACTAAACCAAGCAAAACTCTCTCCTTCAAACAGCAAAACTTGTGCCTGAGTTACCAACAGAAATAAGAGTCTGAGCAGGACCACTAAGAAACAAGTGGGAGGTGTTTGGATGTTTGTTTGGAGAAGTACGGCTTTTTTTTTATAAAAGCACCAAAGGGATCACTTTTTGTGAAAAAATAGATTGGTTCATGCAATAAATAAAGAAGCTCTTTTTAAAAAAGCAACCAGCTGAATGAAGACTTAAGCATGCTGAGGGGCTTTGAGGAGCAACATAAAGTTGAGCCTTGGTTGGAAAACTTTGGAGAGAGGGATAAATTGGGCAACTAGAGCTCCTCAGAGGTTATAGCATCCTATGAGAGGTTATGGGTGGGTGGCTTACTGGAACCCTGAACAGGACCACTCCTGCTCGTGGGGGACAGGTTAGCATATTCTGGAACCATTTATTGCAAGTCCCAATTGTAACTATTATTTTGCATTTCCTATACTCCTAGACTAAGAAGGCAAGATCTGAGCTATGTGACACTATGTAATTCTTTACAATTACCAAGTTATTTCAACAGTACTTTTTTATTCGGCAAGCCGCCCTGAGACCTCCGGGTAATAGAGCGGCATATATATTCAATAAATAATAAGAAAATAATGATACTTTAATGTAGCTTCATTTCTTTGTTCAGGTTCCAACCACCATGGGGATGTTCTGCTGCTATGGACCTGTGATTCCTAATGGCTATGGTGCTTGCTATAATCCACAGCCAGAGCATATATTATTCTGCATCTCCAGCTTTAAAGACTGCAAAGAGACCTCCTCCAGCAAATTTGCTAAAGCTGTGGGAGAAAGCCTCATGGATATGAAACAGCTGTGCAACAAATGCAACTTGCCCAAGACAACCACTCCAACTAAACAAGGAGCACCTTCAACACCTCGACCTGGCAGTAAGCACTAAGTGGCTGCATTCACACATAACGCTGAGCTCTGATTTGTTTCAACGGTGGTTTGTTCAGCAACCCATGAGTCATCTCACAGATGAACAACCAAGCCACAGCTTGTTCATCCAAAACTTTTCTAACTATACTTGCTAGAGCAGGCATCCCCAAACTCGGCCCTCCTAACAGGACCAGTGGTCAGGGATGATGGAAATTGTAGTCCCAAAACATCTGGAGGGCCAAATTTGGGGATGCCTGTGCTAGAGCATCTAGGATGGGCTAGCCAAACCAACCATGGTTAAGCAGGGCTGTTGAGTTCAGACATAGTGCCAAACTATCATTGAAACAAGCCATGGTTCATAAGCCAAAACAAAACCACAGTTACTCTGCTGAGCTGGGTGCAGATGCCCAAACAAACCACACTTTGTCTAAGCAAACCATGGCTTAAGTGTTATGTGTGAACCATGGCCCTAAGGGTGCAATATCTTTCCTCTGTTTTGCAGCTGCTTCTTAAGGTAGAATGTTGTCACTGTACAAATGCAAGCTATAAAGACCCTATATATTGCAGGAAGGAGATTTCTTTTATCTTTAGCTGTGGTCTCCACCAGTATTTATCAAGAAGACAGTGTAAATGATCTAAAAAGCTGGTGTTTCAGTTCTGCAGAACACGACTGCTAATTATCGATCTGAGCTAGAATGCAACTCATCTCCATGCTTGCTTAGAAATAGCCAGTTATCAATAAGTAACATTTTGCGAAAGGTTGTGGCTGAAGCACAGTGTATCGCCCAAGACATCCGTCATTGCACAGAAGCCAAATTATTCATTGCTGAGCATTCTGAGTCAAGGCTCCCAGCATGAATGTATGTTAGGGATGTGTTTTTGTCCTGCACATGTGATATGTGAAGCAACTCTGAGCCTTTTCTTTTCTTAGTGGTCACCCCAACATACCACTTGACCTCTCAGGAGACAACATGGTATTGTAGACAGCATCATGGTCATGGGTTGTGACCAGTTCCCATTGAGACTGGTGGGGTAGGAAGGCAGCGAAACCAAAAGTAGATGGAGCCAGAGCCAAAGGCAGGAAGATGGGCCTGGCTGAGGGCAGACTGATGTTGATGGAGCAATGCTCCACTCATCCTCATGAACCAACCTCCACTGTCAGCCACAGAACTCAATGGGGTGACTTTGAGCCATTCACACCCTCTCAGCCTAACCTGCCACAGGTGTGGATAAAAAGGGAATAACCCCATGCAAGACTGCAGTAAGCTCCACAGAAGAAAAATGAGATAGACATGCAGAAAGACTGTGGACATTTTGAAAATGCAAGGAGCTTCTATTAGATTCTATTTTCCTACAAACACACACACACACACAAGCAGAGAAGTCCTGATGTGAGCCGCCCTGAAACCCCCAGGTATAGGGCAGTATATAAATTTTAATTTTATTTTTTAAAATAATAATAATAATAATAATGTACCCAAAGGACCTTTCTGAACCACCTCATACAAATTAACTTATTAAACTAGCAGGCAGATGAAAGTCTGCTAGAATAGCTCTTAGACCTCAGGTGGTACAGCATATATTTTTATATTTTTTTGTCGCTTTGGGTTTTGTGTCATCATAGTTTTCATGGGGAGACCCCTATTGCTTCCTCTGACTTTGGTCCAGGGGGCTGCCCATCAGACTCTGTGCACAGTTTTTTTGGCAGGGTGGGTTGAGAAGCTTCGGCGTCATGTTTCCCAGCTGCTAAGCCGCATGCAAGACTGGAATTTGTGGCAGCTTCATAAGTGGTGAAGTTCCTCTTGCTGTCGGGTGCAGAGAAGTCTCTTGTACACATGCCGGTGTGAACCTATAGGGTCTCTCTTAAAAGGGTTCAGATGCACAGAGAATTTGCTTTGCATGCAAAGCAGCCCAGGTTCAGTTCTTGGCATCCCCTGCCCCAAACCCTTTGAGATCTGCTGCCAGTCAGTGTAGGCGAAATTGAGCTAGATGGACCAAATTGGTATAAGACCAATCCTTATGTTCGTCCTGTGTTCTCTTGGCTGCATCCATTCTTCTTCTTCTTTTTTAATAAAAAAAAAATCGTAACAAAAATTACAAACATTGAATCCAAAATAATACTATACAAACAAGAAAGAAAAACAGAACACACACACACACACACACAAAAGAAAAGAAAAAACAAAACAAAACAAAACAAAACAAAAAAGCATACATCTACAAATAAAACCATATCATCATTCTAATCTAGTCAGTCATTACATACATATACACATATTGACTTCCTTCCTTTGTTCTAAGACCTCAGAATTTTTACTCTTACTGTATTGTTGTGTCTAATGTAGATTACTTCCATCTTTGTACTTTTTTACACCATTTTTCTTTTTCTTTAACCCTGTAAAGCATCATTCATTACATACCGATATGCTTACTCCAGAACAATGTTTTTTCATATACTCTTTACCACATCCCCATTCTTTTAATAATTTCTGGTCCAATTGTCCCCTTATGAATGCTGTGAGTCTTGCCAGATTTATATATTCACAAAATTTAATTTGCCATTCTTTCATTGATGGTATTTTTCTCCCTTTCCAATTTTTTTGCTATAAGCATCCTGGCAGCTGTCGTTGCATAAAGGAATACTTTCCTTTGACTGTCGGGAATATCGTTTGTAATTATACCTAAAAGGAATGCCTCTGGTTTTTTACTGAAAGATATTTTAAACATCTTTTTGATTTCTTCATAAATTTCATTCCAGAATTGTTTAATAGGTCGGCATTCCCACCACACGTGAAACATTGTTCCTATTTCTTTTTTGCATCTCCAACAGGTATTTGATTTTAATTTGTAAATTTTAATTTGGCTGCATCCATTCATTTCATTGTCATCATCACCACTGTCCTCCTCCTCCTCCCCATCATTACTCTGCATCTTAAGATATCTCAGGACAGCCTGGTGCCATCTCAGTGTTTTGGACTACAACTCCCATCAACTCCAGCCACAGGCAGTGAGAGTTGTAGCCCAACACATCTGGAGGGTGCACCAGGTTGGCAAAGGCTCTCTTAGGATATGTCTGTGTGAAAATGTTCTGCTTCTGATCCCTGCAAGTCACCTGGAGATTTGTATCTATCTAACAGTTGATGCAGCTGATAATCTAAACTCAAGGGATATGTTGCCCTGTATAACATGGTGCATTTTCCCCCCTTGGGGTATCTTCTGAAACTTTCAGGTTTAGGACTAAGGCTCAGATCTAGTAGCAGAATAAGCTCCAGCTACGTCCTAAACTCCGTAAATGGCAACATAGCTCACAATTAAAATTGGGTAACGATGGAAACTTCAGAGTTGGGGATGCATCAAGCTATCTTTGATCAGGTGGAATCAGTGTTTATATGGGATGCTATGTAACTTATCAATGTGCTGTCAAATGAAATGTGGCTGTTTTCTGCACATACTGTCTGAATACCCTTCTGTGAACATGCCAGGTCATGTAATAACTTGTGACTTAGTAGAGGTTTGTGGGTTTCATTTTTTTGTGGATTTCAGGGAATTGTTAGTGCTCAATAACTTCATTTAAAATTAGCTGTATTAGAGCAGTAGAACGCAAGCTTATTCTGCAGCTTTGAAATATATAACTGCAGCATGTGTATCTATGCAAACTTAACAGTAGATTTACACAAGTGTCAGCTACAGAACTGCAGGATGGACCATCTACAATAAGCACGTTGAGCATTTCAGTGGAGAGACTGAATTTAGAAATATTACGTGTGGGACCTGCAATAAAGATGTGGCATGGAGGACTCCTGTTCAGGGTTTCAGCCAGCCAGCCAGCCAGCCAACCAACCAACCAGCCAACCAGCCAGCCAGCCATGCCCTTTCCCTGGATATTCCATTCCATTCTCCTCTGGGTTTCCATTCCCTACCCCAATAGCCAGTTATGTCCCCACTGAGCACACTCAGTTCCTTTTGGGGGTGTCCTAAAAATTGTACTTTTGCCAGCTTTGGGGTTCCCATAAGCCTGACTCCTCCCTGTTGTGTGCCAATGGTCCAAGGGCATTCAGAACCTGAACACTGGAAATTGAATGTCCTCCAAGCGAATTTAATTCCTCCTAGGAAATACTATTCCACATTCTTACTTTGCCTCCACTGAAGCCAAGAGTGTACTACTGCTATATACGGCTGGGTTTGTGTGAAGTGTCCTGGGAAAAGGCAGCATTTCTCCAGGGCATCTTCACATCACCGTAGGAAGTCACACATGCAGACTCACTGCACAGTCTGGTCTGGTCCCCCCACCCTCCTGACTGATGGTGATATGTAGTAGACATAGTCCCTGATGTAGACTGGGGGTCCTGCATTTTAATTCCCTGATCATTCCTAAAGGTTACTGGATGGCCTAACCAGCCCCTCTCTCACCACTTGACTTATCCTACAAAGCAGTTGTTGCAAAGATAAAAATGAGGGAAGTCTATGAATGCTGTCCCAAGCTCCTTGGAGATCGGGCAAAAGAAAATATACAAGTCTTTCTCTCTTCTGGGTGGATCGCTGGAGGAACCCATAAAAGCTGGAATGGCCTTTGTGTGTTGCATGGATTGGAAACGCCAAAACACCAGCCCATGTTCCTAGGCACAGTGGTACCTTGGTTCTCGAACTTAATCCATTCTGGCAGTCCGTTCCTTGCCCGAAACTGTTTGAAAACCAAGGCATGGCTTCAGATTGGCTGCAGGAGCTTCCTGCACTCAAGCAGAAGCTGCATCAGATGTTTGGCTTCCGAAAAACGTTCACAAACTGGAACACTTACTTCAGGGTTTGTGGCATTGGGGAGCCAATTTGTTCAATAACTAAGCCGTTCAAGAACCAAGGCACCACTGTACAACGTTTCACTTGAAGAACTCAAGTTTGCTGCAGTGCATGTATGTACACACGCAGAGCAAGTTAAAAGCCTTGTGGAAGATCATGAGAGTTTTTCTGAGTTTCCCATGGAAGATTCACCCCTGGAGACTAACAACAGCTTGGTGGGAGGTCACTGGAGTATATAGGGGAAAGGTTGTCCCCTCCCCCCATATGTACTGCATGGCAGTTGCATTCACAAGTTAGTGTCATGTCTAGCTTGCCCCAGTGCATAGCTAAAAGTGAAATAACTTTCTCCCATAGTGTCAGAATTTAGAAGCCCCCTTTGCTCCTGGACTTACTCAGGTGAGCTGTCTTCGTGGAGCTAATGATACAATACGAAGTGGCAATATGTCCCAAACTTTTTATAATGTGAGCATTATATTATATACCTAAAGTTACTATTTTAGTGATATTTTATTTTTATAACATAGTGTAGATTTATGGCAAATCTAAGGTGTATTTATAGTGTCTTTGTTTAGACTGAGCTATATGTTTTATGCTTTAAGGTCTACGAGTCATTCTGATAGATGATATCAAAGTGAACTGTAGCCCAGCTATGATGAATCCAGAAAACAGTTTAAAATCTGTAGTCAATAAAAAAGTATATCAAAGAAAAGATGTGTGGCTTTCATTTTGTACATGTGCTGTCGGGAACAAGCCAGCAATAAATCGCACGGTGGAAGTGAAGTTAACTCTTTATTAGAAGAAACAAGATCCACTCAGGAGTTCCAAGCCTAATGAACAGAACAACTGTTCTTGATAGGTCTTGCCTCTGTGAGGCCATGTGGAGCTTGGAGGTCTCACAGCTGCCTAAGTCTCCTCCTTTCTTGGGCCTTTCCCAAGCAATCTGAGACTATGCTGGCATGCTGCCTTTGCTCCTCCCTCTTCATACCTCTCTTGGTCCTGGAACACCGGGGGGGGGGAGCCTGTCACAGCGGGAAGGGGAGATACCCAGGCTTATTCATCAGTCTGACTTATCTCTGCCTCTTGTTCTCCCTCCTTTCCTGCTTCCACCTCTGCTTCTGATTCTAGACCTCTCTGCCACAGACTCTCCCTGCTCACCACGCCCTGTTACCTCTTTGGCTTCCAACACCTCCTCCTCCCAGGCATTCTCCCTCTGACCACTCACTGTCATCCTACCACCAATCCCCAGGCTCTGAGCCTTCTTCCCTTGGGGGTTCCCCAGCTGATGCCTCCCACCCTTCCTCTGGGTCCAACCAGTCCATGACACTTGCCCTTTGCCACTATGTGACCACAGTCTGTTCAAACAAGTATGAGCCCCAGCAATTTCCCCTTTCTCCCTCTGGAAATCAAATACCACCAGATGACAGGCTTCAGGGAATCGGCTTCCTCCTCCTGGAGCAGTAGATAAGCAGAACAAAGGAAAAGGAGTCTTCTTACCAGTTAGTAACTTTAATAACCACAGCGAGAAAACAAAGAACCTATCTCCTAGGAATGGCAGTGCTCCCAGTTAAGAATCCTACCCCCTATTAATCCACATCACTCCCACATCTTGTAATCTGAGCTTGTACCCTCTGTGCATTGTGTGCTTTCTGTTCTGCCACTTTCTCAGCTCTTCTAGACCTTGTGGGGAAGGATGAGTGCTTTCCAGAGACAGTAAATCTTTAACCCCCTCTCTCCCAGTGCTTCTTCTCCTAGCTGTTCCCCATCCAGTATTTCCCAGCTTCTGCCTTCTGAACTATGCCCCTCTGCAAACCACTGTTCCAAATGTACACTGTCCTCCTGCTCCTGGGAAGATTCAGGATCCTGATCAGGGGGAGGGGGAGGCTCCCACCATTCCTCCTCAGTGCAGCCCTCCTCAGCACGGTTCCTGACACCAGAGCTGGGCATCAGGAGCTGTCCTTTGTTACATCTCAGAGAGGGAGGCTCACCATAGTTCCAATGAATGACACAACAGTAGGCAATGAATGACACAACAGACACAGCTTAGGCAGCAGGGGCAGCAGCAGCAGGCTTCTCCATAGTGTCCAGCAGAGAAAAGAAAGTGCCCACAACTGTTTCTGTCCTGAAACAGCCTTTCCCCCTATTTGTTCTGGACCCTCTCGGCAAGGGCTGCAACGTGGTCCAGCAATGCCAAAGAATGCACTGGTGACTCTCAGATATGGGGCCTACAGAAGCTGCAGCGTCGTTGAACACAGGACCTTCCGTCTGCAGGGCTTACAAGGTTTGTGACGTAGCCTGCCAGACATGTCCCATGCTGAAGGAAAATGGGGTGGGAATGATGATGATGATAATAACAATAATAACAATAATAATACTTTATTATTTATACCCCACCCATCTGGCTGGATTTCTCCAGCCACCCTAGGCGGCTCCCAACAGAATATTAGAAGCACAATAAAACATCAGACCTTAAAAACTACCCTAAACAGGACTGCCTTCAGGTGTCTTCTAAAAGTCTGGTAGTTGTTTATTTCCTTGACATCTGATGGGAGGGCGTTCCACAGGGAGGGCACCACTACCGAGAAGGCCCTCTGCCTGGTTCCCTGTAGCTTCACTTCTTGAAGACTTCATATCCCTTTACAAGCATTGTCACAAACACTTATTTCAAAACTGGGTTTAGGCCCAGGTTCAGCACTGAAGTAGCCTTCATCACCCTGTTGACCTCTTGTGGGAGAAAGCATAGCCTCCGACATTTCTCTGATTAAAATAGGGGTGTCCTATTCAAAAACAACAATTTTACTATCCATACCCCACCTATCTGACTGGGTTGGTTATATTTATATCCAACAAATATAAAAACATAAGGGGGGAAAAATAAACATTAAAAAAAATTCCCTATACAGGGCTGCTGCCTTCAGATGTCTCTAGGGCTGGATAATGCCATACCCTCCAATATTTCTACAATGAAAATAGGGACACCCTAAGGAAAAGCAGGACATTCCAGAGTCAAATCAGAAACTGGAGCTGCTTCTGTGCATCCAGGACTGTCCCTGGAAAACAGGGGCACTTGGAGGGTCTGAGAAAGATGAATTCAGCCCTATTGATTCCTACTGATGTTTCACTAAAGCAGTGGATCCTACCAACCATGGTATCTCACTGGTTTTATAGATTGAGAGTAGGAGTAGGAAGAGTGATAAGCTGGTTCTGCTTCTGCTTACAGGGCCGCTTTTAGAAGATAGCACTGGAGGTGAGATTGCTTGATTCCATGGCAGTTGTGCTGTGGAGTCCTGTAAGGTTCTATCTTATCTCCCATGCTTCTAAACACCTATATGAATCCTCTGGTTAAGGTCATCGGGGAATGTGGAGTGAGATGCCATCAATATTCTGGTGACATATAATAATGGGTTTCCCCAGCCACTCTGGGTGACTTTCAACAGAACATTAAAAACAGAATGAAACTTCAAACAATAAAAACTTCCCTAAACAGGGCTTCCTTCAGATGTCTTCTAAAAGTTGGATAGTTGTTCATTTCCTTGACATCTGATGGGAGGACGTTCCACAGGGTGGGTGCCACTACTGAGCAGGCCCTCTGCCTGGTTCCCTGTAACCTTACAGGACTCCACAGCACAACTGCCATGGAATCAAGCAATCTCACCTCCAGTGCTATCTTCTAAAAGCGCTATCTTCTCCATTTCTTATCCGAATCTGGTTGTCAATAGCATTGTATTTTAGCAACATTACCTACCTACCGCCTTTCTGTAGCTGTGCTGAAAGCCGATGGACACCAGGTAATCCTGGAAGAAATACCGGATTGGAATGAAGTGCAGCTCATAGTAAATGGAGAGACTGTGTTTCAGTGCAACATTAATGATCTGGATTTTGGTGGGTACAATATAAACTTGTTTTCTGTTTTGCTTTTAAAAAACATTTCTAAGAAATGTAAAAAAATGATAGAAGAAATACAGATGGCTCCTTCCATTCTTTAGTAGGGCTCATAGATTTTGATTCTAACTATGGGAGCTCCTTGCCAAAACCCCCTAGCCCCCAACCCCACTGCCAATGCCTTCTCCCACAACTAGGCAACCCCTCGTCCCTTGACACCTCACCTACCCTGTTGCCTCTCGCCTCACAACTTGCCCAAACCCTTCCCCAAGCTTGCCCCCAAACAGCTAGGTATATGGGAGACATGCTTGTGAATTAAAAGAAAATGGTATTCGGGGGGGGGGGGCAGATAAGATCCTGCAGACTACTGGTGGAAATTGAGCCTGCAGAGAGGAAACTATTATTCAGGCTGGCTTTGCGAGTTATTGTTCAGAGTTTGTTTGAGATGGGTCAGCTGAAAACAGCACACACACAAAAGAAAAATGAAGGGCAGGAGATGAAATGGACCTGGATGTTTGTGTACACTTGTGTGAGAGCCCTGCCTGCCTCCAGAGCAACACATCCTCAGCCTCCCACAAATATTAGATACAACAAACAAATACAGTATACAGTGCCCAGGTTTGGGCTAGTGGAAGAAGAAGAAGAAGAAGAAGAAGAAGAAGAAGAAGAAGAAGAAGAAGAAGAAGAAGAATTCATTATTTGTACCCCGCCCATCTGGCTGGGTTTCCCAGCCACTCTGGGCAGCTCCCAACAGAATATTAGAAGCACAATAAAACATCAAACATTAAAAACTTCCTTAAACAGGGCTGTCTTCAGATGTCTTCTAAAAGTCAGAGAGTTGTTTATTTCCTTGACATCTGATGGGAGGGCATTCCACAGGGCGGGCGCCACTACCGAGAAGGCCCCTCTGCCTGTTTCCCTGTAACCTCACTTCTCGCAGGGAGGGAACCGCCAGACAGCCCTCGGAGTGGGACCTCAGTGTCCAGGCTGAACAATGGTGGTGGAGACGCTCCTTCAGGTATACTGGGCTGAGGAATTCTAGTGTTATATGGTACAGTAGGGGGAAATCAACACACACACACACACCAACCAAGAGGCTTGAATAGCATTGCAAAACTTTTCCATGCTGCCTGAAGCCATGAACAGCAGTGTCCTTTTTAAGAGGTGGGGGGAAACCTCCAATGACCTATTTATGTTTTAACATTGTCCATCTCTCTCTCTCTCTCAGGAGGCGATGGCCTGTTGGACCCACTTTGCCAAGAAGCTAGACATGCAGTGTTAAATGCTTACTGAGTAAGAGGCCCAGTGTGTGCTCTTGACAGCAAATCTCACATCAAATAAATAAGACTCTTTCCTTGCATCGCCCATTACGTTGTTAACCCTGTCTTTCAAAAGGGTTCTATTGAGTCCTCTTATTTCACCACCAGTGTGGCTAAAAGCATCCAGGTGGAAGAGGCAGTTTAACTGGCCACAGAGATTTAATCTCAGGGCTGGTATTGGCTTGATAGGCAGTGTGAGATGACAGTTCTGTTTCTTTTGGATCATGTGCAATCAAGATGTGCAAACAATGATTAAGATATAAGGCCACCATCATCAGACGACTACGTTTGGAGAGATCCGTTTGGGTAGCGGCTAGTCTTGCATCTACCCAGGATCTGCAACTCCTCAGACTGTAGACTTTGTATGATGTCTTCTAGATATATCAATCTACAAGACAGTCCTGCTTTAAATGTGTCGCGTGGATCTGACCTGCATCTTACAGTTTTTCCGAAGACCTCAGCGCAGTCCACCATGATCTGGTCCCAACTGAGACTGAAAGGGACCAGTGGTGGCACCCAGCAAACTAAGTGGGGATCTGAATCTCGGTTGCTTTGATGCTCAATACTCTATCCACTACACAGGCTTTATTTTGCGATGCATCCCATCGTTTATGAGATGTATTTGCATCCTCAAATGACTCTCCCATGCAAAACCTGGACTGCAGCAGCCCATTGTTCACTCCAGTGAGAAATGTAATCTCCAGAAGATACAAAGTTGTCCTCAAATGTACCAGGAGCAGTGTTAATTAAATTGCTTTACAGCCTTTTTGTCTTGACTAATTGCCTCATTAGGACACATTTCTCATCCCCCAAATGGATCTGAAGTATTCTTCATCATTGAAGAAAATGTATCATTAAGTGCTTTTGCCCTGCGCCCCCGTCAGTCCTCAGAACTGTTTGCCGTCGGGGAGGAAGCATACTTAGATCTTTGCCAGCTGTGCAAAGATGGTGCTGCAATCAGCAGTCGAGTGGCATTAATGGCAGAACCCCACAATTACTCCAACTATTTCCCTTTTCCGAGCGAGACCCTTACATACAATTTGTGCAATATCTTCCATCCTTTTCCTAATTTCACAAACAGCTAGCCTCCTTCAGAGGCAGTAGTGGAAAGGGGTGTGACACGGATCCAAATGTTTGGCCGGAGAGCATTACACAAGACTGCATTGCGATCCCTTGCCTGTTTCTTGGTAAACCACTTGGCAATGCATTCAGCTGAGTTTTATCCAGAACAGGCGCATTGAAATTAATGGCCAGGACTAACCTGGGTTAGAGAGAAGGCAGAATTGCTCGACACCTATTTTGCCTCTGTCTTCACCCAAAAGGAAAGTAGTGCCCAACATGGAGATAACAGCATCAATGATGCAAGGATCAATGATGCAGCTCAAGATAGGAGAGGTGGAAAGAAAACACATAGCTGCTTTAAATGATTTCCAGTCTCCAGGGCCTGATGAGCTGCACCCAAGGGTACTAAAGGAGTTTGTGGATGTAATCTCAGAGCCTCTGACTATAATCTTTTGAGGAGCAGGTGAGATGTTCTAAGCACAATTTAAGGATATTGACAAGCTCAGATGTGTGCAGAGGGCAAGCTAGATGAGTAAGGGTCTAGAAACCAAGCCGTATGAGGAACGGTTAAGGAATTGGGTATATTTAGCCTAGAAAAGAGGAGACCGAGAGGAGATATGATTGTCATCTTCAAATATCTAAAAGGCTGTCACATGGAAGATGGAGCAAGCTTGCTTTCTCCTGCTCTGGAGGGTAGGACCTGTTAGGTAAGATTTATTGCTTTACTCTTGGTGTCCGGCACGCTCCCCTGCACTCCTCTGCAGGTTGTAAAGCAATTAGCAGAATTGCAAAGCGTCCGTGTAGAAAAGGGCAGTAAAACAGTCCCACATGTTTCTTCTTTCCTAGTAGCACTTTATTTGCTCAAAAGTAGCATATTTACAATTCATATACACCATCTGATTGAAGCTGCATTTTGCTCTGCGTTTGCATCCTTCTCTCTCAGCTTGCAGCTGCGCAACAAAGCTGCTTTCACTTTTCACTCAGCTCACAGCATTCCAAGCTGCTTTTGTCACGTCCTGGCTTACTTCCCTTGTAAGCGCCTCCTCTCAGCCTCGAGACACAGAAGGTTAACCCTTCACTACACCCAACAGGACCCAAATGAACGGCATCAAGTTACAGGAAAGTTGGTTCTGATTAAACATCAGGGATAGTTTTCTGTTGGTAAGAGCTGTTCAACAGTGGAACAGACTCCCTCAGAAGATGGTGGACTCTCCTTCACTGGAGATTTTTAAGCAGACGTTGAATGGCCATCTGTCATGGGTGCTTTAGTTGTAATTCCTGCATTGCAGGGGGTTGGACCAGATGACCCTCTGGGGCCTTTCCAATTCTAAAATTCTACGATTAATTTCATCAAATCTACTCTGAATAAACGTTAGTTGATGACTGTCAGTAAACCCTATACATGTTTTCCCAAAAATAAGTCCCACTGAGTTTAATGGAAGGCTTAGATAGAATTTCCACCTGTCATACTGTTCTTTTTGCTGAACTGAGAGACCCCTTTCCAACTAAAAACAAGAAACACACAAGACATTGCTCTTTTCTGCATACATTTTATTTTCACTCATTCATGGTGTCTTAGGCACAAAAGCCACAATGCAAAATAATAAGCAAGCCAGTGAATTTCATAAAGTTTCTGAAAATACTAGAAGAGACACACTAACACAGAGTGATTTTCTGGGAGAAAAATAGGCTACATAGGAAAAACCTCCTTATACTTGTCAGCCGATTTGAGGTAAATGACACTTGTAAATTATGAAATATACACCAAGTGATGTAAAGATAGAGATCTCTATAATGGGAAGTAAGTAATCTAAGATTTCAAAACATGTAATATCTCTAGAGAAATTAGAGCTTTGCTGCTGCTACGGATATATAAAGACAATGGCTCACTAGTTTTGGGAAATGAATGAAACTAGCTTTGTTTTGAGTTTGCCAGAGGTATGAACAGTTTTGTTAACATGTTCTAACTACTTCATCTTCTCTTTCACCAGTGCCAACAGTAATCACCTTTTTGGAAAAAATAAAATAGAACAGATTTCTTTAAAAACCTGTACCCAAACAGACTAGTTCCTTTCACTGCATTAAATTCTTCAGACTTCAAGTCAAAATATAGAGAAGACAGAGGAAGAGAAAAATACAGGAAAGAAGATCTGCAAGATGCCAGCATTTTTGTGAATGGGATGCTAATACCAATTCCCAGGGGACAAGCTGTCAAAAAACAACCATAAAGAAAACAGACATTATATTCCACTGCTTATTTTTCACATTCTTGGATAGAATTTATTTTTTAAAATATAATGCTACAGTCCACAAACAGCAATGAAAATGGAAGCCTGCCATTTCCTACTTTTTATGTCTATGTTAATTCTGTTCTCTAAATTTGTGCGTTTCCAGCCACAAGAGCATTTATCACTCAAAAGGAGACAGAAAATATTTCAAGTTATACCGAGATGGCCTTCCTTGTAAAAACAGAGCAAAATATATAGACCTATTATTATTTAGACAGCATCCTTCTTCCCTTTAAAATTCTTGTTTATAAAAAAGCTCAAAATGCTGTGCCTTGGGGCTACTTACAACACAACCCTAAGTATGTTCACTGAGAAGTTCTATTGTGCTCAACGCTGCTCAGTTCCATGTAACTGGGCACAGGATCACAGCCTAGCTAGCTAATTAATGCCATTTAGAGTTAAATAATGCAAAGCAAAATTCCAATATATTTTAGATCCTGTTAGAGTAAAGCAAACCAGAACTGTAACCCTTGTTTAGAAAGCCCAGCTGTTACGCCTGTCCACTGCATTGATAGTTTCAACTATTCTACAGTGTACAGGGCTTCAAGAATGCCCAGAGTTGATCAGAAACAGCCAGATCTGCTCAGTTTTCCCCCAGTAACTTATTCAAAACATACCTTGTGATTTTTAAACAACAAAGCAGACTTCCCCACTGCCGGGTAAATCAGGAAGGAGCAGCAGGGATCTCAACATGAACTATAATGGTGTCTGCAACTGCCCCACCAACCTTGAAGGGCAATGATCACATTTTTTGACACAAGAAATATGCCAAAATCCAGTGTAAGCACAGCAGCAGCTCTTGTTGGGGTTCCTACATGCTCTCACTAACTCCCCCCAGCACTTAACAGGGAGAGGAAACAGTACCATGTGTTTCGTGTCCCAGTTCTGGTGGCTAAATGGAAAGCAAGCCTGCTAAATTGTTTGCTGCATTCAGATATGTGAGAATTCAACAAAGAATGGTTGGGGGCAGGGTGGGGTGGAATCTGCAAGAAAAACGTTGCTCATTTGAACTATATGAGACCATTTATACAGCCTGCAGTAAAATAGAAATTAGTATCTGATGTTAGGAAATCCCATTAAAATATGCACACCAGTTTTCTTGAATATTCCCAAACTTAAAGCAAAATAATTGTTTCTTCCATCTCCCTAACAAGAGGTAGCTGTGATGTAATCAACAGAACCACATTGACCGGATGAGAATTAAGAGGAACCCTTAGCATTTACGACATACACACAGTGGTTTAGAAGAGGTAAGCTTTAAAATAGGTCTTTGAAAAAGCCAACCTCAAAAAAAATCCCAAGAAGTCTTTCCCTGCTGAATTTTATTTCATGTTATGGTCATGGCCTTCCCTAAATACATACATACTATACTACATACGGAGATAATGGGCCACAACGTTACAATCAAAACATCTTTCCTTCAAATGCCTCCAGGTTGAAGGCTGTGTCCAAAAACCTTCTGAGTGACACGAGATGCGTGTTCTTGTTACCAGTTGCTGGAGCGGCAGCTGGTTCACGGCCGACATACCTTGAAGCAGAAGAGACAAGGAGGCAAATGACAGAAATGAGATGTGACGTTTTTTGAAGCAGAGACACACTGATAATAAACACCTCTTACATTAGTCACCTCTTATATTAGATACTTTCTATAGACTTTTACTTATATGTATAGGATTCTAGTTACTATTTGCCCCAGGCTAGGCTTACTTGCTTAGGCTATCCACTTATTATGTGGGTAAAAACTATTTCAGCCAACCTGTACTGTTAAGCTTCATGAATTCCATTGTGAGTGACTCCTCAAACTGTTGTTCATGTACAAGATGCTTGCTTTATTGAAACTTCACTGGTACTTTCCTACTTAAATCCTTTCTCTTGTTTCTGTTTCCCTCCAAGATCCTGCACAAACTTCCCCTCATCATCAGTTGTTGCCTTGTCTCTCTCCATTCTTATGTTCCCTCTCTGTGATTTTATCTAGCTCGATCAGCCTTAGCTGTCTAAAAGTCTCCCATTTCCTGAATACTCTGTCCATTTCCCCATGCTGTCCAGTATGCCGGGGCCTGCCTCTCAGAATGCCTCTGTACAACCACCTCCCTTATTTCAAAACACCTTTTCTGGGTGTCCCGTCCCCCCCCCAATCCGTATGCCTTACAGTAACTAAGTGTGCATAATTGTAATGATCATATTCTTTCTCTGCGTACCCTCATTTCCATTTCCCCCTTTCTTTGTTTCAGATTGCAAGTCCTGTGGATCTATGTATCTCACATACATAGTTTGAGTGCAACACCTCAAGGTTCTATAGGAAGTTCACATACCACACTTTTCCGTGTATAAGACTATGTGGTTTTTTTCTTTAAAACTCATGCTAAAAAGTGGGGTCGTCTTATACATGGGTAGTGCATAGAGTGGATGTTTGATTGGTTGCTGCCATGGCTGTCAGTGGCTATTGTGTGTGTTATTGGTTGCTGCATCAATGGCTGATGCAGTTGGGCAGGCAATTGGCAGGTTCTGCTGGCGATGGGACAAATGGGAAGTGGATTTTGTTTTTTGTTTTTGTTTTTTTGTTTTTTAAATAAACTTTATTAGTATTTTCCTCACAACAACAACACAAAAAATATTGAAAAATAACAATACACAACACACAAAAACCAACATTCAAAAACTAAAGAAAGCAACAACAACTAAAAACAACAACAAATCCATATCTTATAAGTTAATACGATAAACACTAAAACAACAACAAGACATTGACTTCCACCAATCCCACAGCACCTCCTTTACCTCTCATTGTGTTTTCCTGTTTTCTTGTTTTCCTTATCATCTCTATCCTAACATCTAGATATAAATCCCTTTTTCTTATCCTTTCACTTCACAAGGTTATTCCAGACTCAGCCAGATTTCTGTCCTCGAACCTTGACTTTTGAGGTATTCATTTAGGCACTCCCATTCTTTTTTTACTTCACTTTTTGGTTTTTGTCTTATTATGTCTGTCAGTTTGGCTAATTCTAAGTATTCTGAAAGCTTACATAACCACTCTCCCCTAGTGGGTAACTGATTCCCTTTCCAGTACTTAGCCGCCAGGATTCTTGCTGCAGACGTTGTGTATAAGAAAAAATTAGTTTTGTCTTTTGGAATATTGTCATTTAAAATTCCTAAAAGAAATGCCTCTGGCCTTTTACTATATGATATTCTTAATATTTTCTTTATTTCTTTGTGGGAAGTGGATTTTGTGATGCGTGTGAGTGAGTGATTTTCGACAATTCCCCCCCCCCCAAAAAAAAACAACTCAACAACTTTGGGCAATCCTCCACAAAAAAAGCTCAACAACTCTGTGCCATCTCCCCCATTTTCTTAACTTTGAGTCCCCCAAAATAGTTTTATACATGGGGGCATCTTATAGACGGAAAAGTATGGCATATCTGAAAGTGGCAGAGACGCAGCCTACAAAAGGGACATAGGCTTGCAGCAGGTCCCAGGCCAGGTCCAGCATCTCCATTTTTTATCCCAGGAAGCCTGGATAGGAAAAGTTGCCACTGAAGCCACTGCCAGCCAGAGTACAGCCCAGCAGCCCAGACGGAAATATCAAGGCTTCATCTTCAACTTCTTAATTCATATGTTCTTGGCAATGCACCAAAAGCAAAAACAAAAACAAAAGGGGGCAGCAGCCCTGAATGAAAAGAAAACCGCTGCAAACATCCTACCATATGGGTCGAATATGGTTCACAATGGTGCGGAAACGAGGTTTGACGTAGTCGTAGTAGCCTATGTTCTTGTGTTCTTCTTGACACCAGACAAGATCAGCTTTAGCATACTTCTCAATTTCCGATTTTAGCAAGTCGAAAGGGAAAGGGGAGATCTAGAAGGAAATGGAAATATAGAAATTTCTGGCATGGTAACAGGTCCCCACTGCGTATACACATCTTTATTCCTCAAATACATGAGGAATATCGTCTACCGCTCCCAGTGAGTGTGGCACATTTCAAAAAAGGAATCTCTCCAAATTAGTATGTAAGGAATGCTCTAATATCCCGATCTGACCCACACACAACAGTTACATTGGTGAAGGCAAGAACAGTTAGCAAGTATATGCAGGTAACTAGCAATTTTGTGCACTCAGCTTTACGTGCTTCACAAAAAAATGTAACAGAAGAAAAAGAAGAAGAAGAAGAGGAGGAGGAGGAGGAGGAGGAGGAGGAGGAGGAGGAGGAGAGCAGAGAAGATGGGCATACAAGGAAATGTACAAGGGAGCGGATGGGCATATAAGGAAAAAGACTTTGGCAATCCAACCCTCCACTGAACCCAATGTTTTTTGACTAAATCTGATTTTGGCTTTACAGGCTATTCCCACGAAAGTTGAGTTGTGTGTATTTCACTTCTGCTGCAAATTTCTGAAGGTGGTGCGAGTACTGTCATTTGTTCGACAAACAATACATGTACTGCCACTTTCATCATAAATGTACTTTTTATTTCACTCACATGAATACTTATAGACACAATCTAGTCAAAGCTAAGCACTTTCAGGTCTCATTGTCTTAGCAAAAGAGTGGCACTGACCATGTTTAAACTTTCATTTTAGATCAATGAGTCTTAACTGTGTTTACCTTTTTATACATGGGGCAGAATCCAACTAGTTAATATGGACATATGAAAATTTACCAATATGAGTATATATGACATTGCTGGGTTTTTTTTAAAATAATTTGGTTAAAAAGAATTATACAATACAGTCACAGCGAAGAAAAGAGCACGTTGCTTTCTGCAAATGATATATTCTGCCCAGGCACTACATTTGTTGAGTAATCCTACTGTTATTCTTGGACTTAGATACATTCCTGCTCACATCAAAAGGAACCAAAAGCGTCTCACAATGGCATGCAGTGTTTGGATGTCATCTTGAGAATCCTCATCACGAGAATCCTCAGATCAAAAGTGATGCCAAAAGCACTTTCATTTGCAATGCACTACCTGTTGATGTTGAGAAGGCAGAAAGTGGGAAACTACCATTTTTAAAATCAAATGTTCATTTTGGTCAATATAGTATTTTTTTTTCATTTTCAGATGAAAGAAATGGGAAAACAGTTTTAAGCATCACTTGTGAAAAGCAGCATTAGAATACCCTTGTGAAGGCAGCAGATCACTAAGTATTCACATTTTATAAATACAGAACGGGGTTCATAATTTGCAGAAGTCAACCTAGTCAATTCCCATCAGGTAAGTTTCCAGTCCAGTTATTCTACATAATCTTATGCTCCATTCACCAAATCAAAACACCTCGTGTTTCTTCCCCCCCCCTCTTTTTTTAAAAACAGAACTTCAAGTTTTTGTTACTTTGACACCAAAAAGTGTCAACAGGATGGGCTGTCGCCCTAAACGGCCTCGGTCCTGTATACCTGAAGGAGCGTCTCCACCCACATCGTTCAGCCCGGACACTGAGATCCAGTGCTGAGGGTCTTCTGGCGGTTCCCTCATTGCAAGAAGTGAGGTTACAGGGAACCAGACAGAGGGCCTTCTCGGTAGTGGCGACTGCCCTGTGGAACAGTCAGATGTGAAGGAAATAAGCAGCTATCCTATCTTTAAAAGACATCTGAAGGCAGCCCTGTTCAGGGAAGTTTTTAATATTTAATGCTATACTGTTCTTAACATTTGATTGGGAGCCACCCAGAGTGGCTGCGGAAACTCAGCCAGATGGGCGGGGTATAAATAATAAATTATTATTATTATTATTATTATTATTATTATTATTATTATTGGCACAACATTTGGTTTACATGTCTAGGTTTAAGGCCCCTTGTTCAATCTGCCACGTCATCAGGTAGGCTTGGGACAGACTCCCTGCTTAAACCCTGAAGAGACGCTACTAGTCTGTGTAAGGCAGTAGTGAACTAGATGAACCATTAGTCTGACTTTGCTGAAGTAACTGGACATGAGATAGGGATTTCCTTCCTGAGTTAAATCACCCCATGGATGAGCTAATTTCAGGTGCACAGTCAGCCGAGCCAGTTGCGATGGTAACGGCCCAGTGCCCCAACTATATCTGTGATTAATGCATGTCAACTCAGCAGTCTATTAGTTGGTCTGTCGGTCCTCAGTCTGTTGGTGTTGCTTGTTCAGTATTATATGGAGCAACAGAGATACTTTGTCTGTATCTGTATTTGTCTGTATCTATGTCCAGAACTGTTTTACAGAGCCTTATCTTCTGCAACAGTAAGCTATTTAGACCTTAGGCTGCTTCCATGTGATGACTGGTACTGGGAGCAACTTCCACCATGTGTGTACCTCATATCAGATTAACAACAGATTCAGTATGAGAAAGGTTATTATGTGTACTTCACAGGCATGTACATTTTAAAAATAATGCGCACACCAAGTTCTCTCTCTTTGCTTTACCTGTTCCAATCTGGTTATAGCCACCTCCTTCTCCAAATCCTGGTTCTTTCTCTCTCTAACAAGATCATAGTATACCTTCCCAGTACAGAAAATGACCCGCTTGACCTCCCCGGGAGCTTCAGCTGCAGGTCCTTCTTCAGGGATCACACGCCTGAAGCTGGTACCTAGATGTGCAACAAAGGTGTTTTAATACAAGGTGCCTAGTCTGATCAACCCTAGAGGATTTCTCAAAAATATAAGTAATTTTTGGTATATTCCTTGGATTAGAAAGCCTTCTTTCCCTCCTTCCATAGTTTCCAGTCTCACCATAACTTAGGGATACTGCCGCTCTATAGTAATTACACAGAGAAAATGACTCCCTTCATGAAACACAACTGGTTCTCAGTGGCAATTTTTCCTAACTCTCATGTACTTGTATCGGTTCTGTAATTCTTAAATTCAATAATATTCTGAACAGGCAGAGGAACAACAATCATTGTTATAACTATTATAATTTTTAGAAAAAAATACGAGATTTGCTTTGTATCAGTGAAGACCTTGAGCACCCTATCTTGGCTGACAAGTAGACATCACAAATAAGTTCCCCCAGCAATCGCGGATCCATTTGCAGCTATTCTACTGTGTTTTTGCTATTTTCTTCCCATGGAAGGGTCTCCATGCCACAAACGCAGTACTCCCATGCCAACAATGTAATGTAAGGCATGTTTCAAAACAAAACGTACATAAGTGAACCTACCTGACACCATTTCATCAAAGCTGGATTTTGCTTCAGGATGTCTCAGCAAGGACTTTGGTGTGAAAATAATCAGCTGTAAAATAGGCAGTATAACAATTGTAAAATGTTGCCTTTATTGAGTCAGATTACTTCACACAAGCAAAGAATTTGGTTTCCATACAAAAAAGGAATGGGTTCAGTGCCTGGAGATGAACTAGGGTAGAAGTACCCCTATCTAAAGGGTCTTAAGTTTTAATAAAATTCATGGAGATATGAGCACTTTACTGTCCTTGGATGCCTCTGCCTGCCCTAATCCCTCTGATGTCTAAAAAGTACGTTACATAAATCAGTAATGGACAAAGTAGTCAACCATTAGCCGAAATAGTTTGTCTCAGTGGGGCAGGGGTTTGTTGTGTGGCATAGCTATATCTAAACAAATTGCAGTATGACTTTCTGAAACAATTTTGAATATTCTAGAAGTTTCCTAAAATAAGCAATTGGGCTCTTTAATTTTTTAACTATAACTGAATTTAAACCCACTTTCTACAGTACAGGCCTAGTCTTCCATCATCCATACTTCATTATTTTTTTACAGAAAAGACTGAAATACTTTTAATTAGTACAAAAGCACTAAATGTCAATACTTACAGGTTTCCTAAATGGCAACAAGAGCTGCCTTCGGAGGACATGGAAGTAACTGGCTGGAGTTGAACAGTTCACCACAATCCAGTTGCATTCATAGAGTTGGGAAACTGCAAAATCATCTTCAAATTCCTGAACAAAGGCAGATTATGGGCATTAGAAAGGAAGCCAATAGCCTGGTTTGCACATCTTGCTAAGCCGAATAATGGCTCGGTGTGAATTTGTGAATATGTAGACTCTGGATGGAGAATGTGGCAGATTTGCTTCTCCCCAGTCATCCTGCAGCTGTGCTACACTGAATGTACACATGACTTGGTTTAACCATAGTAGTGGTGAATGACACAACAATAGGCAGTGAATGACACAACAGACACAGCTTAGGCAGCAGGGGCAGCAGCAGCAGGCTTCTCCACAGTCTCCAGCAGAGGAAGGAAAGTGTCCACAACTGTTTCTGTCCTGAAACAGCCTTCCCCCCTATTTGTTTTGGACCCTCCCAGCAAGGACTGCAACCTGGTCCAGCAATGCCAAGGAACACTCTGGTGACTCTCAGATATGGGGCCTACAGGAGCTGCAGCGTCGTTGAACACAGGACTTTCCATCTGCAGGGCTTACAAAGTGTGTGACAGAGATGTCCCATGCTGAAGAAAAATGGGGTGGGAATGAGATTAATAATAATAATATTCTCAGTACTAGCACCCACCCTGTGGAACGCCCTCCCATCAGATGTCAAGGAAATAAACAACCCACTGACTTTTAGAAGACATCTGAAGGCAGCCTTGTTTAGCTAAGTTTTTAATGTTTGATGTTTTATCATGTTTTTAATATTCTGTTGGGAGCCACCCAGAGTGGCTGTGGAATCCCAGCCAGATGGGCAGGGCATGTATGTATGTATGTATGTATGTATAAATAAATAAATAAATGTTGTTGTTGCTGATGATGATGTTGATGTGAATGTTAATGTTAATATTATTAGAGGTGGTGCTTGAAGAGAGATGACTGGGTAGGAAGGAAATATATATATATATACTTACTGGAAAGGCATCAGGATCATCATTACACATCTGAAGGAATCTCTCTGGCCTGGCTGAAGAATGCTCTGGGCCCTGAGAATCACATCATGTAAAGAAAAACAAGTTGGCATGCCTTGGAAGAATATAGATCCTAAATATAATTGTCATTAATTTCCATACTGGGCAGGATGATGTGAATTTAGTTGGTTTGATAGAAGTGGTTGTGTGTAGCCTTTATAATCACCCTCTCTGACGTAGGTTTAATAGATGGCTGACTATGTTTATTGTATAAATGGAGCACCTTATAAGTGCACACTATTACTCAGATGTTGAACCTCATTGAATGCAGTGGAATTTATTTCCAAGTACAAATGCACAGGATTAATCATTAAGTAAAAGGTAAAGGACCCCTAGACGGTTAAGTCCAGTCAAAGGCGACTATGGGGTTACGGTGCTCATCTCGCTTTCAGGCCGATGGAGCCGGCATTTGTCCACAGACAGCTTTCCACGTCATGTGGCCAGCATGACTAAACCGCTTCTGGTGCAACGAGACACCGTGACGGAAACCAGAGTGTGTGGAAATGCCATTTACCTTCCCACCACACCGGTACTTATTTATCTACTTGCACTGGAGTGCTTTCAAACTGCTAGGTTGGCAGGAGCTGGTGCAGAGCACCAGGAGCTCACCCCATCGTGGGGATTCGAATCGCTGACCTTCTGATCGGCAAGCCCAAGGGGCTCAGTGGTTTAGACCACATCTCCTTTTACTTTTAACTAACCACTATATGCATTTGGGGGGGGGCTATTCTCTCTTTCAATCATTACACGTTTGTTCTTTGGGAAATACCCACTGATACACATCTGTAACAGCAATTCCTTCTTCTTATTTAAATAAATATTAGAGATATATAATTGTGAAATTAGTTGTACACAGGGAACTATTATTCTGATCAATGGAAGCCCTACCATTCCTTCCATTCCATGAGGCAAAAGCAGGACAATCCCGTTGTGACGAACCCACTTAGCCTGTCCCGAGCTGATAAATTGATCAATGATGCACTGTGCTGTATTGTGGAAGTCACCAAACTGAGCCTCCCAGCACACGAGGGCATTGGGACTTGACATAGCAAAGCCAAGTTCAAAACCTAAGAGGGGGGAAAGAGGAAATATATTATCAGTACACACTATATTCTGTTATGACTATACAAAATGTATTGAGAATAACTCCTGAAGCTGAATTACAGAATGGCATTACAGAATGAAGTAAATTAGGACTGTGCCTCTTATACATCCAAGAATTAGAAACTTTCAGTATATACGAATATACAAAACATCTATGTCAAAAACTGATTCAATACAACTTTGTACATCTCAGTCTTCGGAACTATCACAAACGACTAATGAAAAGGAAAAATGAGGCCTAAGAAAAGCATCTTCTGCAATAAAAAAGCAAATACCAGAATGGCTTGGGTAGCATTTCAAAAATCTGGAGTGGTTGTGGCAAGATAGGTTGTGCCATTTCCATTACACTTAACATGTTATAGCTTACAGCACAGTGATGTTGCAATATTTCCTAAAATCTGACATACAGCAAACACAATTGGGTCCGTCTGGAATGTTATATGGGATTCTTGTAGGAAGCGAATAAAATTTTCCCCTCTGTGTAGTTTGTATGTGTTGTGGACGACCATATAGCAAAATCTTACTTCCGTGGTAGGAATTAGGGCATTAAATAATGGGTAAAAATGGAACAAGAATTTACTAAAAACTAAAGTATCATAGTTCTTGCCCAGCAACTCAGCTAAGGCAGATTGACAGTAAATTGCTTTAATAGCTGTAATCACAATGCTGCTTTGTTGTGCTGTTTCAAAATACAAGATTTCAAGCAGAGCCAGAGAGTTCATAGAAACATAATTAAATATAATATTAACCTAGTTTCTCTTTTAATGACCCCACCTTGACTCCAGGGTCTTATTTATTTATTTCACTGCTTCCAGCTAATAGTGCCTGTTAGACAAAATGCCTCCTCCCCCTTTTGCCCCTCACGTTACCCCCTTTTCTAGGATCATTTGCATTTAAATAGGTCATTGGATTGGCATGAGGACGAATATTCCTGCAGCAACTTTAAATGATGCCATGTAGCCCTAATCATCAACATACATCAGATGGACTGATGTCAAGTGAGCAGAATGGTCGATAATTTACCGGTATGATATCTAGAAATGCATCGCACCCTGTAGGAGACTCTCGTGTGACGCTACTGAGGCAAATCACATACGCTTAAGGAAGCTGGAAAAGGCAGTTTCTGGTCCCTTCTTTGGTTGGGGCACGCGATCCATTCAAATGGATAAAAAAAACCACAGTTCTATATGCAGAAACAGCCCTGCCCTCAAAGAAGATATATATACATGTTTATAGGGCTGCTATACGTCTGTATGGGATGTGGGTGGCGCTGTGGGTTAAACCACAGAGCCTAAGGCTTGCCAATCAGAAGGTCGGCGGTTCGAATCCCCGCGACAGGGTGAGCTCCCGTTGCTTGGTCCCTGCTCCTGCCAACCTAGCAGTTTGAAAGCACGTCGAAGTGCAAGTAGATAAATAGGTACCGCTCCAGCGGGAAGGTAAACGGCGTTTCCGTGCACTGCTCTGGTTTGCCAGAAGCGGCTTAGTCATGCTGGCCACATGACCCGGAAGCTGTACGCCGGCTCCCTCGGCCAATAAAGCAAGATGAGCGCCACAACCCCAGAGTCAGTTACGACTGGACCTAATGGTCAGGGGTTCCTTTACCTTTTAATACGTCTGTAATTTCCCAGACATAGATGGGACTTGGCAGTCGGAAACAGCTTCTGGGGGGAAATCGCTGAAATGTCCGGGAAAATCCGGACGTATGGCAACCCATGTTGGGAGTGTAGATTTTGGTGAATTTCCTTTAAAATAACTCAAAAAACTTCAGGCAAAACAAAAAGCTCAACAACGTTTGTGTCCAGATTTTCACTTTTTGAAATCTGGCAACTCTATTTTACACCTTGAGGCTCTTTAGATCTAATCCGCAGATACATATGTGCAAATGCCACCTTACTGAATGAGTACCCAGCATGTCATATGAATCTCTGTTCTCAAGAGATGTTAAAAACGATCACCAGCTGTGTGGCCAGTCAGCTGGCAAAAGCAATATTCATTCATTGACTGCTTGCTTCCAGGATTGTTAAGAATGGCAATTCTTGCTCTTTTCCTGGATGTGAGGTATGCACTCAAGTAACAATGGGTGCCAATGCCACAACAGTACTGGTAGATAACTCAAGAATAGGAATTAAATAATATTGCCCTATGCAGTTTCAAGCAGGAAAGGTGTTGGGTTGAGGTTCCCTGATCTCCCAGGTAAGTTGTCTGAATATATCCCATTACCTGCTCCTATCCAAACTGCCAAAGCATTTCAGGAAGAGGACAAGCAGATTTGCAGATAGGTGCACTGTTAATACATAGCGCTTAAAACAAGATTGTCCCTTTCAACAACAATAAAAAATACACTGTTTAAAGTAAACATTTAGATTTTAATTTTTTTAAAAAATCATCTGATGAGGCTGTGCTTTGAAACATGTTGTATTTATCTGTATGGTCCTAAATTTTTAATTCTCTACTGCACAGAGAATGAAAAAAAAAACCACACGTTGCAACTTAAGTGCTGCGAAAACGAAAGAGAGAAGGGGATACTGGGCAGTTCTGGAAATTATAACTGAAACCTTCTTTGCACATTCTAAAGTATCACACTTTCATAAAGGTTTGCTAAAGGGCTGGAACTCTTCACCCTGTGTCCCTCGAGGCTTCTTGCTCCTCCCAATTTATTCTGATTAATGGTTTTGTGTTTTTTTGTGTGTGAGGCAGCTGCCTTTTTTGGTGGGTGTTGCCTGTTTTTTGGGATGGGTGTACGTGTTTCGTCTGTTTGGGGGAGATTATGAGCATCACCAATTTCCACTCTGTGAAACAAGTCCCTTGGGGTATCTACAATGGTTTTAGATTTCTTATTCTGTGCAAAGGCTCAAAAACGTTGGGCACCCCTGTTGTATGGCTAATCCAGTACAAAGTTTAAGGTGCTGTTTTTGAGTCTATGGTAAAAATAAAGCAGGGAAATGTTTGCAAGTAACCATAAGGTATTGGATGTTCTCCAGAATATTGAATTTGCACTAACTCAAACCCTGAGCTCCTTATTGGCGCTTCATATGGAATTGAATGAAGAAAAGAGAGTTCCACATAGTCACACTACTAGAAGGCAGTAGCTGCTTGGACCTGTCTTAAAGATGGGAATCCATCAAGGAAATTTCTTATCAGGAGAATACAAGAAAGAGAAAAGGACAGATTGTGAAAAGGATACCAGGATACTGAACAGAAAAGACAGTAGTTAGTCAATAGTGAAACAGAGGTTAGGAATGGCTCAGTTGGTAGAGCATGAGACTCTTAAGACTCAGGGTTGTGGGTTTGAGACCCACGTTGGGGGGAAAAGATTGCTGCATTGCAGGGGGTTGGACTGGATGATCCTTGGGATCCCTTCCAACTGACCAATTCCATGAATCTGTGACCAAGCATAAGGGATTCAGATGAGGAAGGGTGGAAATAGGTTTCGGTAGCTAGGTTAGGTTAGAACGCAATGGACAGCACAGAAGCTGAAATGGGTTTGGAGGAAATGTGAAAGAGGGGCAAAGTCTGGCGTACCAACCATGATCAAAGTGTATAATTCACAGACATTTATTTATCGAAGCCATTCAAAGCATGCAACGGCATCTGGTAAATGTAAGTCCTAAGGGAACACTTTTGCAGCTGCATTTTGCAGGCTTGTTTTTCAGGATTTGTTTTTCTGAAGACATGAAGACTGAACATTTACATTATAAAATACAACCACAACTGCATAAAATGAAAGAAGCACCTTTCATTACTCAGGTGAAACCTTCAGTTCTTCCAGCTGGTAAAAGTTTTCATCATACTTGCATGAATCAAAAAGTTCAAATGTTCAACATGTCTTCTTTTTCTAGTTCACATGCTGTTAGTTTGCTTTTCATTACTGATTTTAAATTGTGCTTTTAAATGCTTTTTGTCTAATTAACTTACACAGTTGTATTATAAACTGGACTGCTGCATGCCACCCTGAGAGTCTCTGGGCAGAGAAAGCAGCTAAGAAATACAATTAAATAAAACCAGTTGGAAAATTTTACTGTTTTTTGCTGAAAGGCAGAGCTGGATGCGACATTTGATAAGACAAAAGCCGAAGTGTGTGGAATATATAATTGGCTGCTGAAATGTAAATCTAGTTATGTGAACAAGGTTACTAAGAAACTATTTTATTAAATTTTAGTCACTGTGTTGTGAAAGACGCCTTTTCCCTTTCTGTAAAATTATCGTTCCCATTTCCATGTCACTATATACATGCGTAAGTCTGAGATGAAGTAATTGCAGTTTCACAATTACTGAGGGCGGCTGCGCATATTACATCTTTTTATGCTGCAGGAAACATCAGTGTTATTTTCAACAAGTGTGATGTTTTGAGTTGTCCTAAATCTAAGTGTTCATTTGTGATTTCTGTATTTCAAAAACAAAACAAAACTACAAACTGGGGAACATGATCTATAATTATGGAAAATACTTTGAAAGCTGACAATTCAGAATCTAACAATCTACTCAAAACTCTGTATCTAAGGGTCTATTCACGAGCAACATCATGGCAAAGGTGCTTCTCAGTACCCGACCCTCTGCCTTTGAAAGCCTTATAAGAAGCAGATTCAGGGTGGGACTGAGAGGGACTTATAGAACCAAGGTGTTATTCTGGCTACCGCCAGGAGATGTAATGTAATTAATGTAATCTTGTTATATTTATAGTGCTGAAACCGTTCTAGTTATTATGAAATCGTTCCAGTGATGATTGATTTTGAGATGTTTTCCCGATTCCTTTGTGGTAAGCCGCTTTGAGCATGATTCTCTTTGCAGAAAAGCGGCATACAAATAAAACAATTACGACACTCAAAACCCATAGAAATTACAGTTGCAATTATCTATGCAATCTATCTGTCAAATTTACTATATTCAGGTAGCTAGAGTAATTTTACCCCCAAGAGTACCATTTGCAAATATATGAGGCAACCTAGGGAGAAGTTATTAATAAGCACAGAATGAAGTCTCTAGACTCCGTTTCTAGCTGTGATAAGAATTTGCATTCTTACCTTTAATTAGGAAAGTTTTGTGAACTCTGAAACTCCTGCTGACCAAAGGAGGGCAACTTGGCTCTTGATATGCTCTGCACACAGTAGGCTACCACTTCAAACCCACCAGCAAGCAGTCACTGACAGGTCTCATGTACTTGTCATTTGTGATTTATACTGTGGGGACCGTAGAATGTAGCCAAGGGTAGTGCGCCTGTGGGAATTTGAGGTCTGTTTTATTTCACAGAATGTATATCAATATGGGCAATGCAAGCTTGACAACAAGGAGGTCCACTGCCATTAGAATGTTGCAGCCATATGCATCATAATTAAAATGTGCATTTGGTACCTGTAGATTTCTACAAAATCCACTCAAAAGCATACGGTTACTGCCTTACATCAAGGGTGGGGGGGGGTCTTTCCCCCGCTACCAAGCACCACTGTTCTACAGAAGAAAAAAATCAATCCTGGGCCACACACAAGTATTCCACTAATTGTCTTTATTAAGTGGATTGTAGGCTTTAAAAAAAATCTAGTTTGTATAAGACAGGTACAAATATCTGCTGGAAATGTAAAGAAAAAGAAGGCATCTTTTATCATATGTTGTGGTCTTGTATGGTAATAAAAGCATTCTGAGAAATGATATATAATGAGTTGAAAAAAATGTTCAAACTAACTTTTATTTTAAAAAACAGAGGCTTTTCTACTAGGAATTGTGGGTGCTGACATTCCAAAGCAGCAGAAAAGACTTTTTATGTACATGATGACAGCAGCACGGATGTTGCTAGCCCAGAGATGGAAAGAAGACAAAGTCCCTACCAGAGAAGAATGGCAAATTAAACTGTTGGATTATGCCAAAATGGCAAAACTGACCGGGAAGCTCAGGGACCAAGAAGACCAAAATTTAACAAAGAGTGAGGAAATTTTATAATTTATCTTGGAGACCACTGTAAGCAGATGAAAGCGTTAGCAGGACTGCACTAACACTTGCAATGTAGCAAATACTATGGACACAATGCAGTGATATAAAATATGGACTACTGAATAATATGCAGTTGAAAGGGTTGACAATAGGACCCATGCCAGGGAAGGCGGGAAGTACAGAGATTCGGAGGAATCTTTAAATATTAAGGTGTATGATTGTATTGTCATATTTTTATACTCATAAAAATTATTTTTTTAAAAAAAATATCTAGTCTGAATACAGTAAATAAACAGATACACCATAAAATAAGATTGAATCTTGAACACATTTGACTTACACAGATTCTGCTTTACACTCTTGGCTGCAGCGTCTCTTTGCGAAAGCAAAGAGCCAAGGAAAAAAGCTCTCCTTTAAGCAGTGTTCATTGTCACTTCTCTGCAAGGAACATCCCCAAGTGCAGGGGAGAAGAGCCACGAGAACAGTGGTGCCCCACCAGTATCTGCTGGGAGGGGGCTTCCCCTTGGGATCTCAGGGGATTTGTGGAGGGTGGAGAAGGAAAGATGGCAGGGGGAGGAGAAAGCAAACTCGGGTAAGCACTTGGCGTGGCTTCTCTTCCCCTGTCTCACACCCATCGCCTCTTCCTTCTTCCTGCTCCTCCACAGTCCCAGAGCTAGAGGTTGAAGCATGTGTATGGCAGCAGAGGTTTCGTGGCTGCCCCCCTTGGCGTTGGTCAAACACTGCGGCCTCCAGATGACCGGGGAGGGTTTCCGTTCTCCCAGCTTAGCTGGCTTTGGCTCACTCACCGGAAGGAAGCTGCCTGTTCAGTAGAGAAGGGCACTGCCAATCCCAGCATGCATTGCGGTTGCTCTCCGGGCAAGAAGCTGACAGCAGGGAAAGTGTGGTCTGAGTCAGCCCCACAGCAAGCATTTAGTTACCAAAGGGGGAAAGAGAGAGGTGGCAGTCTAGTGTCCCAGCTGGGCTGGAAAGCAGCAATCCAGGGATTCTAAGGCTCCTGGACTATAAGCAACTTTGCGTATCCACACTCTGCCCAGAAACTAACCCTTGGATCAGATGCAATCCCACTGTGCCTAGGGGGACAGAACTGAGACTTTAAAATAAAAATGAGATGATCCCTAACACTATTGAATGATCAGGCGGTGCTGGTTATTGTGCTCTAGCAGGTAAGTTGTCCCCCCAACACAAACGTTTTTAGTAGCAACATTTAGTTCCAGGTAAACTAGGTTAGGACTGCCATTTCTCTGCCTAACTCAGTGCACATTGACACAGAAGTAATTAGATGGCACTGAAATGGGACTTGTTCCCGAGGAAGTGTATGTAGGATCACAGCATGCAGTGTGGGTTTTCATTACAGATATTGAAGTGGAGATGGGGAAGGTTCTTCCAGGATGGAGACAGAAACCTTTGATTGTTACTAACATGAAGAGAGCCTTGCTAACTCTCCATTTTTCTTTCATGTTCTGCCACTTTTATTATCTTTACATTATTTCTTTACTAAATCTGGGAACCAGGCAGAGGGCCTTCTCGGTAGTGGTGCCCCCCTGTGGAACGCCCTCCCATCAGATGTCAAAGAAATTAACAACTATCTGACGTTTAGAAGACATCTGAAGGCAGCCCTGATTAGGGAAGTTTTTAATCACTGATGTTTTAATGTATTTTTAATCTTTTGCTGGAAGCCCAGCCAGATGGGCAGGGTATAAATAATAAATGATGATGATGATGATGATGATGACTGCCTGACCTCATGATGGGTGGAGCAAGCAGACCTCCCAGTTGATGGCGACTGTCATAGTGAGCACCAGATGGGAGGTAATGGGATGGTTGAGCCACTGTCTAACACTGCCAGCTCTGCATACTTTTGGCCTCTTGGCTCTTTCACACATACAAAAATGGTGGCTTCTCAACCTCCTCCTTCTCCATTTTCCCTCTGTTTTCCCCCAAGGCCAGTCTTGGTCCAGAGCTGCCTTCTTCAACAGCACTGTTCAACTTCCTCCTAGACACCACTGGAACAAGTCCTTGCCTTTTACACCGGCTTGGCCTTGACAAACTGCTTTACCCACCAACCTCAATGTTCAAGGGGTCTCTCAAAATTCCTGGAACAGAAATTAATTAAAAGTTGGAGGTGCATCCTGCCCTCAGGTTGGAGGTTTCCCTCAGTCCTGTGCTAGATGTCTATCAGAAGAGGCTGCGAACGAGGGCAAAATGACAACTTTGCAACCCAGAGTAACATTCCTGATGCCAGGCAAATATGCTGAATAGTCTGAATATGTGCAGGAATGTGGCACTTATAATGTCCATCCATGAATGCACAAACAGACTTCATTTGCAGAGGGTTGGCGCCTCTGGCAATGGCGGATTTCCTCCGATCGGGAGGAATCCGCTCCGTGGAAAACAGGGTCTGAACCGCCATGACGAGGCGGAGACCCATTAAAAACCACAGGCGGGAGAAGCCTGTGGATGTGGGATTCGGCTGGTACCTTTGCGCCTCCCCTACTCGCGGGGAAACCCTGTTTTGGGGATCCGGAGCGACGTGGGGTGAGTGGCGCGGTGCTTTGAATCGACTGCTTCTTTCACGGAGTGAAGCCGCATTGCTGTTGCCGGAGAGCGCTGACTTTTCCTGTGGACAATTGGACTTTAAACAACTACTCGTGAGTAAAACGGAAAATTGGATTCTTAAATACTTTAATTCGGCACTGAAACGGGAAGGTTATAAACAGGAAGTCCGCCTCCCGTTCTTGTAAATAGACTGAAGCAAAGACGTTACAAGTTAAAGCCTTTGAAAGCTTTTGGCAAAGGATCAAATTTCTACTGGTTTAAAATACAAAACCCCCCTTGGAAGCAGGAGAAGAGGGGGAAATTTTGGATCTAGTGAGCCTGCAGGAGAGAGTGAAGAAATCAAATTACCACCGCTCTGAACCTGGGAATGGGCTGCCAGATGACGTTTGGAGAGAGTGCTTTTGACAGAACGGATTTGACAGCTAGCTAAATAAGAGTAAGATACTGTTTCCATCGTCCTTTTCTGCGTTTAAAAAAGAGGAAAAGTAACTGAAAATTTATCTTTAATGCTTGAGTTGCGCTTGAAAGAACTGATACAAGTGGAGACTGCTTCCCTCTAGAGGGAGCTTTTGAAACTGTTACAGGATATAACTGGGGGATTTCCAGTGGCAGATAAGGATTCTGAGAACCAGAGAGCGACCTTGGACTATTTAAAAATGTTGACAGGAGAGGCCATTGTGACTGTTTTATGTAAGATAAGCTGTTCGCTGGGACAGCTTCACAAGAAGATGGATGACATGACTCTCAAAGTTGATAATTTGGAACAGAAAGTGACCAACTTGAGTCAAAAAGCGAACACCAACACAGAAATAATTCAGGACTTGGTACAGGAACCCATTTTGGCAGGACAAATGGTGGAGGAGAAGGAGAATGCAGCTGTTGTTGAACATAAAATAATACAAGTGAGATCTGTGGCTTTACAGAAGCAAATTGAGGACTATAAATTGAGGCCTTCTATGATTGAATCTAGGAAAAGTCAGACTCCGAGGAATGGATCCCGGCTTGGATTAAAGAAGGAAAGTTGGAAAGAGCCCTCTATGCAGGGATTAACTGACTTTTGGGACATGGACTCGGGCCTGGAGGAGATTGAAGTTTTGGGGGCCTTTGGAATTGGAGGAATTTTGAAATATGCCCGGAAATACTTTATGGACTGTAGCTTTAACTATGGAAATTTAGCTGATCTGTTCAGAAGGAAGAAAAGGATTGACAGGTTGGAGTTTCCCCGAGATTTGCTCTTTAGCATTAAAGAAAATGAAGAAGATCTGCAGAAGGGACTTGGAAAAGAGTTAAGAGCCTCGGACATAAGATCACCAGGTTGATGGACTTTATGGAATTGACGGAAAGGACTGGCAGAATCCGAAACCTGGGAGAGGAGATGGTGGAAGAAGATTGGATAATTTAAAGTTTATATATAGACTTATGGTAAAACTAATGAGTGATAGAAAAATGGTGGAATGATTTTTTATTTTTTATAGGCTTAACAGAAATGTTATAAGGAGTTAAGCACATATAAGTATTTTAGTTTTAATGGAAAATAAGGTTAAAAAATACGTTATTTACAATATCATAGAAAATGGAGAAAGATGGAAAGGATTTGCTGAAACAATTAATAGAAGTGGAATACAAAAAGGGAGGTGTGAGGAGGTCGAGGAAACAAGGGAATCAAAGATAGAGTATGGAAAAGAGATGATGTATGTTTTTAATTTGTTTTTGTTTTGTTCTATTCAGGGTTAAGGTTAGGGAGTGGGGTTTGTTTAGCTTAGTTTAATGTGTTTAGTTTTGAGCTTAGGTTGTGTTTTGTATTGTTTATATATTGTATTGTATTGTTTTTCTTTTTTGTTTTTCTCCTTTGTTTTTTCTTCTGTTTTTTTCTTTTTTGCTTTTTTCTCTATTTTTGTAATCTACAAAAGTAATAAATATTATTTTTTTAAAAAAAATGAATATGTGCAGGAATGTGGCACTTATAATGTCCATCCATGAATGCACAAACAGACTTCATTTGCAGAGGATGTGAATTTTTATGTGCTATCCTGATGCTAATTGTATTCAAGACATTCAGCCAGATCTTGATGAAGGTATGTCAATAAATTGCTTTGGTTTCTGTGGTGCTGAACTCCGTGAAGAACCCATCTGTAAACACGTTTTTATGTTTCCCTCTGCCAAAAAGTTAGAAAGCACGACATACTAGCTTTCTAACCTTTCATTCAAGGTGTCTGTACTACTGATTCTCTGACAGAGATTCATACTCTTTCATGCTATTAATACTCATTTCCAGCAAGACAAATTTATTTTTTCAAAAAAAACCATCCTAATTGTCATGCTGTGTCATCATCTGCTGAAATAGTGAAAATCTTTTGTAACTCTTCTTGCAAGTTCCCTAAGGTATTCTTTAAATAAAGGGAGAAGCTAAATAGGCTTTCCTGGATAGGTTTGAGTCCAATTCTATTTTTAAACAAGCATTCAAAGACTTTTTCTACAGATTGGGTGACATGGATGAGGAAACACCCAAGATGGCTCATTTGTTCAAGCCTTATTCACACACATGCTACTATATCAGAATAGGGAAATCAGGCTTTGTCAAGATAAAAATGGAAACTAGTTTAATCTCAGTCAAAGATCCTACTGAAGTACACATGAAAGATTTCAATACTTATATTCTGGTTAGTCTTAAAGATTGCCCTGTATATTTAAATTGTGTCTTCAAACTGACAATGCATTAATTCCTTTCTCCTAACTCTACTATAACAGCACACTGTCAAAAACCACTAAATTAAGCAATACCATAAAAGACAGACTAACAGCTGCTTTCTCCCTTATGATTTCCAGTGATAGGGCAGGTCTCCCAAGTCGTAAATAATTCCACAATACAGGAATGTGTCCTTGACCTTACTAGTAAGGTGCTGGTGGTTTTATTTACAGGAACAGTTTTAAGAAACAATTCCACATGTGGAAAGTCACTTGTGGCAGTTGGTCTCAACCAGTGCTGGATTTACGTATAGGCTAAACAAGCTATAGCTTAGGGCCCCAGTCTCTTGGGGGCCCCCCAAAAAAATTAAAGGGGAAAAAACCCAGGATGTACATTTCCAAAAGATAAGATAAAAAACAAATAAAATAAAACCTATGTACAGCAACAGTGTTTTGTGTTGTGTAGGCTCCTATTTGTTATGTGCAAATGGCTTTAGATACCTATTAGGTCCATAAATTACCATATAGCATATATTCAACGCAAAAAAACCAGCGACAATTTGTTGTTGACAAAGGGCAGCTGGACATATAGAGGGCACCATTACCTTCAGTAGCTTAGGGCCTCATCAAACTGGTCTCAACCCAGTTATTCCAAAAAGAGGGGCTGGAACCCCACGAATCAAAAATCTAAAGCAAACATATTTTAGTTTGACCTTCAGGTGGGAGGTGACATTAAGGATGAAGCAATACATTGGTGGTATGTGTGTATGGACAGGAACTGATAGTGTACAAAGAAGGAAGTCATTTCTGGATCATGATGGGTTTAACTAACAGATGAGTACACTTTATTAAAATAATTTGGGGTTTTATAAGCGCAAGTGTTCTTTAGTAGAAAACCTCTAAAGGTGGAGTCCAATGATGGTACAAATATTATGTTGTTATCTGGAGAACTTCAGATAACAGAATCATCAGATGAGGAAACAGCGATCGGCCCAATTTTTGGTGCCTCTCCTCTTTGTTTTCATGTGTCACTCTGACAGACAGAGGTGTTGAGATGCAGCGTCAGCTTGCACTTCATATTATGCTATCTCTCCCCCTTCTCCCTGACAGAAAGTTGCGTGACTGTCAGAAAGAGCAAGAGTCTTTCAATTAAAATTAATTAAGCTGCAGTTTAATGCAACATGATTTGTCATTAGTCAAGGGTTCTCAGGCTGGGATTTAAAACAAAGAAGAAAACACCCAAAGTGCTTTGAAATGGCAATGTAGCACTTAATTTACTGTAATGTCTTCTTCACTTTTCTGAACAGATCTCCTCCTATATTTCTCAATGAAGACCAATAAGGAGGTGACTGCCATTAGGTTTTAAGATTCTTTCTAACAGTAATTGCGGAAGGAAAAAAATGGTTGCATTTTCAATATGGGGAAGAAAACTAAAATGCTGTGCTATGTTTTTGTGACATTACCTAGATGTTTCCCGGGCAGTTTGCCACATATGTTTAAACAGGAGCAGCTGCTATTTAGCATGGGCAAGCTGATGACTGGCAAAATACAAGGCTGGCACTGTCTACAGAATCCCCATCATTAAAATTACAAAATAAGTGATGACGCCAGTTTACAGTGAAGGAATGCAAGCTAAACAAGATGTTTTTTCTCCATAATCTTTAACATAATTCTTCCTTTTCCCAAAAATGCTCTTTTACACTGCAGAGTATCTAGGCTGCTGTGGATTTATCCCTGTGGCAAATTAGTCCAGCAAGAATAACATTTTAGTAGAACTATTATACACTTGGTGCTCTTTAGTGGTTCAATAATAACTCAGCACTGACTCGCAGCTCTGAACAGGTGCCAGCTCCCTGCTTGTGCACCTGCCAGAAAAACAATTTGAAGCTTCATCATGCAGGGCTATTCAATTCATTTTTACTTAATTAGCTGCAATCTAAGACACTAATGGGAATTCCTAAAATGACAGAATCATTTTGCTTGTTTACGCAAATGGAAGTTCAAGTTCAGGGCTTAATTCTTCTCTCTCTTTTTGGAGTTGTGCTTACTTGTGTTTATGATGGGATGAGTTTAGAAAAACAAAGCAGGAATTTCTGGATCGGATGCTGTTGGTCTATACGCATATTGGAGCATTAATAATTTCTCTCTCTTTCAAAGTGGTAATTCTCAAAAACGTTGCCTCGCAGTCAAATGTCCTTCCCTAATTACTATTTAAAATGACTTGCAATCAGAAGGAATGCAGAGAGCTCATTCCCCCAACCTTCAATGATAAAGAAACCCATGCTAAAGTGAATGAAAAATTTCAAGAGTTTTAATGCCCAGTATTAACAAGCATATTGCAAAAATAATCCATTTGCTTGTTTATCCGAAAAGGGAGGTCACAGTTTTAAAAAATAAAGACAAAGGTCTAAGTGTAAAGATTCGGATAAATTCAAAGCACTGCTGACCCTAATAAGTGAAGCTACCGTATTTTTTCGTCTATAAGACACCCCCATGTATAAGACACCACCTATTTTAGGGGACTAAAATTAAAGAAAATGGGGGGAGATGGCCCAGAGTTGTCACCCAACTGACAAACACTAACAATCGCAAGCAACGCACACCAAATTGACAAAGCAGCAGCCAATAAAAATCAGCCCTTGCAGCAGACACCACTCACTTACCCAATCACAAGATCCTGCTGGCGGCTGCAACCAATCACCCATCCCCCCTCTGCACTATCCATGTATATGACATGGAGAGACCTATGGAGACCTGGTCTGAATAGAGATATTGGATTCATGTCCCATTATACATACTGAGGCCAATTTTGGTCATCTATCCCTTTAAAAATCCCTTGCCCTTCCCTGTGGAACCAACTGCCATAACAGTCATCCACAGTTATAAGGTTGAAGTGACCCCCGCTTCAGAATATCTGATGAAGTGTGTATTACACATGAAAGCTCATACCTTGAAAGCTTATATTTAGTTGATCTTAAAGGTGCCACTGGAATTATTAAGAAATATTTTTTTCATCTTTAATCTTGTTATTTATCATGTATAAGACGGACCCCCCCCCCCCCAATTTTAAACTTTATTTTAGAGTAAAAATCCCTCGTCTAATACATGGGAAAGTATGGTATGTAGTTCTATACAATCTCAAGGTACTCAAGTAATCCAATAATAAACTGCCAAACTTACCCAAGACCCCATATTCTGAAAGGGAGCTATTGCATACGGTGTAAGGGGCTTGCTGCTCCCACAGATGATTCATAGGAACACAGGTCCCCTTGTCAACATCTTGATCATGGAGCACATGGTGGCGATGGCTACAAAGATTTTTAAAAACACAATGACATTTTAAGAAAAGATACTTTTAGAAAAGGAAACCGTGGCAAGAGCACACACAGAACACTTTTCGAATGTTCAGAGTCTTCGCAATTATTACAACAATCATCGAGCAAGGCAGCTCAGTATTATAGCCATTTGCAGGCTGAGGACTGAGACTGGGAGATGGTGTTAGCCCCAAAATGGAAAGCGAGGGAGGTCCCAACTAAAGAAGAATGGCAACTTAAACTCATGGAATATACGCGGCTTGCGGACCTAACTTATAGAATAAGAGAACAAGAAGAACATACGTTTAAAGAAGACTGGAAAATGTTTACTGAATATATGGGGGGGGTGTTTTGAGTACATTTGAAAACAGCAACATTTTCAATAAATTCAACAGTGTACATAAGTTTTGATGGATGTAATAATGGAATACAGTTGTAACTTGGAAGTCGAACGGAATCTGTTCTGGAAGTCCGTTTGACTTCCAAAATGTTCAGAAACCAAGCACGGCTTCTGATTGGCTGCAGGAAGCTCCTGCAGCCAACTGGAAGCCACGGAAGCCCCGTTCCAAAGAACATTCGCAAACCGGAACACTCACTTCCGGGTTTGCGGCATTCAGGAGCCAAAACGTTCGACTTGCAAGGCGTTCAGGATCTAAGGTATGACTGTACTGAATGGTTTAGTTTATGTAAAATATGCAGGGATTTATGTTATGCAAAATGAACCATGGAAAGAGAAGAAGGGAAGTCACTGATATGTTAAGGTTGTTTAAATGAATATTCTAAACTGTAAAACAGAAAATTTAATTTTAAAAAATATATCTAAATAAATAAATAAATGTAACCCTTTTAAAAAAAGAGAGACTGGGAGATGATGGCTTCTCCAGGGCCACAAAGTGAGTTTCTGGCTGACCATAGATTTGAATCAGGTATTTCTCAGTTCACATCCTTTCCCATTACACAAAGTCTCATATTATTTTTCCACACGTTTGAAAGACTAAAGCTACGGCTAAAGTTATAAAAATTCAACAGCAGCATCCAGTATGGAAGCTACCGTTCACTGCATCTAGGCAGTCACAAGGGATTAACCATTACTGTTATTTTAAATTAAAGCTCTTCAATATCTCAAGTATTCACTTCTGACAACAGGCTGACGCTGCTGCAGATAACTTTGCAATTGTTGCTGCGCGATGCATGAAGCTTTTAGTGGCATGCAGTTACACTCCATAAAATATGAAGTGTGGAAGCCATTACACAACAGGGCTGCTTTCGCTCAAATTATAATTAGCTGTGAAATTCTATTCCTCGTGCCTTGAGTCATGTGCAGCCTGTATTGTGCACCGGCTTTCAGCTCCTTGAGCACTTCTCAGGTTCAAGTCTTGAAAGAGCTGCATCCTCCGGTCCTCGTTGCCCACCCTTCATCGGCTCGCTGCTTAGTGCCCTCTAGAGCTCCATTAATCAGCATTAGAATGGTGCACCAAGGAACATTATCAAAACAGAGATGACTGAAGTAATTACTGTAATCCATTAACTCCCTGAGCAAGACTAACTGAGTGAAACACACCAATATGTTCAAGCTCTACAACCACTAAAGGAAGAAGGGCTATTACCCTGATAATAGCTATTCTGCGGTGCACGCCTGCCGAAGCTGAACAAATTGCCAGCAGAAATTCTGTTCTTCTAAAGCATCTTAGCAACAACCGTTCACCACTCTAAATAGAAACTAGTTAATATCGTAAAACCGGAGCCAATGGCATGCCGGAGGTTAAAACGCGACAACTACAGAAGTGCAATGGAGGTGGCCATTTTTGTCGACCCGTTTCCCTATAAAACCCCTCTAGCAAATGATCTACGCATCGTGTAGCAAAAGACAGTAGGCAAATATGGTGGGATTCTAGACCATATGGTTTTCGGAAGCAAGCGGAGGTGTCCTGGTTTTTGCACGGGCCCCGTTCTTGAAAACCAAAACCTGCCCACCAAACCAAGCACACCAAAGGGTTTACTGTAGCATTCACTCGGATAAGCTAGTCTGCCACATTCAGTGACTTCCTTTGTGGGTAACCATTTTAAAAAAAGCACGTTCTCCCATATGTAGTCCCCGATCTCCCATATGCAGTCTGAAGTGTTGTAGCTCACTTCAGTCTAACAGGTCATTGATCCAAATAATGTACAGATTGGCTCTAAAAGTCAAAAATCTTCCAACCTGCATGAGCACACTGAAAGAGAGAAAAAATTCAGTGGGTCCAAATGGGATCTATTGCAGCACATGAAGTGCTCTTTGTTCATGGGTTCCAGCCAACCAATGCCATTCCATTCTATTTCCCCTCCCCCAGTTTTATTATCCTTCCTCCCACAAAAAAGACACTCAGGGTTCTGCGGTCACTGAGTATACTCCTACCAGCTGTTTAGGGTTTCCCCCTGATCTTAGACCCCCCCAAGTTTCCCCCCATCTGCAAATCTTAGAACTCCCCTACACCAGCTGATACATCCAGTCTTCAGTATGGATGCTGCTGCTTTGGCTATCTAAGGATAGGTTCTCAGTAAAGAGGTTTGCTATCATATAAAATCAAATAATTTTAATTACTGCGGCATTATGATTGCATTTTGTGATTGCTGTGTGCTGCCCTGTTGCTACAAAAGATTGCAGTGTGAAGTGTCCCTGTTCCACATTCCTGTCATTCAATTTCATTCTCCTTCCCACTCGAACCTTTCACCCTGCAACATGTTGTCTTTGGCACCCATCTGTCTCGAGAGACAATGGAAAGCACCTCTGGGGGTGAAGCCAAACTTCCAGAGAATCACAGCGCCTGCTGTGGCTGCAGAGACCGGTAACTCTTAACCTCTGTCTCCCGTGTTGTTTTTGCTGTGTTAGTAGCATCCGAGTGATCTCTCCAGGACACAAGTCTGGGCAGCACATATGGAGGTCATGGGCTGCTCAAATGACAAGACCCCCCTCTCGACCACTCTGATGTAAACCAAAACAGCAAGTCAGCATGCTCAGTGTGCTGTTTTGGGAGTCCCCACCCCAGTTAGTTCACCTACCCTTTTATGCTGTTTATATACCTGTTTTTCTTTGCCTGATCTCTTTCCTTCCACCATCACAGTAGCTCTCCCTAACACCTCTTCCTGAGCTTTTGCAATTACTTCTTAATTCAAATTCATGTTCATACTCAACTACCTCATGCAATTACATGTGCATTCCCCTATAGCATTTAACATGTTACCTGTTACACACAGCAAGACATCCATCCCTCAGAGTGACCCAGTTTAGCATTAACTCACAGCAAAATCCGTATGACATTTTCTACCGGATAAGCAGCAGCTGTATTATACAACTCACCTGAAAGTGCCCCTTTCTACATCCTGCCCACTTAGTCGGACATGGATACCTTCCTTCAACAAAGACCCAAAAGCCATGTATTCCCCCAAGGCCCAGTCGACAACTCGGTTCTTTGTCATTTCCAGTCGACTTCTCAAAATCCGAGAAAGTCCTAAGTGGGGAGAGGGAGGAGAAAAGAAGAATTACTGGCTGCAATTAACAACGTTATCAGGATACCAATACATGTCTCCATTCACAAGATGAAGACTGGAGTGCTAAGAAAACACAACCAAGAGAGCAAAATACTGATAACTAAATGGTGACCTCACCTGAATGTCTTTTTGACTTTCCTCCCTTCTGAATGCTTCTACTAGTCATTCACAATCCAGACAATTCATTTCAACCACAAGTTCATTGTCCTTATATTGATAACATTTCACACAATTAAGCTCCAGCTATATTTCAGTTCTCGATCTTAATATTTTATCTCTCCACCTACACTGCTCCATAGCAAAACTGTTAACTATCACAATTCCTGCTTGCTAATCACACACTAAAACTGAATACCTCTTTTATTGTATCCATCAACGATGGTATACTTTTACACCTCAAATTATTAGCATATTTCTTTTTAAGAATGTTACTAGATTAAGACTGAAGGCTTGGAAAACTTATACTCCCTTACATAAACAAGTTCCAATATCAAAGCCGTTATGCTTTTTGTTCCACTTTTTAGTTATTCAAAACCCTTCATTGTATATATGAGTGAACTTGCTTTATTCATGAAATAATATAGCCGAATAGCTCTGTCTAATATATGAATTAACCACATTCTCAGCTTCATTCATGAAATAAGCAAATCCTTGCCTAATTCAATATTTTTATTACAGGCAAAGTTTCTGTCTTATTCATGAAAAGTCTTGCGTAGCTAGCTGTGCTGTTTCATGAATAAGATTTTGCTGAATGATTTTGGCAAGCAATATTTATTTTATGAATGAAGCAATTTCAAAACTGTAGTATGGTTGATACATCAAATCCATATCAACCTAACAATTGCCTATTAAAAATTAGAGGCACCAAGCAGATGGTTCACTCTAAGCACCATGTTACTTTTCAGTGTTTCGGGAACATGTGTGCATATTTAATAAAATATTTACACATCAATGCATAGCAACAGAGGACAGAACTAGAAGCTACACTTTGTATATAAGGATTTCTCCAGATACTTACTAATGAATAATGATATTTTGATTTAATAAGAAAGTGTATGTTAATTACATGCCACTTGAAAACAAAACATTGAAGATGTGTAATTGAAAGCTTTGCTGTAATAACTTCTCAGGAATTTTAATTGTATAAAACAACCCCTGTTGATCAATCTCAGAGGAAGGAAAATAAATAAAAGAAAGACAGATGTGATCATCAAAGCATTATTCAAATCTCACACAGCTCATAATGTGACTTTACAGACCCACGTTAGAGAATGAATCAATGCAGGTTACAGACCATGCAGCAAATGTAATTTGCTAGCTCTTGCCTCCAGAGGCAAAAATCTCTGCAGAGGCATTTTTAACAATGAGATGTAATCCCTCAAATCTTGTTGATTCCCTTGAGAACCTCTCTCTTTCCAACCTCTTCCCAACGTCCACCTTTTCTTCTACATTTTAATCACTTTTAAGTGTTGTGCAAAGCATCAGTTGAAACACTTTTCTTTAAAGAATGTTTTCACATGGAGAATATAAACGTACAACTAAAGTAGCACCACCATGAATCATATGGAGAGCTAAACAGCCAAAGATCAGTCAATCCACAGTAATTCCTCAAGGACATATAACATGGCTTTACAGTCAATCAGCCCCTCACATAAATGCAAGTACTATTAATTTAACACTAATTCAAGTGCCACAACTTCCCTAGTCCTTTGCACAATGTCTGCCAGACCACTGAAGTTAACAATAAACTCATGATTGCTTCAATTCAATAAGGCTGAAAATAATAATTAGCAAAGCTCATTAATGTTGCTTGTATGAGCATTAAGCCTAAACAAAAAAGAGAAACATACAACCTCCTAGCTGGTAATGCTGTGCACTTGTAGTATGTACATCAAACACTACTTTTTAATGGAAAGGGATATGAAAGGGAAGAAGTTTCTTCTGTTCAGGAAACAGACGGCGTTCCAAATTCAGGACAGGGAGAATCAGCATTCAGCTAGCAAATATTCTCCTGTCAGCGCTGCATCTCTAGAGAAAAAGGAAGCCAGTGCTGGAAATATAGTAAGAATTAAGTTCTCACCTCCATGTATTTTAAATCCTTCCAGAGGCACAGAGCTGGCTACATTTCCAATATGAATCAGCATATCTTCAGGAATTCCAGTTGGAGGGCAAGTCATGCTCTTTGGTTCTCCGTCCACATTGAAAAAACCTGAAACATGGCGAGACATGTTGAAAAAGTACAGAAACTTTTTCCAGAAAGATCCTGCTTGTTAGAGAAATCCCATTATGTGTAACAAAAGTAATAACAAATTCCCCCTTTAGAAACACACAAGTGGGGACCTGGAACCGAATGCTAAACTGCACCCCCGGCCCTTAAGAAAAGTGTTCCTTTTTCGCCTGGCTAGAGGGCTAAACAGGCATTTGTAGTAGTTTTTGGAGTTCCTGGGGGCACGGGAGAGGGAGGGTACATCTTTTCATGGCTCATTTGTTTGCATGTAAAAATGGAACTTTATTCCAGCGTGGAGATCTGCCGAATTGGGAGTGGGGATTTCAGGCCAACCCTGAACTGGCAGAGTAATTTGGGGGAATTGAGAGGTGAAATGTACCCAACTCTCTTGGAAAGGAACAAATGCCTTCTCTTCTCTTTTGCTTTTTAAAAATACTGGTACGGAGGCAGCTTCCAGCCCCCCTCAATTTTACTTGTTTGTACACCTAGAAAAGCAGTCACTAGCATCATTTGAGGGTCATCTGAGGAGGTAAATATGACAGACGTTTTTGTACAGTTAAAAAGGAATGGGGGGGGCAAAATAGCTGCTGTTTTTAAACAACAAGGGGAAGCAGAAGGGGAAGCTGACATAGGCCTAAATCTCATGAAATGCTAAGCCAAACCATGGCTAAGCATAAATGTGCAAGCATGTGAAGACTCACAGCAGAAACTGCAGCCACCTCGCTAACTGGAGCTAAGCCGTGGTTTGCTGAGACCCAGGCTCATGGCTTGTCTCCCTCAGAAAAACTATAGGCTGCAGCTGAGAGTTGTCCTCCTGCAATCTGCATCTTGCAGCCACCGCAGAGAAGGGGAAAGGGGAGACAACCACATTCCCTCCTATCACAATAAACCATGTTTTACTGTGACATCGAAATGTAGCCAATGAGATTTACAGCAACACTTCCTACCTGGCCAAGGTGAATCAAGCCAGTGCTTAATGTGTAGGATTTTATTGTCTTTGGATCGAGAATAAGCTTCCTCACAAATCTTATCGTACTTTGCAATTTCTTCCTGTAGAATAGGGGCGAAACATCATGTGACAAATACCACAGCGGGAATGCAGAAGGATAGGGAAAACTAAAATTCCATCAAAGCAGTAATATTCAAGTTTTTTATACCTAGCACAATTTTACAAGCAATTAGTTTTTTACCACTGCAGGAGGCAATGGAAGACAGGAGTGCCTGGCGTGCTCTGGTCCATGGGGTCACGAAGAGTCGGACACGACTAAACGACTAAACAACAACAACAAAGTTTTTTACCATATATTATATGGTTACAGTGGGAGTGGGGAGAATCAGGAGGACATTGGGCAGAAGCCACTTGTACAAACCTGCTCACAGGACTCTGGGGAGGAACAAGGATTTCCGAGTTCCTACAAAGCACGGCATGAATTTAGAAACAAGGGAAGCGATGATCACCAGAGGGTGGGGACAGGTATCATGGCCACCAAATCTGCAAATCCTTGCACTTTTCTATCATTGGTCTGCCAATAATAATAATAATTTCCCCAGCCACTCTGGGTGGCTGCCAACAGAATATTAAAAACACAATAAAACATCAAACATTAAAAAGATCCCTAAACAGGGCTGTCTTCAGATGTCTTCCAAAAGTCAGATAGTTGTTTATTTCCTTGACATCTGAAGGGCAGGCACCACTACTGAGAAGGCCCTCTGCCTGGTTCCCTGTAACCTCACTTGTCGCAGTGAGGGAACCGCCAGAAGGCCCTTGGAGCTGGACCTCAGTGTCCGGACTTAACAATGGGGGTGGAGACGCTCCTTTAGGTAAACTGGGCTGAGGCCATTTAGGGCTCAGCACCAACACTTTGAATTCTGCTCGGAAACATACTGGGAGCCAATGTAGGTCTTTCAGGACCGGTGTTGTATGGTCTTGGCGGCCACTCCCAGTCACCAGTCTAGCTGGTGGTAAATCACTCATGATTCTCTTTTCTCTTTATTATTCAGCAATTACATACTACTCCTTTTTTATCAGTGGAAAGATAATTTAATGAAGAATGTAATGCAATAACTTTTATGAAGGATTATTTATTACAACAGCAGTATAAAAAAGAAATGTGAAACACACAGAAAACGTGAGATATATAGGTTAAATTGCCATGATGGCACTTTGAGATAAGTAAGTGGGTTTTGGGTTGCAGTTTGAGCACTCGGTCTCTAAAAGGTTCGCCACCACTGTCTTAGGAGCTTGGAGACAGAAAGGAAAATAAAAACGGAGGAAGAGGTTACAGATGGGAGATGTCTGGGAATCCCAAAGTCTAAACTCAGAGACCCTGGCTTATGTCTCGCAGCAGAACTCAGGATCCACCCTGGACCTCAGCCTATCACGTTCGCCTTCCTGTGTCAAATTAAAGCCCTTCGGGGCAGGAACATCTTTCTCAAAGGTCACACACAGTGATGGTGCAAAGAAATAACACAAAAGAAATTTCACTAGGCTCCTGCCCCATGCAAGATGAAGCCAGCTAGAGGCCTTTCCCTGAATACTCCTAATCATCCAAATACTAAAAAAAGGTAAAGGTAAAAGACCCTTGATAGTTAAGTCCAGTCACAGACAACTCTGGGGTTGCAGCACTCATCTCACTTTACAGGCTGAAGGAGCCAGCGTTTGTCTGTTTCCACAGACAGTTTTTCTGGGTCATGTGGCCAGCATGACTAAGCCGCTACTGGCGCAAGGGAACACTGAATCCTACCATTTATTCATTTCTAGGGTTTAGAGGTGTCCCCTGCAAATCCAAAACACTATTTTGCATGCATAGTTTTCACTGCTACTGCTGCTGTGAACCAATGCACCATTACATACTGCTCTTGCTCTTCATGTTTTTCTTTTTTGAAATTACTGAGGCAACCAACCGATTTCCCCTAAGGATAATTTATTTGGAAGTATTAAGGAGTAAGTCAGAAGTTATTTCCAGACCTCGAAAAATTAAAACAAATCAAACCAGTTAAAATAGAAAGCTATAGCAGTATTACTTGTTACAAAACCAGCACCATTAATGGCCCTCTCCACTGCTAGCATTGTTACCTCAAACTCCTGCAGCGTCACAGTTCCATCAGCTATTAGCTTGTCGGCATACTTCTTCAGCACAGGCACCTGCTTGTGAATCTGCTTGTACATCAAAGGCTGGGTGAACATGGGCTCATCCATTTCATTGTGGCCCCGTCTTCGGTAACAAACCTACATATTTCAGTCAATGCAATGATCACAATGAAATGGGCAATAAAAAGAACAATTAAGGGCCTTCGTTGCTTTCTAAAGATCAGCCCTCTCTATAATTTACTTTACAGTTTGCAGTTCCCACCAGCTACGTAGTTCTTAAAAAATAATTTCGTTCCCGAAGCTGTTGCACCCAGTTCTGGAAAGAATTCCAGAGCAGCTGAAAGCTCAGTGAGCAGAATTGCCGCGCCACCCCCCATTATTTTCCTGACTTAGCTCGCTCAGTCCTGGCAGAAGTTTGGTAGTCTCCCTGACATCAGAAATCAAAACACCCAGGAATCTACAGCTAAATCCCTGTGCCAGAGGCCAGTGTCATCAGCTCCTGAATTAGGCCTGAGAATATTTTGTACTGTTTGTTTGAATTAATATTTTAAAACTGTGAATCCCTCGGTGGGAGCTTTGGCAGAAAGGTCTATAAATGCAATAAAGGGATGGATGCTTCAAGCTGTTTCATCTTCTTCTTTGGAGAGTATACTTCCCCCAACATCCCAGGGATAATTCCTCTGGGATATCTTCCCAATTTGACTCTTGAGAGTTCCTAGAGACCAAAATGCATACAACACAAGAGGGTTTTTTTCTCCCTCCTTTCTTGTACTCTCTTACAAAAGCATAGTAATTAAGTATGGCCAGGAAGCAATAAAGGCACATAAGTCAGGTCTTTCTTTTTTTAAAGATTCTGGGATTGTGTAAATTAGTTTCAGAGCCCAGACAGAGTGCAAACCAAAAGGTTACAGATAGGAGTAACATTTTCCCTTCTTATCTGTGAGGTGAAATACATTTTTAAGGGATTCAGATTCAGAGCACTATTGGGTCCTGTTCTTTTAGATGCTACAAACGGAAATGCACAATCTGTAATTAACACTATATCATCATATTCAGAACCTACTTCACTAAGTTAAAAGTCCAGGTTTAAAAGACTCTGTGTGCACATACTTCAAGTATTTCAACGCGTTGCAGGGTTATGCAGATTTTCTCTTTCCACCACAGCTCCTCAACCTTCAATGGAGGCTGTTTCGGAGCCCCTCAACTTGCATGAGAGATTTGAAGGGGCATAAAGAGCTGTAGTGGAAAATGGATGCCCACCTAGCCCCATATGCAGGGAAGACCATTCAACAGTAAAGAATGACAGTACTTACCAGATCAATAACCACATCTTTATTAAAAGTGTTTCTCCAATCTGCAGCTACGTTGCAGACATACATCACTGCTTCAGGATCATCAGCATTGACATGGAAGATAGGTGCGTTGACCACGCGAGCAACATCAGTTGGATATGGCGATGAGCGAGCCATTCGTGGATCAGTAGTAAAGCCAATCTAAAACGCAATACTTAACATGTAGTTTTTAGTGGCAGTGTTTCAAAGTGTGTTGAGAACTGACATTTCAGTTTACAGACTCGTTATTTATACAGCAGGATGCTATGCTTTTCAGTTAGGAAGAACAAGTTCTGAAAGGTATCACATTTCATTCTTTTCTTACATACATTAACATTTTATTGGTGCTGGAGACAGGGAGGGCAAAAAGCCACCGCGTCATTTCATGGCGATTCATGACCAATTTCGACATGAGCAATAAAACACTTTGCCTTCTAAATTCAGAGTGACCCTGCATAAACAGCAGGGAAAAAAACTTTCTGTCTTCCCTTGGATTTTTTCCCAGCCTTTCTGGTAACTTTTTCCAAAAAGCCTTTAGTTTCCCTTCTCATAAAGGCTTCCTGTAGCCACAGAGCAACCCCTTGGTTCAAGGGAAGAATGTAATGTGCTGTCCACTATGTATCATGAAGGCAACGGAAAAGCTTGCCAAAAGCTATTAAGGAAACCCAATTTCCTATTTCTGCTTTTTACCTGATTGTTGACCACAACATGAATGGTGCCATTGGTGGTATATGAGGGAAGATCACTGAGATGAAAAGTTTCATAAACAACTCCTTGCCCAGCAAAGGCAGCATCGCCATGTAAAAGTATAGACATAACCTAAGTGGAGAGGGAGTTAAAAATTACTGGTGCTATTCATCCGTCAACAAGTTTCACAAATCCCTAGTTTAATTCCCTTTCCCCCCTCCTAATGTTATGCAAGTTGTAAAGAATCTGATACGTCACTGAAACGATCAATAACTGATGCTATCTGGTCCACATCTGGCTCTCAAGAGGGCACATGGTCATCTAGGATCCAACTGAGGATTATGGATGGGAAAGATCTGTTGCAACACGGCTTGGCAGCAAGCCATTCTGCCAGCGGAGTTGGACTCTTGCTTTCAATCCCTTCTCAAAGTAGCCTTTCAACAAAACTTGTTTCTGACTGGACCTCTTTAAGAAACTGCCATTTTGAACGTTCATGGCAATTGAAAGTGATTAGCTTAAAATGAAAATGTGGGAGAAGCTACGTGTCTCAAACATTTTCTACATCGACTCAACTGAAGTAAAAAAAAAAAAAGTATTCTGAAGACACAAGTGGCATCTTTTTATTTCAACAGCTGAAATCTACCACAGGCTATTAGAAATGAGGTCAAGCAGAAGTTATTATCCAGACAATGTTACCTTCTTCCCTTCAGTATCCCCTCTGTAAAACTGCTCAGCTTTGGTCTTCCCTTGTACAACAGGATCCACAGCTTCCAAATGAGATGGGTTAGCCACAAGTGATAGGGTGATCTTTTTGTTTGTTGCTCGGTTGATTCTCTCATGGTACATTCCCAGGTGATATTTTACATCCCCAGATCCCTAAGACACCAGAAACTATGAAAGTCCAAACACTCAAACATTATCTATCATCTCAATGGCTGGGTTCGTATTTAACACAAAATTATGGCTTATTTAGCTAGTCTATCTTATTTGTACCTCTAAATCCACAACAGCCAACTAAGGTCTGACTGGCGCCAACAATCTACCATAGGAAATTATGGTTTGAAGATGGCTTGTGACTCAGCTTGCGTCGTGTGATTTATCATTATATCTGAACTTGGTATCCTGACTTAATCTTATTTTGCTTTGTCACTGCACCCCTGCTGTCTGCCTGGCTACAGAGATGTGAGAGAAGAGTGGCTAGAAACCAGTCACACTGGGATGAGACGTTCAGTGGCACTTTCACAGATCTCTGTGCAGAAACCCCTCGATCCCATTTGGCAGCAGTCCCAGCAGAAATTACCTGTCACAATCTGACACACCTCGGGCTTGCAGGACAGCCTCCAGTGCTCTCCCAAGACACAGCCTGCAGAAACTACAACCATTTGAGATAATACCCCCAGCAAATGTTCCAGCTCCTCCCTTCGAGAGGTAGTGCCCAGATAGGAAGAGAGAACATCCTGCATTCCTGAGATATTATATAACATCTGGAAGCCTTCAGAATACAGGTCTGAAGGAATCTGAGTATGACACACATAATTAGCCTTAACTTTAGTTTTAACAGGAAAGAATCCAACGGGAGAAAAAATGGCTAAATTAGTAATAATGGCCAATGAAATTGTATCGCACCTCATCAGCTGCTTCAAGCTTTGGGTCAAACTGACAAAAGATCTGTTCTAGATCCTTTCGGATAACATTGGCCAGCACATTCAGCCTTCCCCTTGGAGACAAAAAAAATTGGGTGAATGAACCGCACATAGGAGCAATAATAAGCAACTGCAAGTAAAATTACAGCTTCGGTAGAGTGTTGAATACTGAGTTCCAATTGTCTGGTTCAATTCCACAAACTTATCACCGTTTTATGTTTTGACTAGCTTCCCATTCAGTTTGTTTCAGCAACAACAACTTTATTTTTTATAGCACCTGAAAGTGTGCAGGATTTGTTTGTGTGTGCTTATGAAATAAAGTGAAAACATTGCTCAAATTGGCTTACTTTTTAAAAAATAAATAAACAGAAACAAAAAAAATAGGGAAACTAAGGAATAAGAATATTGTGGAAATAGCAGTATGCTGAAACTTTAAAATGTAACTGTGTTAACAAATGTAACTATTACATGTTTTTAAATTGCACACTGCTGTGTGATCATGATCATTAAATTAAAATAGGCAAATAGTTACCTGTGAGGCATGCCCAATATAACATACTCAATTCCCATTTCACTAGATTTGTCAATGATGGTTTTCAGAGCTGGGATCATGACTTCACATCCTTCCAAACCAAAGCGTTTTTCTGACGACCATTTCCGAGCAAGGAAATCCTCAAATCTGTCCATGAAGATAGATTTAAGGGAGAGCACTTATTAAGGAAGTGAAGCAACAAGCAATAATTCTATGCTATTTAAAAAGAAAGAGGTAATAATGAAGAAAGAGAGAGGCAAACAGCATGAAACAATCAGCAAACTTAGGAATTTCACCGGGTAACACACCTGTCTAGACTGATGATATTATGCTTGGTTATCTGCCAGCAACAACTATACTGGAATACATTCCTTGAGAATCAATAACCAGAAAAATAAAGCTATCCTTTAGTGACAGATCTAAGCATATGTTTTTTTAATGCAAGTGGGCTAGAATCAATGTACACAATTAAAAATTATTCTAACTAAAGCTCTCTTTTTTTTAACTAAACATTAAATGGGAAGAAATGTCTTTATGATCACTTTAGGAGCTAAAGCTACCAAGATTTTGCAAGAACCGTATATATCATGGGACCAATTAATACTATGAATTACTTATTTCTTTAAAATTTTATCCTGATTTCTGTCTCTCATGGGGCTCTCCTAGTAAGCAGTCCAGTTAAACATACAGTAATACCGTATTGGCCTGAATATAAGCCTCACTTTTTACCCCAAATTCCGACCGTGAAAAGGGTGGCTTAAATTCGCGACCTTACAAAAATTGGCTTTTATGATATCACTGCTGAAACAGACATACGGTAAAACGGAACGGGTGTGAGTGCCTGTGGAATTTTATGGGAGTGGATTATATTCAGGTATAGTGGTACCTCGGGTTAAGAACTTAATTCATTCCAGAGGTCCGTTCTTAACCTGAAACGGTTCTGAACCTGAGACATGCTTTCGCTAATGGGGCCTCCTGCTGCCGCTGCGCCACTAGTGTGCAATTTCCGTTCTTATCCTGGGGTAAAGTTCTTAACCTGGAGCAAGCACTTCCTGGTTAGCGGAGTTTGTAACCCAAAGCATCTGTAACCCGAAGCATCTGTAATCCAATTTTTTTCTCCCCCCCCCCCGAATTTTAAAGGTGCGGCTTATATTCGGGTGCGGATTATATTCGGGCCAATACAGTATTAGTTGTAAATCCCATAACAAACATCAGTAGCATGCTCATTGCCCCTAAATAGAAAATTGTGCCACGTCTACAGACTACATCTTACCCAGTTTTTCAGTTGGTAGAGCATGGGATTCTTAATATCAGGGTTGTGAGTTCAAGTCCCACTTTAGGCAAAAGATTCCTGCACTGTAGGGATTGGACTAGATAACCCTTGTGGTCCCTTCCAACATTACAATTCTATAATTCCATACTTTCCTGGAATTAAGCTCCAATGAATTCAGTACTTCCAAATATTTACTGCCAAATAGACAGAGTTAGGATTATGCTGTCTGTTCCCAGTAAGCATACTTAGAATTTCTCTATTTATAAAACTGATAAAATCTTAAGGTACAAATTGGAAGTGATTAATTCAAATACCTTATTCTTTTGACTTGACAGATACTTAACATGAAGCTATCAAAACCTTAGGCCAGAGTCCCTCACACAGCATAATCTAGCAGAGACCAAGTAAAACCAAGGAGTTATGATTTACACCAACAGAGAATCTTTCCACATGGGAACAGTCTCAAGTTAAACAGTGACAACTCCAGTTGAGAACCATCATTCCTGCTGAACGTGAAAGTGAGATAGAATGACAGCTTTTTAGTTTCCTTTAAGCTGCATTTTATTATCCAAAGTTGCACAGTCTCTGCTTGTATTACTTCCAGCTCTTCAATTTGGCACCCAGCAACTGAGTCAAAGTGCTCATCACTAATTTTTGAACCTAGGTTCCTGATTATGCTATGAAGCAGCATGCACAAGTTACTGAGTTATAAAACCAAAGTCTCTCTTTTATTGACATGAGATTCAGTGATCAGATGAGGAAATTGGTATATGTGTTGGTCCCTGGTAACGCAAAGGATCTACTCAGTGAGCACACTTAAAACTGGCTCCCCACTAAACAAAAGGCAGCAAACTATCCCCTCCAGAGCACGCTCCCTGTAGGAAATCTCATTCACAAAACCATTCAGCCATGGTTAAGGGAAAAATCAGGGAATGCAGGTGGCGCTGTGGTCTAAACTACAGAGCCTAGGGCTTGCCGATCAGAAGGTCGGCGGTTCAAATCCCCGCGATGGGGTGAGCTCCCGTTGCTCGATCCCTGCTCCTGCCAACCTAGCAGTTCGAAAGCACGTCAAAGTGCAAGTAGATAAATAGGTACCGCGCTGGCAGGAAGGTAAACAGCGTTTCTGTGCGCTGCTCTGGTTCGCCAGAAGCAGCTTAGTCATGCTGGCAACATGACCCAGAAGCTGTCTGCGGACAAACTCCCTCGGCCTATAGAGAGGAATGAGCGCCGCAACCCCAGAGTCGTCCGCGACTGGACCTAACGGTCAGGGGTACCTTTAAGGGAAAAATCAGCACTGACATCAGCAAAAAGCTAAACAGGATTTTTCTTATACCAGGGGCTGAAACTGCAGTTTAAAGTAGCCCAAATTCTGGGTTAAGAGAAACCCTGAGTATCTAGAAATACGTAGCCCCCTTTACAATTCCCAGAGTTCCTTGAGAAACAAGCAGGGATACTCCTAGCCTTTCATTATCTCCCTTAGCACAACATTCCTGTTGACCCAATTCTCCTTTCCTGTCTAACCCTTTCTTTTTGCAAATGGCAAAACTCCCAAATATTCAGTTCAGAATATGCAAGCTAAGTGATTTTATGCAGGACACGCAGCTTGCGTGATCTGAATGCAAAACATGAAAAAATATCTGTTACAGAATTTTTTATTTAGATTTTTGTCACAAGCTGTCTATCATTATTGGGAGTGTGGCCATGCTATAGCTAGCATCTCTAGAAATTGCAGAGTGTAAAGGCAGTCCTTTCTAGTCCTTATTCTGAACAAGACAGGCAGACAGTGAGCTTCGTTCCTCTTCCTAGCATTTTTTCTGCATGAATATATATAGGATATATCAGGCTCCTCCCTAGTTTTCTATGCAAATCGTTCTAGTTAACCAGTACACAATATGTACAGCAGGACACAATATGTATGTTGTGGAGAAAGGGGGGGTGCACATATCAGGAAGATAAATGAGAAAACATTCTGTGTGGCAGACTGTTAACAGCCTGTCATTCAAACACCATGGTAACCTGTTTATTAAAAAGCATGTGGTTCAAATTCATTTCTCTTTTAATTAAACTTGGGCAGGAATTATATACTGCTGTCTCACTATATAAACATTGCCATAGAAAGCAAATGTTATATCCGAGTAACAAAGTATAAAATATCTACCCAAATGTTCTAGAGCAGAACCAATCTTAATGGTTATGTTCATGAACTGATGCGTGCCAATAGAACATGACCATATTTTTATCAGCTCCTTGCTTTCATGTTATTTATTATTATTATTATTTAATGCAACTAAAACATCCTTCCCCACTGCCATTCAAATGTTTTAACTACAGCTCCCCACAGCCCAAGCCAGCAAATAACAGATCTACACAGGACCCCATAGCCCAATAACTATTTGGGCAAAGCATCCTAGAACTGTTTTCTGGTAGTGACCCTAAGGGAGAAGCAATAGCACTGTAATGTAGTGCCTGCAGCTTCTAACCCCCTGAGTAGTTCCAGAAGAACTTCAGGGTCAATGGCTTCAAAGGCCACTAAGAAATTAAGGAGAACCAACCGAGTTGCACTCCCCTGTCACTTTCTCAATAAAGGCCATCAATCAGGGTGGTCAAGGCTGTTTTAATGCTAAAATGGGGCCTGAAACTGAAACGGGTCTGGATAATCTGCTTCATCTAGAGAAGTAGTTTTCTAAAACCTCTGGCGCTAGGGGAGGACTCTTCAAGAGGGGCTGCACCACTATTTTAAGGCAGTGGCTGTAACTCCCACATAGTGAGATGCTAACCATTTTTTGGACCCATCTAGAATCCATATGAGTCCCCCTGCATCCTGACCCTTCCAGGGAGGAGGAAGAGGAAGACAGTACAGTGGAACCTCGAGTTGCAGACGTAATCCGTCCCAGAGGCACGTCCGCAACTCGAAGCATTCGCATCCAGAAGTGCCATGTCTGCGCACGCGCGCAACATGATTTAGCGCTTCTGTGAATGCGCGAGCGGTGGAACGCGGAAGTACCTGTTCCAGTACTTCTGGTTGCCGCGGGACGTAAGGCGAAAAGATGCAACATGAAGCAGACACAACACGAGGTATGACTGTATAGATTTAGAACAGGGGTTTAGGGTGGTCGCAGCTCAGAAGCAGATGAGGGGGAAAGTTGGGAAATCATGGAAGAGCCAGAACAACACGCGGCTGACACATTGTCATTAGAAAGCATTCCAGATCCTCCATCTCCCAGAACCCGGCGAGCCTTAAAAGTAGGAGAGCAAAGAGCTCAAAGACAGAGGGCACTTAATGGCACCCATAGAGGAGATGATGAGAATGACAAAGAGGGAAAGACGGGGGGGGGAGGTAGAGAGTCACTTGGGACAACACCATTATCCAAGAGGCTGGGTTCTATAAAGATTGAAATAAAAAAGGACTGTAAGAAATTTTTCCTTGTCTTTTTAATTCCTGGGCAGCCAGCTGGGAGCCGCTGACAGCACCCTGACAATATCACTCCTTCCCAACATACCTTGTTGACCGCACCAATCTAGCCAACAACGTCCGTTTTTCATCATTGCTGAATTTCATGACACCTGGAGTCTCAAACTTCTGCCGGATCCAATCACACTGTTCCACATCATTAATAAACATAAATTCCAGCCCAATGTGTTGACAATATGTGTTCTGGATGGTAAAATGATATATTAAAAACATGAAAATGTTTAAAAGGTGGCAAAGACAGAGTATAAACTATGCTTAAAAGGTACTTTTCTTTCCACCCAAGGAACTAGCTCCTCATAAGGGCTAGTACAGATGCAGGAGTACACAAGCCCATGACCTAAACCAGTCAGCATTTGGAAACTATTAGTTTTAACAAGCCTTCCTGGTAAAAATCAATTAAATACTTCTAGACATCCCCCCAAAATAACAGAATTTACATAAGGAATACACATATATGCACTACACAAAGGAACCATAATGGACCATATACTTTGGCTATGAGGCTCCAGGTTTAATCCTAGCTACCTTTTACTAAAGTCCCTCAAAACAGAAATGGCGCAAGGCACTCTTACTTGGAAAACCGGATTAAGAATCTATTAACAAAACTGGGCCAAACAGATCTACCTCTTCTGCATTCCACAATTTGATAATGAGCAACAACTCAACTGTGGCCAATGCCACGTCTTAAAAGTCCTCCCCGCCCCCAAGGTGAAGGCCTACATTAGCAACTGGTCCAAGAAATGATCAGACCAGAGCCACTCATCTGGTTACTAATACCTCCTCAAACTTAGACAAGTCTTCAAGTCTATACTTAAATGATACCACCTGCTGCATGACATCCTCAGATTCTGTTGGCATGTCATTGATTTTTATTTCTAGTTGGAAGCACTTCTTACACTGTAACAGGGCACTCCACATATAACTTTTCCCTTGCAATGTTCATCTGAAGCATTTGGAAGATTAAATAATGCTAATCTTTTTTTTCCAGCATGCTGTATTTTATACAACTCCAGGGAATGAAGATTGATAACTGGACAACTGAACTCCCTTTAGGAGGAATCAATGATACAGGATGTCATTGTACTTACCTCCAACCGTTTGATGATCTCTCGTAAGGAAAGCATGGTCTCATTGCCTCCAATGAAGGTGGTTGTGGGCAACTGGAACACTTTGTCCAAGTCAGATTCATATAAGCCATAAAACCCTGTGGTATACACATTATTAGTGAGAAGGCAAGAACAAAAGTTCAAAACTCAAACATTGACTCTACAGAGCCACATATACCTCATTAATTTGGTGGCCTTAAGATACAAATAATGCAATTTGGTACATACCTGAAAATATCAGAAACTTTGAGGGCAAAATTTTTCAAGGTATCTTAAAGATGCAAGTTAACAGGAGATGAACCAATGAAGTCTAATAGCCTTGGCATGAACACACATGCATTCTTGTTGTATCTTTGCCTTTTTGTGTGTGTGTTTCATCCTTATTTTCATGCCCATTTTTATTAACCTATCAGCATTTAGGAGCCAGGCATTTGTTTTGCAACATCTCTTAAAATTCATGCCAAGTTCTTGCAAATAATCATTTTTAAAACTATGTTGGCCACTTGTGCTTTTATAACGAGAATGAAAATGCCATTTTCACATCTTCCTCATATATGTAACAATTTAACATAAAATAATACATAAAGTTAGAGGACTCTCTCATTAAAGACGAGTTGCTTGCTCCGCTGCAAACAGGAGCGACTATGCAGTTTTGCAGTGCTCACCTGACTGCCTGTTGCACTTAAAACATGAGACATGCTCCTCACCGTGGATATTAATTTACTGCCAAGGAGTTAAAATTCTCACCTAGTTTATCTATAGTAGTGATTAAATCTGAGGGGATGAATGAATCCAGGTCGGCATCCAAGATTCCTAAGGGATCCAACTGAGCCACATGGTGTCCACGGATCTGCATAGGTTGAAGTGGGTAAGAAAGGCAGTATGAAAGGGAAAGAAGAAAACATTGTGACTCAAAAGAGAGAGCTCACCAGTTTTGTGCCCTCCCACAGCTCACCCATAGAATCATTTTCTAGCCAGTTCCAGGTTGCGGCAATATGGTCACGCACATATTGAACAAGCGTAAAACGGTTGTTGCCTAAAAAAATATACATTCAATGCATATGATTTTTCTAGAAGAACAAAGTGGCCAAAGAAAGTTATCTTCCCCTCATCACCCTGCTTAAAAAAAATAGGTAATAACATGCCTTAAAGAATGCTCAAACTGTGGACAGCCTGTCTACAGTGGCGTTAGAAGTTCAGAATTGTTAGAGATCCTAAAACAATTACACTCAAGTAATTCTGGTCTAAACGCGGGTGGCGCTGTGGTCTAAACCACAGAGCCTAGGGCTTGCCAATCAGAAGGTTGGCGGTTTGAATCCCCGTGACGGGGTGAGCTCCCGTTCAGTCCCTGCTCCTGCCAACCTAGCAGTTTGAAAGCACAAAGTGCAAGTTGATAAATGGCGGGAAGGTAAACGCCATTTCTGTGCACTGCTCTGGTTCGCCAGAAGCGGCTTAGTCATGCTGGCGACATGACCTGGAAGCTGTCTGCGGACAAACGCCGGCTCCCTCAGCCTATAGAGCAAGATGAGCGCGCAACTGGACCTAACGGTCAGGGGTACCTTTACCTTTACCTTTCTCCCCCCAATATTTTATTCAAGTTGGCACCCTTGCCACATGCTGTTTCATACAGAAGTCAACCATATTCTTGTCCAAATCCCACAACCAGGGCCTGAAGGCAACAGCTCCTCCCTGTTGTTCCACCCCTGAAAATGGTATTCAGAGGCATACAGAGAGGATTGTCTGTAGCCATCATGGCTGTTATAATTGTTGGACTTATTCTCTATTCATGTCTTGCATGCTCTTTTAAAGCCATTCAAGCTAGTGCCTGTCACCGCATCTTCTTGCAGCAAATCTGCCTGCTTAACTGCTGCTTAATTGCTGAATATAGGCTTAATTATGGTAGTTTCTAAGCAGTATATACAAAAAGTATAAAATGAATTAAAATTAATCATAAAACAGAAAAACCTTTGCCAAAGAACTATGCACATAAATATATGTGCTTCATAGGGATCATCATCTGAACAATTATTTGCAACTTTTATTTATTTTACTGGTATTGTATTCATTTCTAAAAATGCAAGTTCTTCAGTAGGGAAAATGTAACAGTAAGTAAAAAAAATTCATCCCGCCTTACTGGTCAAATGCAATACTCCCTCTGCTACACACCTTGATAAAAAATAATCATGATATCCCAATCCAAATCTAGCTGTTATTTTAAAGAAGTGTGGCCAGCGCTGGCAGATGGGGATTGGGTGCTCATCCAACTGAAAAGCAGTGTAGCATGAATAGATGGCACCCACACTTAGATGCACATGAGATTTATGCCTGTGGTTCCTGATCCAGCAGATGATGCATATACCTAACCAGCCTACCATACAAGGCAGTCTCCCTGCATGTGCATTTCTCTTAGCTTGTTCAGTATATAAGTGGCTTGAATGTCAATTTCCCCCTTTTTTTAGTGAAAAAATATTTTGAAAAATGAGTGCTTGATTCAAAAGATGTAAAGAGTTCCGGCTGATCTCTCTGTTATTGCATATAAGTAATGAGAAGCTGAAGAATACACACACACATATGAGAGAGCCTCACCAAGTCACCTGAACAAACCTGAGTAAGCTTGCTTGCAGCCCTGAAGGAATCTTGTTTTGCCACTGCAGTTTTCAGGAACTATCAGTGAGCTAAAAATTCTTGGACAGAAACTTATTTGGAGAAAAACTATATCCCTTAAAGCCATGCTTTCCTTTTTCTTTTTTAAATAATTTTTATTGTTTTACAATTTTATATTCAACACAATCATTTTTATCACAAAAAGTATATCTAAATCCCTACCCACCCCCCATGACTTCCTTCAACTTCCTCTTCTGGTTCTTTAAATATTTACTTATCCTGTCTGTTTATTCTACCTTAATTTTTTAATTTGATATTGTTGCAATCTTCTCACTTTTGTACCATACTTTTTCATTTTACACCTTGCCCTTTATTATTTTCCCATTCTTACATCTTTACTTTCATGCTTGTTTTCTTAACTGTGTTTACTCAAACCCTGCTAGTGAGTCCACTTCGTTACAATATTTCTGTAAATATAACATATACGGTTCCCAGTCCTTAAAGTCTCTATTGTCCTTGTCTCTTAGTTTTCCAGTTAGTTTCACCATTTCAGTATACTCCATCAGTTTTTCTTGCCATTCTTCTTTTGTTGGTATCTTGTTGTCTTTTCATCTTTGGGCTAGTCACATCCTAGTCACTGTTGTAGCATACATAAATAGTCTTTTCCACTCTTTTGGCAACTCTTGACCTGTAATACCTAGCAAGAAGGCTTCTGGTCTTTTAACAAAAGTTATCTTAAACATTCTTTTCATTTCATTATAAATCATTTCTCACTAGTTTTTGATTCTTTTGCAATTCCACCACATGTGATAAAAGTGCCCTCCTTCTCTTTACACCTCCAACACTTGTTGAAGCTTGCTCTATTAAAGCCATGCTTTTCAGTGTAGAAAAGCTGAATGAACACTTTGCAGATCCTTCTGCTGAAATGCCCCTACAAGCTGCAGAGGATTCTGGGGAGCATTTAAGGGGATGCACACTTGGCTCATGCCCTGGTCCCATTCAGACCTGCTGGAACTCATTGTTGAGCAATGTGAAATGAAGAGCATAGTTTAGCACACGGTTCACACTTGCAACTGTGTGTTAGTCCTGTTCAAGTGTTCCTAAATTTTATCCAATTCTGTTCGCTTCTGGCGAAACAGAGCAGCACATGGAAACGCCGTTTCCCTTCCCACTGGAGCGGTACCTATTTATCTACTTGCACTTTGACGTGCTTTTGGACTGCTAGGTGGGCAGGAGCTGGGACCGAACAATGGGAGCTCACCCCGTCGCAGGGATTCGAACCACCAACCTTCTGATCGGCAAGCCCAAGAGGCTCAGTGGTTTAGACCACAGCGCCACCCGCATCCCTTATTGGGGGGGAAGGTAAGCATAATTGATCACATGATGCGGTGCACATACACCTTTGAATGGCAATGTTCATCAACTTGGGGGGGGGTGTCCCCCTCAAATATTTTATTGCGGAGGCTGAAGGGACCTTGGCCCCTAGGAGTTGGCTCCCATGGCACGTGTCATTAAATGGACCTTTGATCCAATTCAGCAGGGCTCTTCTTACTTAAGGCCAATTGTTGCAAACATTTATTTTTTATTTTTAAAAATTCAGAGTTGCAGTCAAAGTAGCACTAAGGAGATAAATCCACCAGTGCAAGCATTTCTGCTTGCCAAACAGAACAATATTCCCTCTACTCCCCCACCATGCACTGTTCTGGGAATTCTCTGAATTCTCAAGAACAAGTTTGGGGGATGGGGTGGGAGAGTCCTGCTGCACTAGTAGGGATCGTTGCACAACAATTTAGGCAAATACAGTCCTTAATTCTCAGTACTAGGCAGAAACAGACAGCATAAAGTAAGCATGCAGTAAAGATCTCCCACAAATATTTTCCACAGACCTTTTATTTTTTTAATCGGCTTTTGTCATGACTAATTGCAAAGTCCAAGGGGGAAAAATAAAGACAGAAGAAACAATAATTCTGCATATAGTACAACATTTCAATGATATTCTGCTAATTCATCTTTTTAATAAATGGCGATTCTCCTATGACAGAATGCAAGTCATTTGTTTTGGCTGTATTTTGTAACAAAAAGGCCTTCTGCATATCAAAAACCTCCAATTAATACACACATTGACAGTATGTGTGTATAAAGCAAAGTTAGCGGGAGTTATTGCAGCATGCTAATTTATCATTCAGAGAGCAATACACAACAGCCGCGAAAACAGTTCAATTTTTAAAAAAATTAGTCAGGGGGTCCCGTGCAAATCACTTGTCTGACAATATTCTGGTTGCTTTTTAGATTAGCATTGACAAAGAATCTATAAGAATAGAAATTTAAGGGGATTCACAAACCAAAAATGTTTCATTTGGGGGAGGATGTGGATGATGCAAAATATTGTATGCACAAACAGCTCTGAGTCCAGAATAAAGTGTTGTGTGGAAATGCCCTTAAACACCTATGAAGAAGCGGCTCCTTAGCTGCGTATTATTTACAAAACGCTGTTTTAAGCAAACACCCTCAGCTGCTGCAGGCGAATTTCTGTACACTGACCTGATATGCTCTGATCAATGACTGCACAGCCAGATGATCCTCAACCAGTTTCTCGGCTTTCGCAGGTGACTTTGTCAGTCCATGGCTTTGGACAAGGGATGTTCTGCTTCCTGAAAGGTCCGGTAAAGGACTTTGAAAGGCTTGTCCAGGAAGGGCTCCAGCGGTAGCATTTCGGAAAAATAAATCCCATGACTAGACAGGGTGGGGGGGAAAGAGAGAGGAAGAAGCGGGGGAAACAGGAAATAGAAAGCTATTATAGCCCTAAGAAGTTTGAAAAGAAAACAATACAGGTGATAAATTCAATCCCTTCATTTCCTTGTCCCTAATTCTTTTTGCTATCCCTCTCTATTATCTAGCTCTTAAACCAATATTTCACTACCACCCCCACTCAAAGTACAGTGGTACCTCAGGTTAAGTACTTAATTCGTTCCGGAGGTCCGTTCTTAACCTGAAACTGTTCTTAACCTGAAGCACCTCTTTAGCTAATGGGGCCTCCTGCTGCCACTGCGCCACCGGAGCACTTTTTCTGTTCTCATCCTGAAGCAAAGTTCTTAACCTGAAGCACTATTTCTGGGTTAGCGGAGTCTGTAACCTGAAGCGTCTGTAACCTGAAGTGTATGTAACCTGAGGTACCACTGTACTATGGGGCTCCTCTTTGTAGCTGCCTGGAGCCCTGCAAGAGCATTCTTCTTAGGGATTAGTGATACACTGCAACATTTTGTTGCAGGTCTCAGTGATAAGACAAAAATAGTTCAAAGGTAAGTCTTAGGTAGCAAGATGGCTTACAAGATCCTTTTTTTCAGACCTGGTGCGAACAACTACTGATTTAAACAAGTCAGTATACTAATAAAATTTGGGGGGAGGGACTGTGCTGTCAGAAAGCTCCCGAAATCATGGACCATAAGGAACACAATCTACTCATCTGTATTGTCCTATATTTTGTAAATGCCCCCAACATTTGTGCAATGTGCTCTAAAGTGCTGCTGCCTGAGTGCTGGAAGAAAGACCTGCTCCCTGCTGCCAGGCATATTTATACCTGACCTAGAGGGAGGGGCCCAGACTCACCTTGAACAGCTAAAAGACGCTCCTGGGAGGCTGGAGGGACATTGCTGGCTCAATTCCTAGGGTTGGGGCAACTGGCTAAAATGTTTTAAAAGGTTCTAATTTTGGCTCCTCTGTTTCATTTTTGTCAGGTTGGTGTTGGTTAAATGTTTAGTTGGGGTTGGTGGTTACTTTAATTTGGGTATAACTGTAAACTGTTTGTTATTATTGTTATTGGTTTTTGTTGATTTATTGGTTTGTTTGTTGCTTGTATAGAATATCTTGTTTTTTAATGTTTGATGTTTTGTTGTTTTCATATGTTGTAACCTGCCCAGAGTGGCTGAGGAAACCCAGCCAGATGGGCAGGATATAAATTATTATTATTATTATTATTATTATTATTATTATTAAAGCGAGCAATATGAAACAGCATATGAAGGTCACATCATACATACATTTTAAGTGAGAAAGCTGGCCAGGAAGGGTGGGAAGTGGGCAGATTATTTTTTTCACTGTACCAATTTTAGGCCGGCACAGCAAAGCCCCCTTTCCAGGTGCTGGCCCAGTTTAAAATCCAGTAGATCCATGTCTGGCTCAGCTCTGGCTTTTTCCAAACCGCTAACACCCCATATTTAGGCCCTCTATGGGCCATAGAACACTGTTGGGCGTAGTGCTTCCTCCACTGTACTTCCTGCGGCTGCAGCAGCGGTCTCTAGAAGTGGAACACCACCACCGGTACAGGCCAGCAGACAAGGACATCTGCTGAATCATCAACCCCTCCAACAGTGCAGATTGGGATTAGGACTGAAGCCTGGAGCCAGAATACAACTGTTTATAAAATCCAGTGTTAAGAATGGCTCCCCTGAAAAGCTGATTTCGTGTATTTCAGTTATGTTTTCTTACTGCCCAGTGGTGATGACTAAAACACTGCAATGTTAGCTGTTTGGCTTTTAACCATTATGACTGTTGAGTGTTAGGTATAATAACTTGTTTATTATTTTTTTAAAAAAAAAACCCCAGCACTCATCTCCAAGCAAACAATATCAAGGAAGTCATTACGCTCTCATGGTAGACTGGTTGCATACAGGAAAACATGACAACTGTTGTGTATTCAATAGACAACCAAGCAGTTTTTTTCAATTAATCTTGTGATAGCAATAGCTGAGCCTTGTCAAGTCTCTTCTTTATGATCTATGGCCCTGACACCATTCTATGAGCAGAAATAATGACACCTTTCTCGGGGCTTGTATCATTTCATTCCTAGAGTCATTTCAGATGCTACTTTGCACTAGTGGAGCAAAGGATTAGTAGGGACAAGAGAGGAAAGAGCAAAGAGCACTGTAAGAAAAGCTAACCCAAAAGATCAGCTGGGGAAAAGGTAGTTCTAGAAAATGCTTTCTAGGTTACAGCCCAATTCGAAATCTGTTTACTCAGATGTTACTCCCATGGGCACCTATTTCCTGGTAAAGTGCTTAGGACTGCAGTCCTCTTAGTAGGTGTGAGAGATTTTATTTGCCTGTTGCCCAATGGCCATTATGAAACACCGGAACAGTAGAAGTACCTACAATACCAAGTTGGCAGCAGATCTAAACTCCTGCTAGGGAAGCAGGGGGAAAACCTAGCACTAATATATAACACTAAAAATTACCAAAAACAAACTGAGATTAACATCAAAATACTATGCGGATGGTCTTTGCAATTCAGGGTATAGATTTTTAGAAAATTGCAGTGAATTTTTCGATCTACTGCTGCAAAAGTGGCAACCTTGTTTGTTATTGTTTTATTGTTGTCTGCCAACAGATCAAAACATACACACACACACACACACACACACACACTTATATGGCCAACGTAAGCTTTAATTAAAAAAAAATACAATCAAAGCTTACATTGGCCACTCTGGAAGACATACAGAGAGTAGAATACAAATCATCTAAATAAAGTAAGGTCTAGCTCAAACATGAGGGACATAATTGGACAAAATTGTGCAGGGTTCCACACACTTGTCATTTTGTTTAAACTGGAGTGTTACACTTACGTGTGTAACTAGGACTCTATGGGCTGGGTATGCGAACATTGCATTTATTAGGTGTAGGTGCACCATTCAAATGAGCATATTGTGGAGCAGGATTGTTTTTTAATTGTCAGGCATCAGGCTTGAACGTGCCTTTCTCTGAGCTCAGCAGGACTGACTTCCATGTATGTTTTTACAGGCTGGAGGTATAGCTTTGGACTGTAGCAGAAAATGCAGTTACATGCTAGCATGCAAATGCTAGTAGAAAAAAAAAATACAGTCAAAAATCATGTTTGACAAATCATTTGCTAACTGATTCAGCTGTATTTATGTGATGCTTTGACCTATTGTTTTTAAACGAGCCTTAGCACTGCCAGGCTCTTCATTACATGGGTTTACTCTTACTTGGCTTAAATATACAAAGTTCCTCTAACCAGCTTTATTGATACTTTTAATAAATCCAGTAACCTGGGCAAGGTGACAGAAAGTTACTCAACCTTAAAGCTCCAAGTGATTACAAGCCTTGCTTCTGACAACTTTTAACGAAGTGTTTTCAGTTTAGCTCTATACCATGCTTTTTATATCCATTTATCTCCACTGACGTTCATCCCTTAGCTTTATTAGCCCAAGCCATTTATTTTTGTCCTGTTAATCACCAGTTACAAAACACCTAGGACGATATCCAAAAGCAAGCCACAGCTTTAAAACACATGTATTCACACAAGCATAGAAACACACACATGCAAAGACAGAGAGAGAGAGAATCAAACACACAAATTATCACAATATTTAGCAGTAACTTTTTAAAAAACCAACCCACTGTCTTCTGCAATAGTGACACAGGAGGGACTATTGCACGGTCTGGCTTGCAGGCCCACTATCTCTGTCCAGCAGTGACACAAACATCTGTATCAGTATATTTACTTAAAATATTTCTGAGCTGCCCTTCCTCAAAAGATTCCAAGGAGATGTTCAAAACCGTGAATAAAACTACTCACATATTTTTAACACACTATTTTTATTAAAGTAACAACAAGCAGGATAAGAAGCAGACAAAAATAAAACACAATTAAGACTAGGGTAAAGCAGTTCTAACCAAAAGGTCATCTAAAATGCTGGCAGGAATACAAAGGTAAGCTGACACCAGTGCTTTTTTTCAAGGGGTACTCAAGAGTATACAGTACTGGCACCTCTTTTTTTTTGTTGTTGTTAAAATGTATGGCACTTACTGTAACAACTTCATGGTGAGTACCGGCACCTATTTTTCTAGGGAAAAAAAGCACTGCCTGACACTAAAAAGACTGTAACATCAGTGCAGAAATGTTTCTTTGGAGCACCATCACAAAAAAGTCCTCTACTTTCTAAATACATAATGAACCTCTGCTGCAGAGGGTACTCAAAGAAAGGCCCCTGCAGAAAATCTTAAGACAAGGACCCAGATGCCCAAGGAAGCACCCCATCTCAAAGCTGGCTTCAAGAGAAAGCACCAGGAGCTTAAAGAAGACTCAGGAGCAAATGAGGAACAAACGCTATTCTTTCATGAAAGGTGCAGCATGAAAAATCCTGGCTATACCAGTGAAAATTCTGGCAGCCATGTTCTGCAGAAACCTGGCAATCCATTTCCAGTTGACTCAGATCCCTAAGTGAAGATTATGCTATGCCAGGGGTCAGCAGGGCTTACAGGGCATGGGCCGGATCACTCCCACGGAGATCCTCCGTGGGCCGGGCCAGCGCAGTGTGACGCCGGAAATCGTGTCTGCGCATATCCGCAGCACCAGAAAGGCTTCTGCGCATGCCCACACACCGAAAATCACATCTGTGCAGGAGTGATTTTCGGCATCTGGGCATGCGCAGAAGCGATTTCTGGCACTGCAGACACACAGAGACACGATTTCTGGCGTCTGGGCATGCGCAGAATCGATTTCCGGAGCCGCAGAAGAGAGTCCCCGCACCGTGCTACGCTGGTTTAGCACAGCGGGTGGGGACTTGCCCAGCGGGTGGCTCAGTTCAGGGGCCTCCATGGGCCACAGGTTGGGGACCCTGTGCTATGCTATGGCTTCCCATAACCCCCCATGGCGGAGAGGGAAATGGCGGCAGAAATGAACCCATTCCATGATGGCTTCCTGCCTGCCTGCCTGCCTGCCTGCCAGGGCACTGAACTGAAAAGACAGTTCTGAGGTGCTCAAGTGGCCTATCTGGCCTGCAGGATGAACTCCTGCCTATTACCAGTTGTTGTTGTTGTTAAACATTAATAAAGATGATATTATGAATATCCACAACAGAATATTGTTCACAACAGAAAAATACAAAATGAGAATACAAAATACATAATAAAACAAAAACAAAACAATACCCCCCTCCCACAAACACACTTTTAAAGCCAGAGCTGAACGCCTGGCTGAAGAGAAACATTTTCATCTGGCACCTAAAGAGATACAATGAAGGCACCAGGTGAGCCTCCCTGGGGAGAGCATTCCCCACAAATGCCCCACTTGTGGCACACAAAGAAGGGCCTCAGATGATGACTGCAGGGTCTGGGGCGGTATATATGGGGAGATCCTTGAGATATTGCAGTCCTGAGCCTACCATGCACTTTCCCCCTCCATTTGCTCTTGTAAGGAGAATAATATTTTTTTGTGAGCACTACTTTTGAGTACTTTCAAAAGCTGTCTATCTGACTACTTGGAATGAATGGTTGCAAGAACCCAATTTAATTCAAGCAAATTCACATATGTTCACCAATATAAAATAAATGCTTCAATTCTAAATATAAAAGAGAGCATGGTGGGCTTTACTTCTGAGTAGTCAAGGAATGCACAGAGGGCTAAAACAGGAAAGGGAATTTTGCTCAGGGAAGCTAGGCTCAAGCCACAATGTGTATCAAACTTCAGATTTTTAGCTGTGGAAATGTCCTAGTAAATTATATATATATACATATATAGCATTACCTTATGCACACTTTTTGGATTGTCAAGCCAAGCATAATACATTTCCTCAACGTAATTTGAATTACTTCCACTCAAGAATGGTTCTGTGGCTCCTGGTGAAACATAACTCCGACTTGGCAGAAATTCTTTTTTGTTTACATTTTTCTTCATCAACGAACAAATGCCACGATGTTTCAGGGTAGCAGCAATCAGCCGCAAATGACTCATTTTTGTGTATTTCGTAGATGATTTTCTATTGAGAGAAAACGGTAAAAAGGAATTAGAAAAGCAGCCAACACTTAATGGGTATCTTGCAATTAAAGGCTTTCCTTTTTAATAGAGCGTCTACTTAGAAACAGAATCTTGTCCTGGATGACAGAAATCCAATTCCTAAGAAATACTTAACGGTGAAAGCCATTGATTTTAACAAGAATTATTAGCACACAGCTTCCTGCAGAGCCGGAAGCTACACTTGAAATCTAATTCAGCAACATTAGTGTTTCAAGAAGACAGCGTTGTCATTGCTTCTGCTTAATCCCTAGTTGATCCCCAATAATTATTACAATAACACACTCTTACATCACTATCTATCCATGTACAGTGATGCTATCACTGTGATTATTTGGGCTGATAGTTTATTGTTCCTCACCAACAGATTTTTCTATATACATCCCACAATGATCACTTTTACACATGTTGCATAGTCTATCAAGGTAATTTTCAGCTAAATGAGAAATAGATCCTGTGAAATAAAAGAACTCCTGATGTCAGGAATGCTAAAGAAATTACGGTACTTCATTCTGATGCGCAGTTTATAGACTTATCTGTATTCATGGGCAGCAGACAGGAAGTCAGTATTTAAAACATCTTGACAATAGCAATGGGCAAGAGATGCTGTGTTAGCTTCCTGGCAGGTGAGCTGCTGTTGCTTAGAGAGGAGGGGGCAAGAAAATGGGGAGACTGGGGCATTACAGATGTTCCAGTGGAGTCAATCTGGTGCCCTTTGCACAGCACCACCCTCCCTACAACACCACCCCTCTCCCAACTGATAAGCAACAGTGACCCACCTTTCAGGAAGCAAGCAACCAAAACAGCTCCAATCCAGCAAGCAAGCCACTTCTGACTAATGACCAGAACGTCACAGTAATTCTTCATTTTTATAACCTTGTACAGGATTTATTTATTTTTTGCCAAATGCCATACAGCAGAACATCAATCTGATCACACATACTTTCACTAAGGATATGCATTGGAGTTTACTCACGCACCACACACCGCCCCCCAAAAAGGATGTTTCAGGTTGGAAAACTAAGCTAATCAACAAAAGGCATTGCTATACTGTCTCATTTAGATGCTCTTTTTTCAATCCGTCCTTTAAAAATGTCACTTTGCCATTTTTGAGAATACATATGGAAAAAGAAAACAGAACAACAGCAATAACGACTACATCAACCATAATGAAAAACAGTAGTGAAAACCTCCTGAGATATTAGGATCACTCCATGGTTGAAAGATTTAGTCTCTTACAAGTGGCTAGTTAATTCATAAATATGAAAACTCTGTTCTTACCTGCTCATCTTAATAGTCCCTCCTTCCCATTTGCTCTGCCCTTTATCTTCAAACCTCCTTAACTATCACATATTCTTCCTTTCTGTTTCTGTTTTTCAGTCCGCTGATTGTAACATGCATTTTCATTATAGATCATTTCCCAATATTCTTACGCCTTTCTACATGTCTACCACATATGAAAAAAAGTTTCCAAAATGTATCTGACAACTGTATATCCAAGTTTTCAGAAGGAATCGGGCTGGAGAAGAAGGAAGGAAACTTCCTTCCACTCATTAGTATCCAATCCATAGCATTTAAAAAAAAATCTTTATAGCCAAAGGCTATTTCACATGATGAATTAATTTCCCTACTTGTTTCTGGGGTGATTTAAATACACAATATGAAACAGGACAAGAACAACAAAAACATTAGGAATTAACTTTATGAATAAATTTATTTTTTGAAAAATAGTTAAAATATTATTTACAGTGTAACTGTAAAATTAAAAGTTTCCCCCAAAAGGGAAATCAAAACCATCTTTCTGTGGTTATCAGTCAACTAAAAAATAAAAAAAAATCCCTTGAGACTACGAAGTCATGTCAGTGACTTGTTACAAGAATTCTAAGATCTGAAATATAAAATATTCATAAATGTACAAGGAAAACACATACATAAGTATATAAACCACGTGTCTGAAATAGTACAGGAGAGCAATCCTGAAGCCATTTTGACTCTCTCAAACCATTTTGACTCTCCCAAATTGACCTCAAATATTTCTCTGCAAGGAGGAAGAAAATGGGGAAGCCTCTCCATTGTCTCTTGCTTACCTGCCTTAAGGGCATATCTGTGTATGAATAGGGTGAACCTGTGCCTGGTTTGAGGAATTAAAGTAATTACCATCACGAAACAATAGCCAGGCTGCCCAGCTAAAGCAATCAGTGACCATTAACAGATATCCTGACAAACAGGATTTCTGTTGTAGACCGCCTTATGTGATGTATTTCTGCTGTAGACCACCCCCTTTTGTGATGTATGTATGATGTTTTGGGGGTGGTCTTGAGCTACAGGGTGAGCAATTTCAAAAGTCTATATAAGGGCTTGCTCACCATTGTTCTGGGTTCCTCCTCCCTCCTGCACGTGATAAGTGAAGACCCTGTTGTAACAGTTTAATAAAGATCAGGCTTACTAGTTGCTTTGCTTCTCAATATTATCTGGTTGGCCTCTGTTATTTTCTCCTACCAATAGAGAACCCACTTAAGGACTCTATATGGGGTCTTGGATACCCCATAAGGGGAAAGGAGCAGGGTTTTTTCTATAACAGTCCCATTTAAACAATAATCCATCTCATGGATGGATTATCCACATGGTCAGACAGATTTGCTTACTCTCTCAAAGTTTAGTATCATAACATTTTTCATTCACCTTATTAATCAATATCTATGAAGGTAAGGTAAAGGTAAAGGTAAAGGGACCCCTGACCATTAGGTCCAGTCGTGGCCGACTCTGGGGTTGCGGTGCTCATCTCGCTTTATTGGCCAAGGGAGCCGGCGTACAGCTTCCGGGTCATGTGGCCAGCATGACTAAGCCGCTTCTGGCGAACCAGAGCAGAGCACATGGAAATGCCGTTTACCTTCCCGCCGGAGCGGTACCTATTTATCTACTTGCTCTTTGACGTGCTTTCGAACTGCTAGGTTGGCAGGAGCAGGGACCATGCAATGGGAGCTCACCCCGTCGCGGGGATTCAAACCGCCGACCTTCTGATCGGTAAGTCCTAGGCTCTGTGGTTTAACCCACAGCGCCACCTGCGTCCCATCTATGAAGGTACACCTCTTCAATTAATGGAGATATGAAACAGAAATCACTAAGTAGGTCAGAATGTAAAATGAGTGTCAAATCTGTTTAATCCTCAAATTTTTCTCAGTAAATCTAGCCTATTTTTTCCTGGTGTTTATTCTACAGCAGAAACTTGGGCTGCTATTATAGATCCACTTTCTTAGGAGTAAGCCCACTGAACTCTGAACAGATATATACAGTGGTACCTTGGGTTACAGACGCTTCAGGTTACAGACTCCGCTAACCCAGAAATAGTACCTTGGGTTAAGAACTTTGCTTCAGGATGAGAACAGAAATCATGTGGCAGCGGCGTAGCAGCAGCAGGAGGCCCCATTAGCTAAAGTGGTACCTCAGGTTAAGAACAGACCTCCAGAACGAATTAAGTTCTTAACCCAAAGTACCACTGTAAATGATTACACTGCTCTCAGCAACAATACTCAACTATCTGAGACACATTGCATTATCCCATAAGAAAAAGCCAGAAATTCCTAGTTTATTCTGGTTTACTTAAACCACAATATGAATACATAGCATGCTGGGGTTTGCATCCCATTTGCTCAAGGTTCTGTCCTCTCTTCACATGTGGGTAAAAGAAACCAGAAAGCATAGGGACTGAATGCAGAATTCTGGTTTCTTGCTCCCAAACAGGCCAGGAATGGAAGTTTGCTCAAGATCAGCACAGGCAAAAGTTGAACCAGTTGTGTTGCTCCACCTCAACCCAAAAATTAAACACAAATTTCCATCTGGAAACAAATGTTAATTAAACATGGGGTTTATCATAGGTTTAAAAAAATGTATGTTTGTGTGAAAGAGAACTGGATTGCAGAAGAAAAGTGATTCGTATTTATCAAACTGCTGGGGTATAATAAACTAAAGTGGGACAATAAACAGCTGAAGGGCTTTAAAGTATCAGTGCATCTTCTTATGTATATTTATAATACGCCTTAAAACAACTAAATACAGCAATAACCTAGATAACCCCTGCTAAAGACACCATCTGACGGCACAAATGATCCTGTCAATGTCTAACTTACCTCTAACCTCTTGTTCTCAGTCAATTCCCCCCTAAGGAGAAGTTTGCAACAAACTAATTCTGGTACCAGGTATAATCTTAGGAATGATCTGATTGAACTCAGGTGGAACAACAGAACTACGTATGTCATAGGTCAACAAATTCCCTGGAACAGGTTTCAAAATGTACAAACCCACATATTTCTGCTGACAGTTAATGCCTCTGGAAAACCTGAATATTCGCATTTTCATGAACAGTCATAACACACCTCAATAGGCTTCACTAAAATTGAACTAAGTTTAAATTCACTAAAATTGGACTCATGGTGAATATTAACTTCTGGTATGATGAAAATCTACGGACCAGACCATCATACATGGAGCTGCCCTATTAATCACACAGCAAATACAGTGGTGCCTCGCAAGACGAAAAGAATCCGTTCCGCGAGTCTCTTCGTCTTGCGGTTTTTTCGTCTTGCGAAGCAAGCCCATTAGCGGTTTAGCGGATTAGTGCTATTAGCGGCTTAGCGGGCTTAGCGGATCAGCTGATAAGCGGCTTAGTGGCTTAACGGATCAGCTGTTAAGCGGCTTAGCGGATCAGCTGATAAGCGGCTTAGCGATCAGCTGTTAAGCGGCTTAGCGGATCAGCTGATAAGCGGCTTAGCGGCTTGGGAAAAGGGGGGGGAGGGGAAAAAACCCGCAGGAACTTGCAAGACATTTTCGTCTTGCGAAGCAAGCCCATAGGAAATTCGTTTTGCGAAGCACCTCCAAAACGGAAAACCCTTTCGTCTAGCGGGTTTTCCGTCTTGCGAGGCATTCGTGGATAATGAATTCATTCACGTTATTCCATACAGAGCTTCATCACAAGGTGAAGATCAAGATCAGCACAGGCAAGAGTTGAACCAGCTGTGTTACTCCACCTCAACTCCAAATCACAATTTCTTATCATTGAGTCCCCCCCTAAAACAGATAGATCTGCTGGTAGTACTTATTATTAAACCAAATAAAATAAAATAAATGAAGGGATTCAGAGCGACATAGACCCAAGGTATGTTTTAATATCCCTGAATAAGTCATTTATAACTATAAATCCAATGAAAGAATCTTGTGTGTTGTTGTTCTGTGGGTCTCCAAAATTTTATCAAAACAGGCGGTGCCAGAGTCCCCAATACCTGTCTCATAAAATATGGATCGAGAGTCAGAGCAACCTGGTATATCTCTTAAACAAAGACCTAAATCACATTGAAAATAGTGAGTTTAATCTTTTTAGAACTGAGACTGGAAAGAGATATTTTAACACAAAAGGCCACAGAGGTGGTATCAAATATCACAAGGAACCTTCCCAATACTGCTATCCTAAGTTTTTGGAAATAAGCTCAAAGAAAACAGGTGATATTTCCTTCAAATAAATCCGTATGGCTAGGGTGCAGACAAGGGACTGGGGTTGGGGAGCTTCTGTTGCCTTAGATTAAGGTAATGGTTTGATTCAGACGGGAGGGACGCGGGTGGAGCTGTGGGTTAAACCACAGAGCCTAGGACTTGCCGACCAGAAGGTCGGCGGTTCGAATCACTGCGACAGGGTGAGCTCCCGTTGCTCGGTCCCAGCTCCTGCCAACCTAGCAGTTCGAAAGCACCTCAAAGTGCAAGTAGATAAATAGGTACCGCTCCGGTAGGAAGGTAAACGGCATTTTCGTGCACTGCTCTGGTTCGCCAGAAGCGGCTTAGTCATGCTGGCCACATGACCCGGAAGCTGTACGCCGGCTCCCTTGGCCAATAAAGCGAGATGCACACCGCAACCCCAGAGTCGGCCACAACTGGACGTAATGGTCAGGGGTCCCTTTACCTTTCCCTTTATTCAGATGTAAAAGAAAGCCATGTTTCCATGCTACACAAACAAGTCTCAGGCTCATAAGCTCCCCGATACTGTCTTATGCAGCAAAGGAGAAGAAAACCAAACTAAGTGCTGATAACTTGGAAAGTTACAGTTCCCTTGGACCAAAGTTAAGTGCCAAACAAGAATAAAAAATGTAGTTTCAGATTCTGGCTCCCCCCCCCACACACACACTAATCATGGTCCAAGCAAATGATACCTCCATTTTACCAAAGCTTGAACAAATACCCACATCGGTCTCTACAGCCACAGAAGGTGCTGCAACCTTCCAACAGCTTGACCTCATCCCCAAAGGCACACTCCAACATGGAACAAACACCACAATCTGCTTAATTTTATGGGGTATCTAGGACCACTACAACTTACTCATTCAACCTGGTTTTGTGTGAACAAAGTTAAGCTTCTAATGAGTGCAGATTTATTTGTTTTTTAAGTGTCGCTTATAGGCATACATATCTGTATTTTGTAACTTTTTCCAAGCTCTAGGGAATCCATTCACAAATTTTTCAGTCATGAGGCCAGGTCCTCTTATAGCTCAATAACTGGTTAAAGAACTGGAGGCAGGGGGTAGGAATAAAGGGGCAGCTTTCATAACTAAGGGAACTAAACATTGGGTGCTTCTGGATCATAGAATCACAGAACTGTAGAGCTGGAAGGGACCCTGAGAGTCATCTAGTCCAACCCCCTGCAAAGCAGGAATCTCAACTAAACCATAAATGGCATATGACCATCAAAGCTCTACTTAAAAACCTGATGAGTTCACCACCTCCCAAGGGCAATCGTTCCACTGTCAAACAGCTCTTACTGTCAGAAAGTTCCTCCTGATGTTTAATAGGAATCTCCTTTCTCATAACTTGAAGCCATTGGTTCAACTCCTAGCCTCCAGAGCAAGAGTAATCTTTATAGGAATGATGCTTTTTTACTAGTCATAAAGACTCTGAAATCAGGGTACAGACATTTCATGGGATACCTAAATTATTGAGGATGATAAGAACCCAAGCAAATGAGGAAGAGTTCCAAAAGGACATTCCTGAATGGGAAAATGTACAACAAAATGGGAAATAAAGTTTGATGGAGCAGCAACTTGTTCAGAATTTGGACTCTCCAGAAGAGATACTGAGGCTGTGCTAATTAGTTCAATAAAAATGCCAACTTGTGTGTGGGCACTGTGAGAAGGGAAATATTGATAGGTGACATCCAATATTGCATAAATGGACTTTTGCTTAAGTGGCATAACTTCCCCTTCTCTTCCACACCACCCCCAGCTCTCCAGAAAATCTGAACATTCATGTGCTAGTACTGTATTTGGTATCTGAACAAAGGCAAAGGCGGGATATAAATGTAATAAATAAGACAAGGAGCTTTTAATAATTAAACTGTTTCTGATATCAATTTATGTGAAATCACACAAGTATATACCAAGTAATATTCCCACGTATATTTCTATAACAGATTTGGCAAATATAGTCCCTATATTCCAAACAAAGTGCTTGATTAACCTGGAGGTAGACTGTATGAACTCTGTATTAATTTGTAATGTTTTGTTGGGTCTCTGGACCGTAATAAAGATTGATGATGATGATGATGATTTGGCAAATATATACTGAAAATCATACTTTAGTCTTTTATTAAGAATATATTAGACATGAGACTGTCTTTCCGATACGCACAGACAAATAATGTGTATATTTTCTTTTGGATTTGCAGGGATTCTTGTAAAACCACCTAATAAATTAACTGTTGCTTCCCTGTTAAACATGTTTAATTATACACCCTCCCCTTTTCGCATTTATCACTTTTCTTCTTAGTAATGTGCTGGCGAGTTCACAGAGATATCCGATGAAGCGGAGATGAAACGCAAGCTCCTGAATCGTTCAGCCAGATACACAAGCGGCAGCCAGGTTACGTTAGCTGAAAATTTATGTACCTTTTAAAGCAGAGATGACCCCATCCATTTAGGTTTCATGCGTGGCTGGACCACGTCTACCAAAGTCCATCACCATCAACACTGCCTCCTTACTCCAAATACATACCACCAACCGGTTCGGCCTGCACGGAAGCAGCCCAGCAACCCTAAGCTGCACCCATAGAACCCCAGCCCTCAGTGACACAATTAAAACAGCGGTTTGATTGATTGATTTCAAATCCATCTTCCGCTTCCAAGTCCGCCCTCCCCGTTGGGTCAAACTGAAGGGCACCTCTGCCAAGGCAACTAGGCCTTCCCCTCCCAATTATCACTACAATGGAAAGATGCCTCCAAGTAAATGTTAGGGAACCATCAAGAAGACCTTTGCTTAGAGACACACCCCCCCAAAAAATTTGCTGATTAAGCAGCTGTGAAAGGGAAGATCATCCCATCCCTCTCCCCCATTCATCCTCATCCAACCCCCTCCCCATTCACCTCCTCTCTCCCATTCATCCAACCCCCTCAGTTCCCCCTCGCCCCCTTTATTTCTCTTTCCCCCCCTCCCACGGATCCCTGCTGCTCTCCCTCCCCCCCCCCCCGCTTTCTGCCGTTGCCTTATGCTCCTCCTGGCGACCGGCCAAGGCCTGAAGAGGAGGAGGAGGAGGAAGCGGCGTGTGTGAAGCGGGGGGGGAGGGGATGTCGCTCCGTTACCATAGAAACCCGTGGTTCCTCCTCCTCCATCCCCCCCACCAGAGAAGGGGACAGACCTCGTTTAATTCCCCTCCCCTCCGAACAGAGAAGGGGGGGAGCGCAGAAAGAGAGAGGGAGATACCTGTTGTGTCACGTGAGGCGCGCGAGCCCGCCGCTCGCCGAGGGATGCTCGCTGAGGAGAACAAGAGGCCCGCCTCCTCCTCCTCCTCCGTCGCCCGCGCTGAGGTAAACGCGGCGGGGGCGGGGCCTGGCGGCGGGAATTCGCTGTCCGCGCGCGGGGCGGTGCTGGAGCGAGGAGGGGGAACCCGCGTCGGCATGCGCACGCGCCAGCCCGCCCGCCCGCCTGCGGGAGCGGAGGAACGTGTGAACTGGCCCGCCACCGCGCGGGAGTTCACACTGCCGCTTCCACGCTTCCGAGGGGTACATAGAGGGCCTCTTTTTCTCGTCCTCGACGCCTCCGCCGCCTCCATGGGTTTCCCCCGTTTTTCCTACCTCTTCTCCCGAGACTACGGAAAAGTCGGTGCGCTTCAGTTCCTCGAGGTTGTTTCCTGCCTTTCTGGGGGCTGGGCGGGGGGGTGCTGGCAAATACTCACCGTGAAGTTGTTGCAGTAAGTGCCACGTTTTGAACTAGTGTTTCTAGAAAAGAAAAAGAAAAATGGTTTCGGTCATGAGTACCCCCAGAAGGAAAAAAGCACAGCCCCAATAGGTGCGTCACTATGCAAACAAAAATGATTGGTTTATTTATTTATTTTTACAAGTGCAGGCTCCACGTGTTTCTTTGAAACTCCTTTTTTAAAATAATTTTTATTAATTTTCAATTACATTCCAATAATAGCTTCATTGTAACAATGCCAAATTATAATACAATTACTAATACCAATCGTTCAAATGCCAAATTATATAATTTAGGTGCCCCACCCCGTGAGCTAGAATTGATGGTTTGATGATTTTCTTTATTTCTGCTTTCCAAAATCTTACTAATTTCAATTGCATTCCGGTCAAAATAATAATCCCTTATACAACAACTGCAATATTAATAACTTCCATTCATGTTGACACATTAAATGATTTATAAAACAACAAGCGAGGCACTTAAACTATATCCTTGTTTTTCCTGTGTGTGGCAATTATTCTGTCCCTGGTGTTTCTTCGAAGCTCTTGTGCACCTCTTCCCATCGCAGACGACCCCTAAAAATGATTTACACGCAACAGTCGAAACAATACACCTGTGCAAGACCTCTGAACACCAGCAGTAAAATGACAGTGGCAAACATGAAAATGTAAAGGGAGGCGAACCGCTGAAATTGATGGAAACGGTTTTTAAAAGCTATGGCGGGGAGTGGATCCTCACCATGTGACAGAAACCCAATAGCACATCCATCTCTATCTCTGGAGTTTCGCAACTGGGGCATCACCACAAAGAAGCCCCAGTTAGGGAATCTTCTTCCTCCTATATTTAAAACAAGTATTATTATTATTAAGTGAATTATGTACCGCCCTATACCCAGGGGTCTCAGGGCAGTTCACAGAATAAAATCAAGGTATAAAACCACAAAATACCTAATTAAAAAAACAAACCCAATATTTTTATGGCTTCAGTATTAAGCCAGGTCTCCACCCCGCCCCACCGCTTTGCTTAACATCCAGCATGATTAATAGTTCTGGCATGCTAGAATTGATGGTTTGGTGATTTTCTTTATCTCTGCATTCCAAAATCTTACTAATTTCAATTACATTCCAGTTATGTAGTTGGGGTGGCCTTAAAAGCTTGCTCACCATTTTGTGATCTTGGAGGCCTGGTGATCTAGAATTTGTAGAATTATTCCTAGCTTTCAGTTTGTTTCAGGTTGCAGCCTTGGTATTTTCAAACACCCGCTTTATTGATCCCTTTCTAGTTATGCTGCCGCTGTTGCATAGAATAATAGAATTTTAGAGTTGAAAGGGGCCCCAAGAGTCAACTCCCTGTAATGCAGGAATCTCAACTAAAGCATCCATGGCAGATGGCCATCCAACCACTGCCTAAAAACCTCCAATGATGGAAGTCTCATTTCAGTACCTTTATTCATAATTTACCCATGTAGCTGGACATAGGTTTAGGATGAGCAGACCCAGAGGCTAAAGTCAAAGATGTAATTTATTAAAGCCTGTTGATAATAATATACATGTATTATTTCATCAAGAAAATCCAGATACTCTTGAATTTTATTTTTGTATCTTTCCATCTATGATCAGTATTTTAAATAGAATAAAAGGAAAGTATCTTAGACCTTGACAACATGACTGGTAATAACTGAAAATCCCCATTTATAAGAAATAATTTTATCCCTCCATTCTCTGCTGGAATATATAGCTAAATGACACAAGCACAACATTGCAACATGAACTGAGTTATTTCTTTAGTTTCCTATCATACCTTTTTTGCTTATGTTTTCTTCCAGGCTGCAAATTTGCTTTGATTATGTCTGTTGCTATTTTTGCTGTGCTTCATGGAGCAGCAGAGCAACAGCCAACCAAGGTCTGATCTGTAGAACTGATTAAGATTGTCACTTTCTGTGGCATAAATATCAACATGTATCACAATTTTTGTTGAGGTTACAATGCCGTGGGAATCAAAGCAGAAATTCACCTGACCTAGAAAGGAACAAACAGAGTAAAAGTGCTGCAATTCATTCAATAGAGCAAGTGTGTAGCTAAAATGGCTTTACCAGGGTCAAACTATCTATATAATGACAAAGAAATTTTAAGAGGAAGCAGGTGTGAAAGCTTTGTATTCTAATTAAACACTGGGGTCACCAATGTGGTGTCCTTGGGGACTTCCCCCTAGCACTTGTGAAACTTCAGAGCCCTTTTATCAAAATGTACTTTGAATGTGCTTTAAAGGTATAGTTTGTACACAGCCTTACAGTGCAATTTACCAATATAAGCTTTCATTTGATTTGGAGTGAATGTGTCAAGACCACATATAAAAACATGCAAATTCAATATATTTCACTTTAATTCTATCTTTGCCTAAACCTCATGGAATGTTGGTTATCTGAGGAGTGCACAGACTATCCTATTGGAATTTAATTTGTAATGAGGAATATGTATGCTTCTAAAAGGGAAAAAAATAACAAATATAGACCCTGAAATGGTGAAATATGTTGGCATAAATGTTTCAGAGCAGTTTGCCTTTTCAGCAAAGTTACCTAGTATTGTGTCTGTGCTTCAGGATTCTCACAAATAATAGACGCTTACGACTGAAGCCATGGATAGCCAGCAAACACTGGGAAGTTCAATTCTGTCCAAATTTCTCAACATCATTTGCTAGTGACTAATTAATTTTTGATGCTTGAACCTTACCACCTGTAAATGAAGCAAATTTGAAAAAGTGGATCATTGTCGCAGTTGACATTAACAGATTTTCAATGAAAAGAAAAGGGGGGAGCTTGTGGGCATATGGGGTTATCTCCTTAGGGAATGCCCACAACGAGGCCATTCTCTGTGGCAATGTGTTCATAACGTTGGCAGATTACCAGAGAAATGCTTGTGCCTCATATGTTGAAGGTTACACAGGAGACCTTGCTATCGGCTACTCTGTATAGTCCTGATAATCATCTAGATGCCCATTATTAGTATCTTTGACAGCTTTTATATGCTGTAAAGGAAGAACTTTAAGATTGAGGTGTGGGGAGGTTGACATATGCTTCTCCTTTATTTGTAATATCATGACTGGTAGCTTATTCTAGAAGTGGGAATGCCTGAAGTAATCACTGGTTGTCTTTAAAAGGATGACGGATCACTCTTGTCATATCCTTATCATATGAGCATTCACTCAGTGTGGCGTGGTGGATGAAAAGATACATACAAGAAATTCCATGAGCAGATTAGCCCACAGAACTCACATTAGCCTTGGTTTAATGTATGTTTTTTGGGACTGCTGCTTGTTGAGTTTTAAGACTTTCATTGAGTATTACCATATCCACCCTAATCCAGATTTTGCCTTGTGCTTTGATTTTGTGCCACTATTATTGGTGAAACTCATGAGATAGCCTCATTCATTTGCCAAACTGACTGAGATGTTCCAGTTCTTCAATTAGTTTTCTATGAGGGAGAACTTCTAACTGAACAGTGTCATTAATATGACATTTTGTTTGCTTTATTTTTCATTTTTCAGTGCCTTAAAATATTTCTTGATAGGTCTGAAGGGTTGTTCAGCCTGGATCATTTTAATGTTTGGGGAGTTTGGCTGCTTCTAGTTCTCTCTTCATTTTCCATTGTGTTCTGTGTTGTTCCACCGCTATGACCTGTGTGAGTATATAGAACAACAACTGAAATCCCACTATTTGATCAATTCTTATAATTTACTTATTTTATTTATCTATGCAATTTATATCCCACGTCTCGTCATTTGTGATAACAGTGCAGGTCACAATCCAATGAAAGCAAAACTGAATATATTTTTAAAAGTGTTTTAATAATAATACATAAAGTAATGCTTTACTGTAGGTTCTCAAAATCTGTTTACAGTTTTTGGCCTGCTTATTCATGCATCCATTCACTCACTGGCTCTGAGCCTGGCTTTCATTGGATGATCCAGGTGCAGAAGAAAAGAATAATCCCAAATGGAGAAAAACCCTGAGGTTAAATCCACATGGAGTGTTATTCCAATGAATTTAACCCCACCCCACACCCTATTTTAACATAAACTGTCAGAAAACATTTTGCCACAAATTAAAATATTATGGCAACAAGGCTAGGTTGTTCCCCTCTCCTGAAACACTCTGATCTTCCCCATACACTGGCAGTGTTCACATTAACAAGGGAATTGGGGAAGGACTGTGTGGGTCCCTTCATGTTATTTCTCTTCAAGTGGCTGGAAGAGAGACATTGAAGAAACACTCAGTTGCAGTTAAAGCCATTTTTAGACCAGGCTTTCCTAACCTGATGCCCTGCAGATGTTTTGGACTACAACTCTCATCAGCTCCCACCAGTGCGAACCATGCTGACTGGTAATTATAACCCAAAGCTTCTGGAGCACACCAGGCTGGGGGAGGCTAATATTGACACTTTAATTTTATTTCATAATTTGAGAACATCCCATTGAATTAAATAACTAAACAACATCCTTTATCATCAGGGTGGATATAAATCAATGATTTTTTTAAAAAAAATCAGATTCTTTTAATTTAAATCGGATTTTTAAAATAAAATGCTTTTGGAGGAAAAATATTTTTAAATATAGTTTTCTATTTAAGTTACATTATAATCCAAAGGCTATTCATCAGGAAATAAGGATTTGTTTTTCATGTGTGCTAAAACACAGTCTAAGGTTTTG